AAACTACTTATGGGAAAATATAAAAGATAATTACTAATCTATTAATTAGAGCTTAATTCGTAAAATCGTCTATAATTAGCTATTAAAGTTACTATCTAGTAGCCGTATATAAATCGAGAACCTCCCAAAGCTATAAATTAATATCTGTAACCCGTTATAAAGCCCTTTTTATAAACAGAGATTTCGTAAGAGTATTATGGGTATATTAATCTTGAGTTATAGCTTGGAAAGAGGTAGATCCGGTAAATAGATACTTTATAAAATCTCTAGAGATAATTCTATAATTTCAGGATCCACCTCATTTATATTAGCTAAATCTACTATAAAATATATTTATTCCTGGCCAGGAAATATATCCAGGATTATTTAGTTAAGCTTATAGACCGTATTATTTAGGATTAATAGGATTACCTGTCTACTAAAGGCCCGGTAGTTATATAGGGCCTATAAGAGTTATTTTTATAAGTAAATATAATTAATTAGATCCGTAACTAACTAGGTATATAAAATAAAAGATAGGAGTATAATTTACTTATTTAAGAATAGGTTATATAATAGATAACTAATCCAGTCTATAAAATCCTATTTGGACAGGTTATTATAGACCTATATATTAATTCGTAATAATAACTAATAGAGCTATAGCCAGATCTATATTTGCTATAAGTAGGCCCGTATTATATTGGCCTATAAATTATATAGAACTACTAGTAAGATCTAGGCAAAGTTCCTCTCGAGGATTGCAGGTATTTCTTTAAAGAGAATATTGTCTATAACCGACTATAAATTAATTATTAGCTAGTATATTACCTTAAAGTAGTACTTGTATTATATGGGTACCTTATTTCAGATAATTAGGTCTATAGATTATAAAAGAGCCCTAAACCGGCTTGTCTTAATAATTATACTTATAGATAACTTATTGAATTTGAATAGGATCTGGAACTAGGAATAAAATATATATCTATCCGAGAAAAGAAAAGCCGTAATACCCGTTAATACTATATATAGAACTACCTTACCTTAGCTATAGTAATAGTAATAGAGGGTTTTATAAAGAAACGTTTTATTAGTCCTATCCGGGTCTTATAAGTAGAAGTAAATAGTCTATAAATCGTCTATAATTACTATTATAATTATCTAAAAGCAAGAATACTAATTTATATTTAGCTAGACTTATATTATAGTTACTAGTAATATCTTATAGGTATAATTAACCTATAGATTAGCTATATAGTAACTTATAGTCTAGTTAAAGGTATTTTCAGGCAGGGTAATATCCGTAAGTATTTACTAGAGATCTATAAGGCTAAAATCAAGTAAAAAGAGGCTATAATTATAATAAGAATTAACTAAGGATAGTAGGAAATTAATTAACGGGTTATAGGCTAGCTTATAGGCCAAGTTATTATAGAAATACTTCTTATACCGGTCCTAGATTACTTATATATTTGTAATTAGCTACTAGCAAATACCTATAAGAAAGAGTATTTATAAACTATAGCCGGTTATTAATAAAATAGCCTTATTAAAGTACTAGAACTATTTCTAATTATTTTCTATTAAGCTATAGGTAATATAGGTAGTATAGTATATAGGATAATAGATGCCCTTAACTAAGTAAAGCTTATTAAAGAACTGCGGATTACATATAACTATTAGTAAAAGCTATAAATAGAACTGCTTACTCGAAACTAGGCTATAATAATAAATATAACTAATACTATATTTTTGCTTATAATACTTTTATATCCGGATCTTAGTAATCTATATAAAGTACTATAGGAACTCGTAATATAGGTACTAGTATCTGTTCTTATATATTATATTATACTTAAAGAAGACTATTAAGGTTAAATAGGTATTTGCGGCCCAATTTATAATTTGCTCGGGTAAGAGATTAGCTATAAAGCAGACTATATACTATCTAGAGAAGTGAATTATAAGATATTAAACCGGGAGGAACTCCTAATATATTAGATATTTAAATAGGTACTAGAAAGCCTCTATAGGGCCTATATACCGAGCCTGGAAATACTAGGTAATCTTATTATTTGTTCCCGAAATAATAATAGTTATATAGTCTATTTCCTTATAAATATATTTGTAAATATACTTAATTACTTATATAAATATATAAACCTCGATATTAATATATAAGCGGAACTTCTAAAAGAGATATGAATTATATAAAATAACCTAGTAGTTATTACGGATAATTTCCTAGTCTAGAAAGCCTGGTTTATAAACCGTAAATATATAACTATTATTCTGGTACTAGTATTTGGAATACCTATTCTTATAAATAATTATTATAGCTATAAATACTTTAGGAAACCTCTTCTAGTATATAAGTAGGGCTATAGGTATCTTATGAACTATATATAGGGCTTTTGGATTATTATTAAGGCCATATAGCCTATAAGATATCTAGCTAGTAATTATGGCTATAAGTTTACCTATAGAATCCCATAATAGGTCTAGAAGCTTAATATAAATAACCTTATTAACCAAATTAGAAATTAAGAAAATAATATCTCTCTTAAGAAATAAAAGCAGATATATATATAGAAGGCTATACTTCTAATACTCGATTATATAGATATAGCCCGTATATTATCCGAAAAGGTAGTTCTTAAGATCCGTAAGAAGCTCTCTTACTTTTAGGATAAAGATCTAATAAAGGAAATCCGGATAATTAATTACTTATTATTTATTTAAAAAGTAATCTATAATCTCAGGCTAGTATAAATTAGCTATAAAAGTAATAAAGAAGCTTGGCTTACTAAAGTATTATATAATAGCTATTAAGTCTTAAAAGAGCTACTATATAAAGTAATTACTACCTATAAAGCTTAATAAAAGAATAAAGTAATAGCTAATATTACTTATATAAATATTCTTACGGATTAGAGTATCTATAAGTCCTATATAGATATTTATACAAATATTTTACTAGTATAAGCAGAGCTAGTCAAATAAGGTAATCTTATAGGTAATATATATATTAATAATATATTACTAAAAGAGGCAGCTAGTATAAAAGAATAGGGAGAAGGCTAGACGGATATAGAAATAGTACTAGTAAAAGACCTGCTATTTGAGCTATATTTACTAACGGATCCTATTATGGTTCTATAACTATAAACCGTAGTACTAGCCCGGGTTACTATATAGAAAGAGTAAGATATAATAGAATAGTATATATACTATATATATAATATTAACTATATATATTTACAGATACTTATAGCCTGCCTTATAGACCGTAAGTACTAGATTATAGCGGCTTATATTCGTATACTTGTCTGGAATAAGGGCTATAACCTTATTACTTATTAAAAGGTTCTTATAATAATAATTAGTACCTGATTTGAGAATTAAGTATATTTATAGGTTAAATAAGATCCGGAAATTAGTTTACTAGCTTATAAGATACTTATAGGCTATTTTATAGACTATAATAAACGGATTATAATTCATAAGTATATTTATAAGCTATAAAAGAACTATATAATCTAAGTAAGGAAAGTTAGTAGCCTGTATATTAGTTATAAAAAGCGGATTATAAAAGAAAAGCTATATAAAAGAGGATTTGGTATATAAAGCGGATTATAGTAGGCCTTAGAAATAAAAGAGCTTGCTATAGATCTAAAAGTACTAGATCCTATAGGAGAAGTCGATTCATATATTCTTCTTATACTTAACTAATATAAAGGCAAAAATATAATTATATATCCGGATATTTATTCAGAAGGCCTAATAAAGCGGATTATTACCTATAAAGAGGTAAGAGAGGTATAGAGGAGACTTATAGATTAGAGGAAGTATTATATTACTCTTTTTATAATAGGCCTTAAAGTAATTATCTATATGGCCAAAATAGAGGGCTTTGCAAGCTATATAGTAACCCGTAAGCAGACTAGTTATATGTATAGGAGCTGGCCGGAAGCGGGAAAGAAAGGCAGGAGGCCGTATAGTAGGTGGGTTGGCAGGAGGATTCTCTATGGTATAAACTGGGGCTGTAATAGACGGTTAACGGATTCATTACTAGTGCTACGGGGCTGGCTCGTCCGCAGAGACGTCCGTAACCGACCGTTATTATTGCCGGGAGGTAGGGAGGGTATTTGGATTAAGTTCTTATAAGGCAGGATACTAATTGGTAGTTCGGGTATATCGCCGCTCCTAGAAACTGGTTAAAGGGATCAAGGATAAAGAAGAGGAATACGGACCGTATAGGCCATATAGATCTTATGGATAGCGCCTGTAGGCCTGCGAGGAAAGGCTAAAAGTGGCAAGTGTCTAGTATATAATGAGCAGGTCTTGGAATTATCCATTATTAAAAGGAAGTAAAAGAGAAAGTAATAAAGAGAAGAAGGAGAGGAGAGTAATGTAAGGCCAGGTTTCTTTTTAGTATACTTAGAGCTAGCGAGAGCCTTAAGAAATCTCCCCTAAGCTTTAAAAAATCGTAATAAAAGCCCCTCGTATTCTAGAACCACTCAAATATAGAGAAAGATACTTGAGCTTCTTCTCTCTAATCCCTAGCTGAGTACTAAGGATTTGGACGCAATCGCGTTCTGATGTGCGATTCCCTAGAACGGGGAGACTTTGGTGTTCGTCACGTGAAAGTTTTTTTCAAGGAGCCCCGAGAGCCAACCGCTTAGGGTGGTCCGAACGTAGGACAATATAGAAGAGGAAGTGAAAATATAGAGAAGATTCTGTAGCATTTAATTGGAGTTCATGTTCTGGCTACCTTGAAACCCCTATTTCCAGCCTCTCCAAGCTAATAAACATCAATTATATGTACTTTCAAGTATTGATTGAAGGCTAGTTAACTGCCGATGAGCTATGATTTGTTGAATTACGACCACAGGCACAATCAAAAGACCCCTGTTCAACAATCTTTGAAGGTCAATCACGTGATAAAACCACCACTGACGCAATTCGTCTCGGCCACCGTAGAACCGCAACATCTCCAGAAGAGAAAGCTCATCGATCCCATTGATAGAGGTCTTCAACCTCGCACACATCCACAATGCGGCTCCCACTCAATCTTCTCGCGCTTACCCTCTCAATCCTACCTTCCACCCTCGCTGTCTTCGCCGACGAGGCCTACAGCATCGACTACCAACACGAACTCCTCGGCCTCCCACAACCACACACAACATTTTTCCATCGACCGCGAAGCGATGAGAAGGCCACTCTTTTATACACTTTAAGTGACTTAGGCGTCCTAGGCGCTGTACACCCAGGCACTGGAAAGGTTGTTTGGAGGCAGATTCTTGATGGTGAAGGATATCTAAGAGCTGTGGAGGGAGAAGGGACACTGGTCTCAGGGACGGGAAAGAGTGTGCAAGCATGGGATGCGATGAGTGGGCGGGGAAAATGGGGGAATTATTTCACGGGACAGGTGAAGGATATCGAAGTCATGGAGACTGCGGCCGTTGGAGAGGGCGAAAAAGATATACTGGCGCTATTTGAAGAGGATAGGAAGGCGGTTCTGAGGAGGCTGAAGGGTGCGAATGGGGATGTAAAATGGGAGTATCGGGGCTCGACTGAGGATTTACCTCTCCAGGTTAGCACGAATGTGAAGGATGTCTTTGTAGTCTCGCTGCATGGCGCGAGAGGAGGGTACAATCTTAAAGTCTCGATCCTGGATCCGGTTACTGGGAAGAAGGTCAACGAGTATACGCTTACGGCAAAGGGGGATGTGCACGCTCCGGAGGATGTTCTCCTTGTTGGTGCTAACTCTGCGGCGCCGATTATCGCTTGGACAGACAAGACGATGAAGAACCTGAAGGTCAATATTCTGGGCAAATCCGGGAGCTTACAAAGCCTACCGTTGAAGGAGTCAGATGGGGAGATTGTGAAGGTCACCATTCATGCGCCGGAATTGGTACAATCGATGCCGCATTTCTTGGTTCATAGCCAGTCAGCGCTTTCCAACCGAGCAGACGTATATCACATCGACCTCGCAACCGGAAATATCAACAAAGAGTACGAGCTACCAAAGCTGCCTGGGAAAGGAGCAGTTTCAACCAGTTCTCAAGATGCCAATGTGTATTTCACGCGAACTACACAAGACGAAGTCATTATTGTCTCCTCTGCTTCCCATGGAATCCTTGGACGATGGCCCATCATGGTTGGCAAACATCACGGTTCTTTTGTTCATGGAGTTGCAGAAGTCGTTCAAAGAAGCACTGATAGTTATGCCGTCAGATCTGCTATCCTCATGAGCGAGGAAGATTGGGTCATGGTCCGCAATGGAGCCGAAGCTTGGACTCGTGTCGAAGGTCTTTCCGGAGCTGTTGCTGCTGAGTGGGCCGAGATCCCTGAGTCTGAAAGTCTGGCTAAGACGCTCGAGGCCGAAGCTCATAGCAACCCTCTATCCGCGTATATCCATCGTTGCAAGCGTCACATCAACGACTTGCACAATTTGCCTGGCTACCTGCAAGAACTTCCTTTCCGGATTATCAGCAGCATCCTTTCCACTGATGTTACTTCTCACAAACCTGATGTCTTGGTACGAGACAATTTCGGCTTTCACAAGCTGGCCATTGTAGCTACGCAACGTGGCCGGGTCTACGGTCTTGATTCAGGCAACCAAGGCGTTGTTGTCTGGTCTTTGAAGGCCTTCGACATCTCTGCTGGTAAGAAATGGGATGTGAAAGGAATTTGGGTTGATTCGTCGAATGGCATTGCAACAATCAGAGGAGCAGATGGAGAGTATATCTTGGTGCAAACTCTCACTGGGAAAGCTGATGAAAAGATGGACCCCGGCCACTGGCCCCCGGTCCAGAGTGCTGCTGTCGTTGACAGCCCTGCAGGTCCATGGATCCTTCCAATCGGTCTGGATGGCAACCCTGGCGACATCCCGGCAAAATGGACTCCTAAGGAGTACTTAGTTGTTCAAGGAAAGGGCGGCGAAGTGAAGGGACTGAAGTTTGACATCCAAGGTCCTCTTGCCGTTCCGATCACTGCATGGACTTTCCAACCTCCCGTTGGACAAAAAATCGTCAAAGTCATGTCGAGACCAGCACACGACCCTGTTGCTTCCATCGGACGCGTTCTTCCTAACCGCACTGTTATGTACAAGTACCTGAACCCTAACCTTGTTCTTGTCACAGCTGTTTCCGAAGCGGCTGCTATTGCGACCTTCTACCTACTGGACTCCGTCTCTGGGGACATGCTTCACTCGACGACTCACAGAGGAGTCGATACCACTCAACCAATCACCTCGGCTATAAGTGAGAATTGGTTCGTCTACTCTCTGTGGAGCGATATATTGCCTACAACCAGTGGCCTCCCAGCATCCAAAGGCTATCAACTTGTTGTCACGGAACTTTACGAATCCGATGTCCCCAACGACCGGGGACCACTGGGAGCAAGCTCGAACTCCTCGAGTCTCGAGCCATCTGACGTCGCCAATGCCGAACCAGCTTTGCCTCACGTTATCTCCCAGACTTTCCTCATTCCCGAATCAATCAGCCATATGTCCGTCACTCAAACACGCCAAGGCATCACGGTTCGCCAACTCCTTTGCACTCTTACATCTTCGAACTCAATCGTTGGCATACCACGAACCATTTTGAATCCAAGCAGACCAGTAGGACGTGATCCCACTCCAGCTGAGGCAGAGGAAGGACTCTTCCGCTACCAGCCAGTCATTGAATTTGACCCTAAGATGATCCTCACGCACAGGCGCGAGGTGATTGGCGTGAGGGATGTCATTACCACACCAGCTCTTTTGGAAAGTACAAGCTTGGTGTTTGCCTATGGTATTGATGTTTTTGGGACAAGGGTTGCACCCAGTGCGGCGTTCGATATCCTCGGGAAGAGTTTCAATAAAATGAGTTTGGTTGCTACGGTTACTGCATTGGGTATTGGCGTTGCGGTATTGGCGCCTATGGTAAGTGCTGAACCTTCCTTGTATTAAGTATCAATTGCTAATAATCGGATAGGTAAGGAAGAAACAGATTAATGGGAGGATGATGACTGCATAGATTTTTTATTGTATGAATAAATAAGATGAACAAAGTATTTACAGTTCAGAAGAATCTTGGTTCTGATTTCGTGACGAAATTGGGTCCTGTTTTCTAATAGTAAGGTTTGCAACAATCGCCGAACTGGGATCCTCGAAATCTCAAAGTCTTTGTTTGAGCCGCGCTCTTGACATCCTTACTCACAACCATTGCTCTCGATATTCGGAGCTCATTGCCCCTTTTTCTTATCAGCTTATCGATCTGTCTCTCACACGATCCAACCCTAATACCCCTCACCTCTACACAACAAACCAGAATCATATTCTTTCTAACAACCGTCTTTCCATTCCAACGTACACTCATCTCTCACCCATCTCCAACTCATCTCAAGCCCTCAAAATGTCTTCCCAACTAACAGCCATCCCCGCCCGCCACGGCATCGCAACACCCCTCCGAGCCGGCCAAACGATAAAAATCATCAACACGTACGGAACACAGGTAGTCGACACCTGGGCTTTCACTTTATCCTCTTTCCCACCATCCTCATCCACCCCTCCCTCTGAAATCGCCACACAAATGTCCATGCAACACACGCGCGCGTCTCTGAACCGTATCATTCCAAAAGTGGGGGATGGACTTTATGATAATAAGAGGAGGAAGTTGTTGGAAATAGTGGAGGATACGACGGAGGGGGTGCATGATACGCTGATTGCTGCTTGTGACGATGCGAGGTACAGGGAGCTTGGGGGTGGGGAGGGGCATAGGAATTGTGCAGATAATTTGGTTGAGGGGTTGGGTGCTTTGGGTTGGTTCTCTCCTCTCTTTTCTTTACTTCACTTGTTGTTGCTTGTTTGATATTTCTGGGGATTGATTTTCGTTTGATGGGGCTCTTGAGAGGAGGAACAAGCGGGAGGGATGGTAGGAAATTATGGGAGCTGACAGGAAACAGGTATCAAAGCTCCGCAATTCACGCCTTCGCCTCTTAATCTGTTCATGAATATCCCGGTTCATGATGACCATACTACTCTTTCATTCGAGGCACCTACTAGTAAAGAGGGGGAGTATATTTGTTTGAAGGCTGAGATGGACTTGATGATTGCATTTAGTGCTTGTCCACAGGTGAGCTCCTATTGCAAGTGTGTGAGGAGCTGAGATGACTGACTTTTGGATAGGATATTCTGAAGATTAATTTTGGGAAGCCCGTTGATGCTCATTTTCAAATTCTGTTAGGGGCGAATGAGTAGGTGTATACGAGAAGTGTTTACCAGACACATTTCACACAATCAAGCGTGTTGTTGACGGGGAGGGGAGAGAAAAAGTGATCATCTATATTTCTCATACCCAATCTCCTCCTCTATCCTCGCTTCCGTGTACTCCACAATCTCCCTATCATACAACTCCTCCGGCGTCTTACTCCCCTTCAACACTTCCCTCTCATGCACCACCGCCTCCTCCTTAGTCATACACACCAAATCACTCAGCCTCACCTTACTACTCTTCTGCCCCTCCACCCCAAGCTCAATAGTACTCCCCTCGGGTTTCCGCCACCTCACCAACGCCAACCTCGTGCTCACCCGACTAACTACACTCTTCCCTCTAAATACCTCCTCAACCACATACCCCACATCACTCGCACTAACCCCCAACTTTAATCCCTGCGCATCCTCACCCTCCGTCGTAGCCCTAGCTAATTTCTCCTCCGAGCCCTGTAACTGCGCAAGAATCCCATCATACATCTTCTCCCGCCCCTTCGCAGGCACATACTCATTCGGATACCCCGTGATCTGCAAAATAACATGGTTCGCGACGGCGTATCCGAACACGGCTGGCATGGTGCCGAGAACAGGTAAGATCCTGACTCGGAAATCGGGTAAGACGCCAAGATCTCCTACCGAGCCTTTGGCAAACTCTTCTTCGGGTAGTGGGAGTAGTTGGGCTTTTCCTGGTCCTGGTTTCTCGGTGGAGTAGACGACTGGAATTCCGGAGGAGATTCCCAAAGCCCGAAGACGCCTGCGAGTTGAGCGGGAGAGAGGGTCTTCAGTGCTGGCGGAGATGTCGCCGATGAAGATGCGTGTTGGGTCTGATTTGCAGCCCGCGCCCATAGAAGAGATGACGGGGAGATTAGCCTTATGGCAGTATTCTAGCAGGGCGACTTTACTGTCAATGTTATCTATGGCGTCAACTATGAAATCTGGTTTCCGGCTGTCCCAGGGAGCAAGCAGAGTATCGGCGGCTGCTGGGCTGAAGAGCTCGTTTTTGAGATCGAAATGTACCCACGGTGTGATTTGCTGTAACCTTTTCTTTAAGCAGGATACTTTCGGTGTTCCGACGTCCGCTAGAGTTGCTACTGCGTGTCGGTTGAGGGAGGAGAGTGTAACTTGGTCGAAGTCGATGAGGCGAATGTATGAGACTCCTGAACGGGCCAGAGCTGCTGTACAATGTGATCCCACGCCTCCACAGCCAACAACTATTATGAACGCAGAGCGTAGCTTCTGTAATCCGGCGTCTGTAAGGAAGACCCGATTCCGTGCTAATTGTTCGAGGATGAGTTCTGCAGCCTAGTTAGAGAACCTTTTCATCCGGCACTTGAAAATATGTGTATAAATCCTACCATCATCATAATCCCCCCTCTGCGCCCTCGCAGCAAGCGCCGCACTCCTCTCATCCTCTTTACTCAATCCAGAACTCGGTTTCGCCGCCCCAAAATCTGTAAGCTTCACTTCTCCTATCAGCCATGTATCCTTACGAGCCTGCGCGCACCTCCTCCTCCCCTCTTGCCCTCTTCCTTTCCACCTCTCCCACAGGCCAGGAAGCACCCTCTCCAACCACAGAATAAAAACAAAACAAAACCCACCTTATCACCCCCCGTATCCGGAATCCCACTCTTCAAATCCTTCACCCTCTCCTGGCGCCTGACAGCCTGGTACCCGAATATGGCGCCCGCGACCACGGCGCCACTCACGAGGGCCGTGGCTGCGAATTGGGCTTGGGAGGAGGTCGATACGCGGCCTAGCCAGGAAGACATGGTCTCTTTCTTCTCCTTCTCTTTTCCCTGCTCTCTTTCGACTTCTTCGGGATGGTATGCTTCCGGCCTCGAGCTCCGCGGGTCGAAATGGTGATTGCTAGTGTTGTAGGGGTCTGCGAATTCTTCTTCGTCTTCTGAATGGTAGTAACGATCGTCGTAATTGTAATTGTAATTGTAAAGTCCTGCACGCTGAGGGTTATATCGTCCATCCATCATGAAATAGCTGCATATTGTAGTTTCTGTTCATTGTTGTTCTGTTTGTCGACCCCGTCGGCTTCGGAGCTCGAAGCTGGAAACTCGCTGTCGGGAATTTTTTGAGCTGTCTCATCAGCCCCGGCTGTGATTGGCCCTCTGACATCACCGCCCCCACTCCGCACTTCTCTCTTCGCTCGCTCCCCCGCCCCCTTTTCATCTGATGACCTCGCATATATTCTCTAATATATATTCGACGTTCTTCCAACGTATAATCCAATTCTCGCCCTCCATCGTCAACTCCTAACATTCTCCCCTCAAAAACTACTAAGAATGGCCTCCACCCAACCTGCAGCTCACATAATATCCCTAGACCACCTAGTCCTAACCGTCTCCTCCATCCCTAACACGCAAAAATGGTCGGTGTATTTCTCGCATCTCTATCTGTTCTCAAAATAAAAGGTCTAGATCTAGCGAAACGTCTCTTAACTCCATCTCCGAAACTTCCTCTCCTACATGTCAATACTCTACTGATTTTGAAAATGAGAGGGTAGGTATAAGGCCAACCTAGGAATGAAACCCGAATCTTTCGTCTCCGCCGCTACACCCTCTGTAACGAGGCATTCTTTAATCTTCGGCTCACAGAAAATCAATTTACATCCGCTTGGCAAGGAATTCGAGCCCAGAGCCGCTTCCGCCCGCGCAGGGAGCGCAGATCTCTGCTTCCTGACCCAAGACGATGTGAAAGCCGTAAGGAACAAGTTGATAGAGAATGGAGTTGAGATGGTTAATCTAGGAAGTGAGAAGGCGGATGATGGCGTTGTGGAGAGGACGGGTGCGAGAGGGAAGATCAGGAGTGTGTATTGTCGGGATCCGGATGGGAACTTAATTGAGTGAGTTGTTCTTCTCCTACTCTATTTTTTTTGGGGGGGGGGGACTGGAAGGGAAGGGAGAGAAATGTTGATATCATGTGATTCGATAGGATTTCTAACTATGTATAACATCATACATGAAAATACATCCTAAAGCAAATACACAACGGGTATATACTCTCCCCCCATTCCTTTCCAATTCCCCGAAACGCCAAACGCCATGCTACCGAATCCCAACTCCGTTCCATGTCCAGTTCATGCATCATAACTCCACAACTCATCCATCCATTCATTCATTTTCCAAATCCTCCCTTTCCCAATTCCCGCTCCTGCTCCTCCCTCAAGTACTTCTCCTCCTCCTCCATCAGCCTCGCCTTATCACCCGTACGCGCCACATCACCGACTAAACACTTATCGTTCCTCTCCACCGGCCTTTTCAGCTGCTGCCCAATGATTTCCGGAGCCGTATCTGGGATAGAGGCGTCTTCGCCCCATATTATCCGGTATGCTTCCTCGTGCTCTTCTAGTTTTAAGTCCTCGCGGCTTAGGGGAGACAAGGGTGGTGAGGCGTCGTAGAGGTCCCCATTTAGAGAAGGTTGGCGGCCTGCTGAAGATGGGTATTTGAACTGATCAGCGGCTAGAGATTTAGGTTCTTCATCTTGTCTGGGAATAGAGACATTCATGCCATTCGGTGACAGCTCTGCTTTGAGTGCTCGACGAATTGGCGCAGCGTCAGTGTTCGCTTGAGAAAATGTCTTCCTCCTCTCGGCGTTGATAACATTCTTCAGTAACGGAGCTTCATTCCGTTTGTAAGCCCGATAGAACGACTGGTCGATCATAGCAGCGGCAGTAAGATCATCCATCTCGTGGAGATGTGAGAGAATTCGAAAGTTTATCTCTTCATTCGACATAGCCGCTGCTCTCTTCGTTCTTTTAACAGACTCCAACGGCGCTTCCAACTCCACCAGATCTTGCACCATATAATCATCGTGATCACCAGTCCGAGCTGAGTGTTTCGAGAGTGCCCATCCGTCCTTCCCAGAGACGTCACGGAAGGTTAATCCCCTGACGCTATTGTAAACGTCGTTGATTGCATTTCGGAACAATGGAGCGTGGTCGCAGACACCGCTATGAACTTGAGGAGCGCTTGGCATCAAGCTCAAGCAGGCGATTAATTGCTCCAGGCTCCGTTTCGGCGGTTTTGCTAGGTCATCGATAGCAGCATTCTTCATGATACTTGGCAGGACTCGCAATTCGTTGTAGACAAGCATCAGCCAGCCCAGGTTGGTTGCATCACATTGGTGAGACCCCCGTGGACAACGAGGCGAAGTTGTCAATTGGAGGGATCCGATGACACTCGTTCGACGCCCTATAACCTCCGCTGGTGTCTTCAAATATTCCGCAATAGCTGCGGTACAACAATCATATATCTGAGCCAACTTCGCTGCTCTGGTAGCGATAATCTTCTCCTTGACAGCTGGGGGCCAAGCTTCCTTGCTCCTGATTTCGTCCTCGTCCACTGCATTCAGGATAGCAGTCTTCGACATCCTGGTGAAGATCCTTCGAAGTCCAAATGCATAACTAATCACCAAAAATCCGTCATATTCATCGTCGTAGAGCTTGGCAATCCATTGCGGTAACCATTGGTACTCCACGTGCATCTCAAGCGGTTGCGTACACTGATATTTTAAGCATACTTCTGCGATGTTGACGAAAGTTTGGAAGGTGACTTCTCTAGGAACTCTGTCTTTATGCATATGAGCAGCGTGTAGGACAAACTTGAGTGATTCGTTCTTGTTGAGCTCGATCTGTGGCATTCGGTAGACTTTGACTTCCATTCCATCTTTGCAAACATGCCTTGTAGGGGGTGGTGGAAGCTGACTGATCATATCAAGGGGAGGATTATTTCCAGGTTGAGGAGAAAGAAACTGGGCGAACAGCGGCGAATGCTCAGCCAAGAGATGCGAAGAGACTCGAAATCTCAAGATTGGATGGTTCTCCGAACCCGCGTTTGCGAATTCCAGTATCGTGTCTCCGTTCTTGGCAATGACACATTCCCGAACAGCCATATTGGGTGCCTCATCACTTGCTCCTGCAGAGTTGATCAGCTGCTCAATTGCTTGTAGATCAATCTTCAGCCTTTCAAAGTCAGAAGAACGGATCTGGTATTGGTCCCAGAACATATGCTTTTCTGATTTCATCCGATGGACACTGGTATCTCTCATCTGAGCAATCAAGTTCTTCCGGCGAGCTTTGTCGGCCAAGAATGCCTCCACTTGTCGTTCTGATGCATTTGGTTCGTACTCCAAGTACTTGTCTAGCAACGAATTCCTGAGGTTTCTGAGCATCAGCTCTTGAGTTGCCTTGTATTCCTGAATCGCCGCAAGCCATTGATCATTGATTTGGAACGGCGGAGCCGTTTCAGTGCCGGGACCGCTGTGCGATGACCGCGTATCTAATGGTCCGATACTTGTATAATCGAGTGACTGCTGTCGACTGTTGCTTTCTGAATCCATCGTCTGCCGGCTTTCCGAGTAGGGACCAGATCCCCAATAGAATCGCGGAGCAAACAGGCCCTTACGAGACTTTGCCAGTAGACTTTTGCATTGCTGTAGAGATTCGTCCCTCAATTTCTTGTAGACCTCCCACGCCGCATCCACTTTCTTTGCATCTGATGCCGCTTTTCGTATGCGCCTGATGTTTTCCCGGAGGTGTTGGTACTCGATGTCATGGGTCGCAGCAATGAAACTGTCCGGAGATGGTAGGCCGTTGGATCTTGAAGTTTCGAGGTCGGGCATTGAGAGGGGGGAGTTTGGATTCAGCATCTTGTCTGAGTGAGAGGGCTTCAAAGCTGTCAGCAGGAGAACCGTGCTGGGGAAGGAACCGCATACCTCGTATACCTTGTCGGGCGAAAAGTGCTCCTCTCGTGGAACCGAGCTGCTGCTGATTGAGGTCTTCTTCCTGAAGATACTGTAGCGCCCCGGCTTGGGGCTGGCTGTTGAGCTCGACATCGAGCCCGCGTGCGAAGGCTGGCGCATCATAGACATCTCCTGCTCCTGTCACTCCGTTGGTCAGGTCTTGGAAAAAGTCGCACGAAGGAGCATCCGCATTCTTTCGATTGTGCAATGTTGTCTGTCAGGAATAAGGTAGGACAAGGCTCGTGTTGATGTCAAAGAGCTCCCAAGCGAAGGCGGGGGGCGAAGCAGTGGGGAGCACCGCCCCCACGGAACGGGCTGCCGTAGAAATCCGGGGCTTGAAACGGATTTATTTTCATCCCATGTCTCTCCAAAGGGCGCAACAAAAGAAATCGGCGTGACTCACGCTCTATGAGAAGAATATAAAAGAGATCCTTTACTTGAAGAACATTCACGATGCTTCGTTTTAGTCTCTTCAAGTCACGCACTGACCGAACACCGGGGATCTGCACAGCGTCATCCCGAGCTCCCTTCTCCTTCTGCCGGCAAGGCTGACCAAACCCGAACGAGGCCAGGCAACAGCATCAAATCACCCCAGCCACACAACGGGTCCACATTAACCACGAACTCGGTATGGCCTCGAGAATGGTGAGGCTAGATGGGAGGACTGGAGAGGGAGGAGGCCAATTGGTCAGAGTCGCAGTTGCTCTTGCTGCACTGACAGGCGCACCACTTCGAATTGACAATGTCCGTGGAAACCGAGAAGGAAAGCGTGGTGGTGGTGAGCTCAATACATGTGGTCTTCATTTCTGTGCTAACTTTCACCAGGCTTGAAAGCACAGCATGTTGCTTGCATCAGAACTCTGGCAGATGCCACTGCAGCAGAAGTCACTGGTTGCTCCGTTGGGAGCAAGTCCCTTGAATTCAAAGCCAAGCTATCCCCGAGAGACCTTGTCAATCGAAATATCAAAGTCAAGGCGGAGTCCGTATCAAGTATTCTCTTGATCTTCCAAGCGGTTCTACCGTTCCTGCTCTTCGCAGGTGATGGCAAAGGCGCGCCGATTACCCTTACTATCCAAGGTGGAACCAATGTCAGCTTCTCACTTTCGTTTGAGTACCTTGATCAAGTGCTTCTGCCCTCTCTTGAAAGATTTGGCATCAAGGTCGAAAGAAAACTCGAATTCCGTGGATGGTCTCATGGTCCGCGGCAGATTGGCTCAGCAAAATTTGGCATCACTCCTCTTAAACCAGGACATAGAATCAAGGAACCTTTGTGGCCGAAGGAGCGTGGAGAGATCACGAAGATTGATGTATCCATTGTCGTTCCGAAATATCTGCAAGATCCACTGAAAAAGGCGTTACTGTTCGAAATTGGACTCGTCTTTGAGGACGCAGAAGCAGAATTCGTTGTCGTTGACGACAGCAGACATCCGGCTCGGATGTACGCTCTGCTTGTGGCCCATACATCAATGGGCCTACGTTTTGGGCGAGACTGGTTGTATGACGAGAAGAGCAAGAACAAGACCGTGGATGACTTGAGCACTAAGATTGCTCAGAAGGTTGTGGATGAGCTCGATGTTGAGGTCAGGAAAGGGGGACTTGTTGATGAATATCTCCAAGATCAGTTGGTCGTCTTCCAGGCTTTGGCAGAGGGGGAATCGGTCATCCCTGGTTCATTTGAGGCCATCTCATCAGAGGGAGGGCACGTCGATCAAACAGATGAGCCGTTTGGAGATGGCAGCACTCACACCACAACTGCGAGGTGGGTCGCAAGTCAACTTCTGCCACAGGTCAAGTGGAAGGACAAAGGCCGCGTCTGCGAGGGCGCCGGTTTAGACAGCTTCAAGAACTGATGAGTTGACGCCACTTGGAGATGCTTTGGAGGCGGTTCACATGGAATGAACTTCCAGACGCATTTTAAATTTTCTGACAGATGTGAACTTCCAGATTCACTTGGCAATCAATTCTAAAAATTTACTTCTACATCATTCGGCCCCCCCCTAACTATGTCTCCCTAATTTCAGTCACCTTTGATTTTTTAACCTTCGTCTTTCACTTTCGACCTCCGTCTCCCTTCATCAGGGTAGCACGCTTCTTTGGTGAACGGACTCGTCCAGTGGTATGATACCTTCTGCCTGCGAAGATCCCCCACCCGTTACCGCTTCTCGTTCTTCCAACATGCGATTTTTCAAGATCCTCTTAGCCAGCTGCATCCTCTACAGATGCGCCACCGCAACACCTGCAGACTCGTCCTCTCGATCAGACGACGGAGCTCTCTCTTCCACTCCTCTGGCGTCACGGAGGGGTATGGGAGTCAAAGCAAAGACCTCCGAGTTCTTGAGCTTGATATCTCGGCAGCAGTGGAAGACTTGGACCCTCGAACCTGGGTTGTTGACGATACAGAGAAGGCTCCAAAAGCTTGGAAGGTCAGCAGCCTCCCCCAGTGTTTGCTAACCCGCTCATGGAATGGCCGCCTTGGATGGATCGTTAAGCTCTATCACGAGGAAACGCCACACCTCAACCTTCTTGTCAGAGTAGACATGAAAGTGCTCGTTACCCCCAAATTTGGTATGTATATTCTCACGTTCCTTCCGTCTGGCCCCGCATCTTCCAAGTGGTGGTATATTCAAGTACCTAACCTCTCACTATATAAGATATGTTCTAGATGTCAAGTAGTACTGACTCCGTACTGTTTAGGGGGGCTTATAATTTCAAGTCCGGAGCTTGTTTCGTATGAAGTGTGCAAGGACACGCGATGCCTCAAGCCCGTGGCAATCGCGATTGTCCCTACTAGCAGCAATGGTATACATCTTCGGAAGTCGTTGCATCAAAGTCTGGACAGCACCTTTCCAATCACTTTCCATGACCAGATACCGGGGAGCAATGCAACCGCTGCCGAGGTCAGACGCTGGATCAAGCTGTGGTTCCTCGAGCACGGAGTCTCGCCAAAAGTCACTAGCATGGCCCTGAAGAAGTCGATCAATCGGCTGGAATGGGATGGTGAATACTTGTGGAAACATAGCAAACACGAGATGCAAAGGTATTTGAAGGATTTGGGGTTCTCTGAGGCAACGACTACTTTACTTGGACGCGACATTGTTGAAGCTCGGACTCGTTTCGAGGTCTGGAGGCTCGTCGTGAGTTTCTTGAAGTCATCTGTGTCCGAGTCCATGATCTGACGTGTTTCTAGGTGAAGCTCCTCCTTTCAGTCGCACTTGTTCTTCTAGCTGTCTATGTTGGCTACCAACTTCTCTATCAGTAGGATTTAGACCTCACTGCATGATGTCCAGCCAAATGATCAGCAGCAAACATAAAATCCATACCAGTGTCTCGGACATAATCCTCGTGGCGTATACTGTTGAGTCTACCATTGGAACAGTCTGGACATTATTTCTCTTGTTGATACTTTAGCGTTCTTCGACTTTCTCTAATATCTATTTTTGTCCTTTCTACCAGATTCAATTCGTATAATGTTTGTGACTTTCCCTATCATTCCTTCACTCGCCCCGCCCTCCTCCCCAACCTCGACCACTCTCTCCCTCAACTAAACAAGTTTCGTCCCCGAATCACTACAAGCTACAAATCCCGTCACATTACTATCCTTCATCAACCACAAATACGCCTCGGCAACCTCCTCCGCTGTTTCTCGTCAGCATCACCCCCACCCCCAATGAAAACATCAAATCAACTTACGTCTCCCCACATGACCCGTAGGCACCCTCCCCTCGATCTCCTTGAACATATTCTTCTTCGCACCATCACCCATGCCCTTCCATAACTCCGTATCCACAGGGCCCGGACTTACGAGATTGACCCTAACGGGCTTCAAATCCACCGCCAAGTTCCTCACCATGCCATGTAAGCCCGCTGCATAGCTTGCTACGACACTCCATCCTGGGATCGGCTTTTCTGCTACGATGCCTGCTGTCAAGATAATGCTGCTCTCTGGTCCTTTATTTAGGTAACGACTCCCGATTTTGGCGACGAGGAGAGGGGCGATGAACCGTACCTGTCCGGCGCGAAGGATGTTTTCATAATTGGCGTCTTGGATGGGGATTGTGGCCAACCTATCGCCTGCAGTGAAGACTCTGAGTGACGGGGGGGTTAGCAAATACTCGATCCAGATTATTCCGGGAGAGCCGGGAACATTAGTCTTGGCGAGAAAATTCTTCAGAAATAGGAAAGGGGGTTTCTCCCCTAATACGTACATGTGGTCTACGGACCCGCACGCTTGGAAGAGGTTCTCAATGTCCTTTTCGAGGCTGGGCTTGGAGAGGTCGCAGACGTGACCGGAGACGTGGGTTTCGGCTGAAGGGTAAGCGGCCTTCAGGGATTTGACAGAGGAGGAGACGTGGCTCTGGTCGGATGAAGAGATCGTTACTCGGGCACCGGATTCGAGAGAGGCTTCCGCTACGGCATAACCGATTCCTGGCGATTTTGGTGGTCAATTTAGAAGGAGGGATTGGGGATGAATGGGGGAGGGAGGAAGGAAGTGGTACCTGATGTTCCTCCAATGATTAGGATGTGCTTCCCGGCTAGCTTGTTGTATTTCAGAGTTGGCATTTTGATGAATGTGTTAAGTATGAACTCGGATAGCAGCAAGATAATTTATAAACAGGAGGCAGAGCGGGTTTGGGGTATGGACCTGGACACCGTTATATATACATCCGTTCTCTAGCTCCGGAATCCCCGTGACGTCAAGCCACTCCACTTCACAACCATGAATATATGGGACCGAATGACAGCGGCATTTAGATTTCGCCCTTCGGACTTTACTCTTGGGAGCGAAGTGCGAGACCACATGGAGTTGCGTGCTGCTTGTTTGTTTATCTACGTGGACTTGACGCAGCGACACAGTTTGGAGCCGAGGAGCTCACTTTTGCATCTCGTAATCTCAGGTCGATAGCTGAGGAAATTTCGCCCTTGAATAGAAGATATTATTGAATCTGGCGAACTAATTCGGCCATAGGCCGTTCTGAGGCAATGTTTCTGCCCTATTCCTTCCAACCCCCGCCCCCCCTCTTTCGCAAAAATGAAAGGAAGTAGTTCCCTCAATGTGAGCAGTCACAGCCCCTTATTTGACGAGCCCCTCACATTCCGCCTCAGAATTTCATAAAATGAATCACAACCGTTGCCACAGAGTACATGATCCAATTTTTGCGATTTCACGACTCAAGTCTCAAGTAGTTGGTTATAGGGGTATGCGTACGTGGTGTCCTGGTGCACATATCGTCCTAACTAAGAGCTAATTTGCCTGTCCCAACAACAAACACATAACTCACGCATCTTGATCACGTGCTGCATTACGAGCACTATGGCTTTTAGAAATTCCGAGGTTAGAAGCTGCTGTCCAATCTACATATTAAGGCTGAGAACACCTGAAGAGCATCGAAGCATTTATATACGCCCAAGGTGTATATCTTCGAGTGAGCGGATATCCGAACTCGAATAGTTTGATGTTTAGATAAAAGTAACACCCCCCCCCTTTCCACAAAATAGTTAGAACAATTAACTTTTCCACATATCACTTTTTTAGCTTGAGAGAACTTTAAAGAGCCACCTATCCTGTATATCGAAATGTATCTTTAATTCTTTAGGGCCACCTTTTTCACAATTTTTTTTTTGAGTTGTCGCAAAGCGAACTTTCTTCGACTCGATACCTGGATTTACTTGTCTTGAAAAGGTAATATGATCGGTGATGTTGACCTTTGCTGCAGCACATCGACATCACGTAGAAGTTCCCTCTCCCGAAGGCATTTTACTTCGTCTGCGTCGACCTCGGCACCCGTCCACAGCTAGCACGATCCTCAACCTCATCCATACGATCGATCTCCGCCTCCGTACCGCTCTCCATACCTGGGATCCAGAGACAACTTCTTCAGTAAATAGAGAGCAGCGAGAGTGTCAGATCATTCTTGCCAGGAGCAGGGAGTCAAATGGTCCGAACATCTCTACAAGTACGTTTCCTCTCTTGCAGCCGCTGAAATATTGCTCCTACAACACCAAACTTACAACCCCCACAGCAGTCCAACTCGCAACCAAATACACCATATTCAGTTTCACCTCCTGCGTCTTGCTTATCGCATCATTATATTCCCCAACGCCAGGTAGCGGCACCTTTGCCTTCCCCTTCCAAAACGCGCCGACATGTTGCCTTGCCATTTCCAGCGCTGCTACATTCGCGCCCGCCACCAGCACCGCACCAATTATCCCGACCCTCGAAGAGAAAATTGGGTATAACGCCAGTGTCGTCGAACACAAGAACGAGAAGAGGGCCTCGAAGACCGTTAGTGGGCTTTTTTGGGAAGGGGGGAGAGGGAAAATACGCTCAAAGCACCACTAGCTTGGGTGGTACGGGTCTTGTGCAATTGTTGCTCTGCGATACTGGAGTATTTTGCTGCTTTCTTAGAAGTCTCTTCGTATTTTTGGAGGTTGCGGATGGAGATTGAGGAAAGGTAGAGGGTGTAGGCGCTGAATGATGCTTGAAGAGCATGCAAGATGGAGAGGAGTGCTGTTGCCATGTTTGGTGATGTGGTAAAGAGAGAACAGGGCGAAATGGATATCTCTGAGCAGTTGTATGGATTTGGAGGGGATTTGGTCATGGAGATGTGGAATTGGAGGTTGATGTTGATGCGAGTTTTGAACAATTGGCTATGACGTAGTTGTTGCGAGCCCGCCAAGGCGGGGTAGATGCCCCTGGCCAAACATCACTCAAACAATCGAATCATGACTTGGCCATACGAACACTTGAGTGAAGTATTTTAAGCTGTATAGAATATCAAGTCAACGACCTACTGTCTAGCAAATGTCAAGAGTGATCTCTGATTAGGATTAAAGCCAAAAAGAAAAAGCCAAAAGCATCGTCGTTTCGAGGGGCGGGCTTTCGCGAGTTACAGTACCCCTGACAGGGGACTCGGAGTCTCCTCAAGTTTCCCTCCCTTACCCTTTGATAAACTCGAGGTACTACTCACGGATCGAGCGTTAGACTCTGTATTTGCATTTAAATATTAAGAATCTTTTTCCTGTCTGAGCTTTCTCTACTCTTCGGCTTTCTGGTGAGTTTCGCACTTGCTTCTTCCAGCATATCTTGGCGCCGCCCATTCTAGCCATTGAGGCGCACCGCACCTGCAACCGCGCCATAACCATAGCCGCACTAGCCCACGACGACACTCCATCCCTCCCACTCTCATCCTATTAATAATGGACCGCCAACGCACCGTTCTCTCGAAAACATCAAAAACAACTCTCTCTATTATCGGGGTCATCATTTTCCTGGCCCTGTTTGGCTTTTTCGGCTCCCCTCTCCGAGATCCAAGCCCTGCTCGATCAACGTTTACCAACTCCAAAATGGGGATTATCCATATCGTGATGTTTGAGTTCAAGGAGGAGGCAACAGAGGCGGAGATTGCGGATGTAAGAATCCCTGTCCCCAAATATCCCACACTATCAATTCGGAGCGTCTGAGTGCTGCTGACCACTTTCAGACATGCAACCGTATGCTCGAGCTGAAAGATCAGTGCCTGCATCCAACATCTAAAACACCTTACGTCAAGTCGGGAATTGGAGGCAAGCAGAACAGCCCCGAAGGAAAGACTGTAACTTCCCCCCCTCTTCTCGATGCATAATATTTGATTAATAGGTGCGGTACAGGGAGGCATGACACATATTTTTGTCGTGGAATTCGCGAATGAAGAAGATAGGACGTATTATCTCGAGAAAGACCCTGTGCATTTGGGATTCGTGAAGAGTATTGGGGACGTGGTAAAGAACGCGCAGGTGGTGGATTTTACGCCTGGGGTTTTCTAGCCACGAGCCTCGAGGTCCTGGAGGGGCAAGCTGTGAAAAAGTGATGGCTTGGCAATCAATGGGTCAATAACAATCGCTCACTCTACTTGGAACTTGAGTAGCTTGGAGCAACCTCTGTCAGTGTGTTTTTGTTCTGAAGGGTTCTCCTAAAATTCTGACACTTTTAAAATGGGGTAATCTGTCAGAGGGGTTTTGTTCTTTTAACTTCTTTCGCTCTTCGTTCTTCATTCTCCCGTATCTGCCCTGACAAGTTTTTGTGTCTCTTCTCTGTCTTGAGTTTAGACATCACACTGAGTTGCCCTTTTCTGTTAATTCTTGAGCTTCTCCAAACCCTGCTCCTTACAGCCATTCCCACCTATCAGCGTATTGCACCTCACCGTAGCACCTCCCTCAAACCTCACCACAAACGAACTGTTATACCTGCTCGCCATCCCCACGCTCGGAAAATCCGTCGAAATCAACTGTGCACCACTTGCCATCGCCGCATCCCTCATTGCCGTACTATTCAACAACACAGTCTGGATCGGCTCATCGCTCCTCGTTCTCACAAAATATCCCTTCCTCACCAAATCCCGAATAATCGCCAAGTTATCACCTCGCGGGTCATTCCGCTTCAGGAAGGCAGCATCCGGTTCTCCAGGGATGGAGTTCGTGAAGATGACACGGTGTTCGAGGTTTTCGTGACCGTTTGCGCGGTACGGGTTGCGGATCAGGCCGGCGACGGGATCATTGTCCATCAAGAACATGACCTTGTTCTTTGCATCTTGGTGAGATAGCCAACCGTGCTTAAGAACGGATTGTTCCAGCGTAAGTCCCTTCTTGCGGACGTCGTCTGGGGTGATCATATCGCTTTCTTTGAAGACAGAACGGATTTCAGCATCAACTGTCTCGAGGTTCGTTGTGTCCCAGGCTTCGCCAAGTGCACCACCAAGAGCGATCAGGGATGCATCGGGGATTTTGAACTCTAGCATTATCGGGATGAGAGTATGACCTTTGTTTGCTTTGGACCATGCCTTGATTTGTTCGAGGCAGTTGATGAGCGTGTGGCAGTTTGCATTAATGTCGAAGTCGGCGACGTGGAGAACTTTGGTTCCCGGAAGTAGCCATTCTTTCTCCGTGGGATAAGGAAGGTTGGGTAACTTGCGACCCAAGGGCGTGGCGTACATCCCTCCTGTGGAATCGGCCCAAAGATCGATTTCAAGGCCGCGAACCGACTGGTACGTGAATTGGTCGGAGATTGAGGGGTGTGAGTAGTAGAGGTTCTGAGCTGTCGTCAATCCCACGGCCGATTCGAGAACTTTTCGCTCCGCGTAAGTTGTTTCGATGTGATAGCTGTTATGAGTGCCGATGACCTGGACTTGATTCATCCTGAGATCGTCATTGCGTCCCACTATGGGAGTGGCAAGGATGACGGATGCAAAGTCAGCATTATATCAGTCTGGGAACTTTGGCAATTTATGGCCTGGCTTACAACTGAGTGCAACGCAGCTCCACAAGCTTTCTTTGGGAAACATTGTCGATACAACTCTTTTCCTTAGTAAGCTCGATTCTACCACGCTTAAGAAGTGATTTGGAAGTCCTACCAAACGCAGTTTCGAAGAGCACATAAGGCATGATATATATACTCTCTTTCCTTGCTTAAGAGCACGTGTCCCTTCACCTTTACCGATTATTGAACGAGTGTCATGCCTTGGCAAGATCGATTATCACATGGCGTATAGTCGTCCCTAATTGGTGGCAGCGACGTTGCATATATTGACCTTTAGAGAACCAAGCTCTGCAGGTCTGACAAGCCTTAAAAATCTGCATCACGTTTCTGTACGACTTGCTATGACTGGAGTGGGAAAAGCGAAGGTGGGATGCCAATATTTGCCAAGGAATTCAAGCACTACTTATTCTACTTGAGCTTACGCCGAACGGCCGAATGAATTGTATTGTCGTTTAAGCAGCCAAGCCGGGAACTGTACGAATCGAGCTGATTGCCAAGTCAAGGCATTAGGTACATCTATGGTATTGTAATGTACGGTTAACCCGGGAGCTCTGAGATCTGTCCTAGTCTACTTCCCAGACCTTGTCTAAAGGACTACGAGCTTGTTTCGTTCCCAAGTCAGCTTCCACATCCCGTGCCACTGCAACCGCATCCCAGAACTCTTTGAAACTATGATCAAGATAGAAATCACTCCACAAAAACTCCTTTAAGAACATAGCCAGCTCAGCCGTCCCTACAATATCAGTAGCAAAACACAACTCCGCAAGGAGTTCAGAAAACCACTCCTGTTCTTCAGTCCCGATGCTACCCAGCCCACCCATCATAATGATCCAAAGCAACATTTCAGGGTATACTTCCTGTAAGGGTCGTAGACAATTTGTCTCCTCCGGACATGTCCTTATTCGCGTCGACATTGTTCGTACCCGTGACGATATTAATTTGGGTACGTAGGCCCATGGTGGCCCATTGCGCGTCAACATCGCAATATGCGCTAAACCTGCGTTGCCAAACAATTTGTAAATTACGGCATTATTTTGGTTTGGTGACTGCGGAAGTTGGTACTGGGCAAGGGCGATAAGTCGGTGCACGAGCGGATCAGGGTATCCGCGTAGCCATTCGAATGTTCCCCCTTCTGTGGTCCTCGGTTTCAGCGAGGGACCATTCCTCTCTTCCTTGGCGATCAGGTGCCGTAAGATACAGTAGATCTCTATTGTCTCATGGCTCAGCTCTTGCATGCCTGTGAGACTATACAACTGGGTTTCATATCGTTCGGCAAGCGGACTAATGGGTTCCAAGCTTTGAAGATCAAAGGAAGGAGGAATAACATGGTCTACGAGCTCGACGAAGCGTGGTTTTGATTCCATGGCAATAGAACAGAGAATGTCAACCCTGTGAACAGTTAGAATAACGAGTGGGCTCTTACTATTAGATTTGGGATAACTTGCCAAGAAGTAAAACTTCAATGTCAGTTGATGGCCGAGTAGCGCTTCCATGCCACCTCTGCTCTTCGCCAAAGCTTCTAGGCCAACAAGGTGCATCTTAAGACTAGCCACATCCCCGGACCGCAGCTAATAACGCATATTAACTGCTGCTGCCAATAATGTAGAGGAGGAAATAAAAATATAGACCGAAATAGATTTAACAAAAAGAGTACGCACTCCCAAGCTGGCTAAACAAGTGACGGCCATGATTGTTTCCTTCGTCGTAGTTTTATGAGTAGAATCTGTAATTCCCTGGTTAACCAAAGTGATCGCTTGTCCAAGATGATAAGCCAGAGCTGGGCTTGATTCCACACCCGACAGAGTGCATAGAGTCTTGGCTACGTTTGCGAGCGTTGCATGCAAAATTGCAGGATCTGATATCGCGAAGTTGAGGAAATCTAATTTTCGGAAGGCTGATTTAACGGGTGAGTATAGTCGATTGATATTAGTCAAAGTGGTGTGGTCTAGTCTGGGGGTTAGCAGAACATTCAGTGTGGGAAATGAGTAGAGTAGAGTAGAGTAGTGGGCCCTACTCATATTCTACTCAGGTAAATTTCTCACTACTCATACTCTACTCAATACTCAACTCAACTACTCTAGAATATTTTAGAGTAGTTGAGTAGTACGCATGTGACGTTATACGTAATGCGACACGTGATACGCTAGCCTAATTAGGTAAGGCTCCGGGGTGGCCCGAGTCTAGCGCCACTACACTGCCCAATCAAGTAGTGGCAAGGCTTGGTAAGCAAGGTAGAACCATAATATATTCTTAGGCTTCCTTAGCTATTAAGGGCAAACTCTTCTCTCAAGGTACTCTTATTATATCTAAATTATATAATAGACTTAATAAGAGTACTATTAAGATAATATCTTGCTTAAAAAGCTGGGGGTTATTTAAAGACGAATTAGAAGAAGTAAGGGGGGAAGGAAAAAAGAAGGAAAAGAAAGATTCCGAGAAGGGAAATCTGTTTTTTATAAAAAAAAAAATAGTATTTAAATAGCCTTATATAAGCTCTAGTTTAAATTATATACTGCTACTTAATGGGTACCTTATTTATTTATTAATAATTAAATAAATACCGATTTACTACATTCACGTGACTACTCTTGAGTTACTCTAGAGTAGTACTCTACTGTACTCTACTCAAGTACTATATTACGCTACTCAAACTCTACTCTACTCTACTCAAGACTACTCTAGAGTAGCTTGAGTAGCTTGAGTAGTTTTTGCCCACACTGAGAACATTGATGAGAGAGGTGCCAGGGCCTTGAGGCCAGCGTCCTTGGCTGTGGAATCCACTAGCAACAGCAACGCCGCTGTGTTGATGCTACCAAATAAGGGATCTGTTTTCTGCCCGAAACGTGATAACATCCAACTTACATTGAAAGATCAAATAGTGAGAATGCCCACGTTCATCCACCGGTAACACGTTAAAAGGTTCAAATTTATTGCTCAACGGCCCACGATTTGGGCTGGAGCTTCTCAGCGCAATATTGTCAAGTACTCTGGGAGCTGCTGAATTCGAAGCGTTTCTGGTTTTGCCAGCTTTGTTCTTGGGACGTAGCAGAGGAGGTGTGCGTTTTGAAGACGAGTTTTGCGAGGTCTTTCTCAGTCTTGCTTGGGTACGGATAAGGCGTAGAGCTTCCCCTTTCGGTCGAGACTTCCCAGTCTCAACGATGAATTGAAGGGCCTGGGGGATTCCCGATGTCAGCAAATCGAAAAGGGAAATCAATCATAATCTGCCTTGAAAATGGGGGCGAATATACCGAGCCAAGGTCTGCGGGAATAAACATGTCAGCTATTGGTCTCATCAGGGTTGATAATGTCTGAGGCCTACCAACGGGGTCATCTTCCTCGTTTAACAACGGAATTGATTTCTCCATAAGTGAAGTCGTTAAATGGCATTAGTCTTCAAGCAGCGTGAAGTCCGTTAATGAACTCAAAGGCGCCGCTTTGAAATCAGAGCGCAGCTAAACCTGCATTAGCTTCTGATGTTCTATCTACCCAATCATAAGGAGCTGAGAATGGTTGCACGTGGCCATCGTCTTTGGCCTTGGCGTACTCCACAACAACTTCAAAATTCCAAACAAAAACCTTTGTCATTTTTTAAGATGGTTGGATGAAAGGAATACAAAGGATTTCAAATGCTAAATATTTATTACACAATAACACTTTATAGGCAATAGAAGTGTTGAACTCTTGAAGTGTTGTGATTGGGGTAAGAAACCTGACGTCAAGGACGAGAGAGCATTGATATATTTATGGGCTGTCTTGCAAAAAAGGATTTGAAGTGGTCATGAATTGTTCATTTCAAGTCGCTGTCTAGGTGTAACACTTAATTTCTAGTAGGAGAGAAGAAGATTCTGTGGATAGCAACAGTTTGTAAGAGAGAAACGAGGAATAAAATGGGATCCGCAGATTTTCTTTCGGGTTCTTGAAAAGAAAGCACGAGATGGAGCCTCTCATGCAATGACAACGACTTTGGAGAGTCATGATTCACAAACCAAACCCCGAGCAACGATAACGGTTTGACTTTGAGGCGTGACGCAAGCTTCGATTTGTTGAAGAGCATAATCACAGCTCTTAGAGCTAACACAGCTTGCAAATAAACCTATCTCACTTCCCTCTTCTCCTCCCCTTCCCTCCCCCTCCCTCTCTTTCCTTCATCTGCACCGCTTTATATTAGAAATTCAACTTCTAAAATATCAAAACACCGAAGCAAGACAAAATTAGGGCCAAATGTCAGCATATTCTCAACGAGATTTCTAAACAGAAACAGAAAAATACCTCGTGATGTAGGATATCCCCCTCGCTCCAGCTCAGAAAATTAGGTTTGCTCCTCATGCTAGCCCATCTTATACTTTCGATATGGAAGCGCCAGATAGCGAGCGAGGAGAGACTGCCTTGCACCTGCAAAGCCAGACAAAACCACATTCGAGAGGGGGTGTGTTCCTAGGATACGAAGTTGTGGTTGCGCTATAATGTGAGTGCTTCGAGGGCCCTATGGATTCAACGCGAGAGAAAATGAATCGTTGATCTTCTTTCCTCTCCCTCTGAATTTCCGCAGACATTGGTGACAATAAATGTGTAGAGGAAAATTGAATCCACCCCAGTGAATGATGTAATTTGAAGAGAGGAGGGCGTGAGCATTCACTTGTGAATTCCAAAAGCACAAACCTTACATACTATCATATTCTACATCCCCAGAATCAAAAACCGACAGGCACCTCCTCCATCAACCACTCATCCATTCTCCCTGTCCAAGGCCACGTCGCATGAATCGTTCCATCCTCAGTCCGTGTGATATTCGCTTTCGTTCCTCCTATCGTGAAACTAGCCAAATGTGGCAAATTCGCAACCACGATATTCCCGCCTTCCTCTGTTGCTTCGGCTCCTTCCTTGGTGACTTGACGTAGGTATATCCTGCCCTCCTTGCCAAAATAGACATTTCCACAGCCGGGTCCACCGTTGAAACCAAGACCTAAACTGGAAGAAGGTGGAAGAGCAAGATGCGTTAGATTTTCAAATCCGGTTAGCATGTCCAGCACAGCCTAAACCGATTTTATTAGCGTCTGATCGTACCGTAGTTTGGTAAGGTTAAGAGAATATAATCTTACTTTTAGTCTTCCGGTATCACCCGTGTTCACACCCGTGTAGTCTATTTCTCTCCCCAAAGAGCCAAATAGCCCGAGGCTTTCTATCTGGGGCATAGACTTTATGACTTCTACAACGACTCGTCAGATCCACCTCCTCACCTGCTTGGGCTGGGAAGACAAATACATACCTGAGATGAGTGATGGAGTCCACCCACTATGCCCACCCGACATAGAAAACCGCTTCAGTTTAGGCGTCGATACCGCAGCTTGAATAAGCATCAATCCCCAGTCGCGGTTATCAGGCATATATCCATGATACCACATAAAACCACCACCATTCTTGAGCCTCTCCAGATTCGGACACATACCCACCAGATAATGGCTGGAAGGTCCAGGCTCAAGGTGCTTGATGGACGGCAGAGTCAGGTTTCGCGACTTGAATGCTTCCTCGAAGATGTGAGTGTCTTCTTTACGAATATCCCATTTAAGTGTTTCGAGGTTCATCATGGACTCCAGGACGTCCCCAAAAAGAGTCAAGAGCTGTTCTGGTGGTTTAGGCGGCTCGAGGATCTTCAGATACTGATCTGAATATTTCCCGTCATGCACATAGATGCCGACTTCCATCGTCTTGGCTTGGGTGAGTGCTCGCTGACACCGGTTTATCTCGCCAAGTCTCTCGAGAGCATTCGGCCAGCCGGGACGCGAGATTCCTGCGCGATTGTTGTCGATTTCAAGGTAGTCGAAAATATCAAGTGGTATTTCGAGCCCTTCTCCACCGTTTTTGGTTTCTATCCCTGTTTCGTTCGATTCTGGGTCAGGACCAGAGCATAAGAAGGCCTCTGCGTTTGGAAGCCTCTCGAGCTTGCGCTGATTGGCGAGAATCCATGGGTGTCTTGCATCGAGGATAAATTGAGGTACTGTGGATCGTCGAAATGGGTTCTCAATGAGGTCCTTCAAGGGTTGCTGGAAGCTGGCTAGCCAGGTCTGAACAGATGAGACGCCGAGGAGCGCCATCGTGGTGGGGATCAGTAAGATAAAAGCGCCGAGCTTCATTATTGAAAAAATATGAGGATGGGAAGAATCAGAAAAGGAAATATTTGGTGGTTATAGGTCAAATTTGTTGAAATCTGGCATTTGCTACTCTGCTGGTGCCTGCTGGTGCCTGTTCAACACGTATCGTTGGTTTGACATGTAAGACTGATCGATCAAAACCGGAGTTAGAGGGACGTGGCGGCTTGTTTCCAACCCATGCCTTGACACCAGGATAGAGCTCAGGTTTGGAATCAAAGGTCGGTCGTGTTGAGGAAGGTTGTATTAATTTGGGCGCTGGGGGCAGGGCGGGGCGGGTTAACAGGGAAGGATCCCTCCCCATGTGTCCGCATACCGTAAGCTTAGTAATCATAGTTCTTAAATAAAGGGGGAAGATGTAAAACAACTCCCCACTGCCAGAAACACACCTTGAGAGAACATGGTTTGCAATATAACCTCCGACTGGAACCTCTCTGAGATTAAACCTCAAGCGTTCCATATTACATCAAATGCGCAAATATACCACTGCAAAGGGGGCTATCAGGTATACAAGATGGTGTATTGTGGTGGTCAACGCGAACTTGACCTGATGCTCGTAGCAGGAGACTTCTCTGTCCACCTCTTGGAGAGAGCCATCGAGCCCATCTATGGTGACGGCGATGGAATGACAGGCTACATTATGAAGCGCGATACTCCTCTAGATATCAAGCTTGTTGATCCCAGCTAACGTAAAGCATTACGCAAGGCATGATCTCCGTTATTCAAGAACTACACGGCAAAGGCAGTGCGCACGGCGACATCAAGCCCGCAAACATGCTCATCTGCTCTGATGGCCAGATTCGACTTTGCGATTTCACGGAAGTGAGACCACGCGATGAAGTTTTCGGTGATGGAGAAGGGATGACGACCTTAATTATCTTTCTCAAATGCCAGAATATGGACTACGCCAGTGAGTGGGACCCAGCGCCAGTGGAAGAGGATGATCTGTTTGCGCTTGGGTTGGGCATTTGGCAGTTGCGGAAAGGGGATGTGCCGTTTGGTGATGTATATATGGATGATATTTAACTGCTTTGAGATGAGAAAAGCCGGCTTCAAGTTTCACGTTACGGTTGGCAATCGATTACATGAGCGCATCGACCTTCAATACTATCATTGAGGTTGAGTAGATGAATATAACGGCTAAGGCTCTTCACTCTATGCAAAGAAACTAGAACTTTCATGTTTCTCAAAGGTTAGACCAAGAATGAGGCAATGAAAAGTATCTTTCACAAATCTCTCGAAACTTCATCGAACTTAGGTCTGGAACTCCCATCTCACATCCTCATCACTCCTCACCACCTCCTCTTCAGCCACCTCCCCACCCTCCCTCTTCTCACTCTTAATCTTATTCTCCCTCCTCAAAGATACCCACAGCGTCCCCGTCACCAAAAGATTAGCAACCAAATACCCCAACGCAAACCCATGCCCCAAATGCCATCTTGGACTCGTCTTCGGCCTATAAAGTTGCGTTCCAAGTACTGCCCCAAGATTCCCAATCGTGATCGTCATCGCGGTAGCAGTAGCCCGCTTCGTCTGCCCACTCACATTCGCCGTCGCCCAACTGAGTACAATTGCACAACTGGGGTAAATCCCGGCAGCAGCGAAAATCGTGCTGAGATAACTTACGCCGGGCTTTTCGATGGGCACAGTGAGAAGGATGATGTACCCGATGATTGCGAGTGAGGAAGAGGCGAGGATGAATGGGGAGCAGCGATGGGTCTTCTCGGCCAGGATGGCGACGATTACGGTGAGGATTGTGGCCACGGCGTAGGGTGGGACGGTGAGTAGTTGGGCTTGGGCGGCTGTATATCCTAGTTCTGTGATGAGGGTGGGGAGGAAGAGGGAGAGTGTGTATAATGGCAAAGACATGGTATGGAAGCCGGGGCCGTAGAGCCAGCATTTGTAGTCCTTGAGCGCGGCGAGGACGTTGGTCCAGGCGAAGGGTTCGCTGTTATTAGCGTCGGTGCCTTTGAGGCGTGCGTGGATGAATGCTCGCTCCGGCTCGTTGAGGAATGGCGCGGTGGAAGGGTAGTTGTGGATGAAGAGATATGCTACGAGGGCGATGACTACAGTCAGTAGACCTTCCTAATGCATATGTCAGCTCTAGATATCAATTATCATCCTCGGAGGACTCACAAGAATGAAAATCCACCGCCAACCATTATAATTTGCAACCCCCTTCATGAACCCAATCCCATAAGCAAAAATTCCACCAAAAGCACCAGCCAGCGAAGCAGCAGAGAAGAAAAGCGCAACTCTGTAATGACTCTCCGTCCTCTTATACCACATCGAAAGGTGGAACACCACACCAGGAAATAGTCCACTCTCAGTGACGCCAAGGAAGAATCGTGCTGCGAGGAAACCGCCGAAGTTCTGCGAGACACCCATTAATGTGGCGACGATGCCCCAGAGGAGCATCAGCGTGGGAAGCCAGAGCTTGGGCGTCGTCCGCTTGAGCATAATGTTGCAGGGGATTTCGAAGAGGACCTTCGTTCATCAGCAAAACTATCTCATTTTTGGAGGGTGGAAAACTCACATATCCGATGAAATATATAGTTAATGCGAAGAGGTATTGGTTTCCCGTGATGTGTAGATCCTTTGTCAAGCCATCGAGTTTGGCATTGCCGACTTAAAGATGATCAGTGATTATTATTGAGGGAAGCGGGGAGGACATGCTGTTGCTTCGATCCAGAAATGAGAGCAAATAAAGCAGCGTCAACGGAGGAAAGAGTTTCAGATCCAGCATTCTCAACAAAGCTTTCTCATTGATGCCCGTCGGATTGGTCAGGGATTCATCTGATACCAGTGACGGGGCAGCACTTGCGTTTCCGTGATTCTCAAGCGCAACCTTCTCGTTTTCTGGCAAGGTCGACATCTTGCTCAAGGCTCAAAAGGTGCGGCACTGCCTTGAGTTGTTGAGATGTGATGCCGTCTGATGAAGGAGTTTTACATTTCAATCCCGCTATGATAACGGAAAACCCATTCAAAAACCAACTGACAATACGTCAAGATAAGAGACCCAGACTCTCACAACTTCAAGCCCGCAAATGACGACTTAAGAACCGGATGCTTCTATCCCTCTAGAATCCCTACCCATCCCCGCCCCACCCTATCGCATTCCTCCCACAATCTGGCATGCTGACTGCATCTCTGCCGGGTCGCGGCAGCCAGGGCGTATTTGGAAACTGATATGCAAGTTCAGGCAGGGGAAATGGCGGAGAGTGGTCGTTGTGTAGATAGCGGATGGTGAGACACCTAGACAAGATGTCGTGATCGTTGGATTTGAGTGTCGGGTCTCCACATTCGGCAGTTTGGAGCGCAGATCAGACTGCACGTGATGAGAACGACAAGAGCTTTGGCCTGTAAATATTTAGCCGTTTTGAGGGGAATACAGTGAGAGACATGGTCTACCGGGATGGGAATTGGAAAGCTGATTTGGTGATTTGGGAGAATACTGTAGCTGGAGAGTTGGGTTGAAATCGAGGTGGACCACCTCTGCGAACCACTTCGAACACCAAAATTGTCCTCTTTACTCATATTTAGAAGCTTCAAATTGTAGACTTGAAAATGTGTTGATTCATGATTATCTATCGCTCGGAGATGCTATCCCAGCACTCGTTTCAGAGGATCTGCTCCTCAGTGCTCACTGTTCTTTCTCGATGTTCTCAAGAAGACTGTCGATTGGGTATTGTGCCAAAGCCAGAAACACCTCTTTTCCCATGCAAGACCGTCCATGCAAGGATTACCATGATGCTGAAGTAATACACAGGGAAAGAAGGAGTAGTCCAGACTGTCGATCAGAGCCAAGTCGGCATCAATCGACAAAAGAGAAGGAAAGTGGGATCATGTAAATGTCGGTTGGGGTGGGTGTACACCGACAGAAATGGGGGAATTGGTGTTTTTACAAGTCGAGCTGTTGGTAAGTTCGCTCAGATGGTTGTGCCCTCTAACGCCAGGACCTTTGACTTATCGCCAAGGAATTTGGAGCGGTGGGCAACAATCTCAGACGCGATAATGTCAAAATCTCTAATCTTCCGCACTCGCAGGTCCATGAGAACTTGTCTTAATCCCTCGCAGAATTTCTCTCGCTGCTCTCCTGTGAATTCGTCGGGGGATCCAAGGGCAGTTAGAACTGCGTCATCTGCCACGCTACAAGTCAGCTTGACAGACCAGACGGAAAACCAAGAACGGGGAAAAGCTCGTGCCGGCTTTATATAACCCACGCACCGGGGAGCTTGGTGTCTCTGAAATGTTGAAAGTCGCACGTGGTATCGTTGCAAATACCCCCTGCTAATTCATAGCGGCAGAATTCTGCGTTAGGATCGATCTTGTGACTGTATGTCATGGATCTCAAACCTCCAGCAATGTCCTCTTTGAACTCGGGATGGAATCTGTACGCTCGAAATTGCTTTAAGGGGCTTTCGTAAGGAGTGAATAATTGAATCTTGTTTGAATCCTCCTTGGAGACATCCTAAAAGCTATTAGCAAACGCGGGGAAGTTAGGAGTATATAAAAAAGCCGTTTACTTCAAGAAGCGCTTGAGCAGTGCCATCGGCCAATGGCTGGATATAGTCAGTTGTGATTTCCCCATCCTCACTAATTGCCTGCGTCGAGTTAATTTCCGGTATAGATTCATCTGCGACTTCGTGGATAGATTCGGGTGGGGCAGGGCTGAATGGTGGTGACTCGGGAGCTTCAGTTGGGGCTGTCGCATCTGGCGGCTCGTAACCGTCGGACTCGCGGTCAGTAACTTCTGGAGCGGTACGGTTGAGCTCGGGCAAGTATTCCGGGCTTCGGTTGTCCTCCTCGATGGGTTCCGCAGGCACTTCCGGTGCTAATTGAGCTGGGTCGGGGGCGTACGAAACCTCCATGTCCATCACATGGCCGTCACGAGAATGGGAGTCTGCTTCCGCCCGTACTGCCTCCTGCAACGCCGCCTCGAGTGCTTGATCAGTTGGCTCGCTCTCGACAGAAGCCTCATTTGTCTCCATTGGTTCTAGTAAAGCGTTCTCAGCACGATCTTGATTGTCATCTGTATTTGTCGTAGGATTCGAGTCACCATTGAGGGCTGTTGCTTGTGTCGTGGCTTCGTTAGGTAGGCTGGCGGGGGTCTTGGATCGTGACGGAAGTCTCATTTGCGCGATCGGGGGCGAAGATGGTGGAACAGAGGGATCTATCGGGTAAGTTCGTGGCTTTGCGAGGTAGTGCTACACATAAGAAAAGGTGGGAAGTCGTGGAGTTGATCTTAAAGAACAGAAAACATACCATTGCTGCTCCGAGATTCTTGCTGGGTTAGAGTATTCAGTTTGTCCTTCTGCTCTTGAAGCTGGTCCTCTGCCTCTTGTCCGAGTCGTTCCATCTCCTCGGCAAGTCTTTGTTTGTCCTCCAAGCTCTTCTGAACAGCAGCTTCAATCTTTGCCATTTCAGCTCTCAACTGTTCCAACCTCGTTTGGTTCTGAAGAACCTCAGCTTCGACCAAGGGCAAGTCGGATGCTATCTTTTCACGACGTAGACGCTTTTGCTCGGCCTCGTTGCGCTTCAGCTCAGCAGCCTTTTCGATCTCGGCAGTTTGAGCATCCGCAAGCTTTTGCTGCTCCAGAGTGGCTTTGTTATCTGCAATGACGATTAAACTTTGCATTTTGATCGAAGCTGCAACTTTGCTTCCCAAATTGGGCTCTTCTGAAACATTGGCGTCTTTCGCCTCCGAGCCATTTGACTCAGAGGCTCGAGGGGTGAGAGTCCCACTCGGAGTCTTTCGAGCCCTCTTTCGTGCTTCCGCTTCGGCAATCTTCTTTTTCAACTCCTCTATCTCGCTCTCTTTTCGTATCAGAACGTCAGGTCTACCGAGGGAAGCTTTCGAAGACATCGAGGGAGTGTTGGTTGCGGAAGTATTTGGGGGTGTGAAAGGTTTACGGGTTGGAGGGTTCGTTGGCGGCATATTCTGAGCATTGGTAGATCGGGGATCGGACATCTTTCGGACGGAGTGCGCTGGTGAATCCTGGTCTGCTTGAGAATCGAGATCCATCGCAACATCCTCATCTTCGTCATCACTGAGATCGATTACCAAAGAGGGTCGTCCATCGTTGTGCGGGCTGTATCCGAATGGCCGCTTGAACGTGCTCATTGCGGGGAGAGGATCGTCGAAATCGGCAGCGACCGGACGCTTGCGTTGACTGCTTGGAAGGGGAGTAGGAAGAGCGACTTGCAGAGTTGGTTGTTGGCCAGGGCTTGCAGCAGCTGATGCTAGGAACAGACCCGGGATCATCAGAGGCTGTTGTTGCGTCTTGGGCTGCGGGTTTGGCTGCTGCGGTGCTACGGGTAGTTGTTCTGAAGGAATCGGTTGTGCAAAAGAGGTTTGCGGTTGAGCTTTCGCGATAGTTGGAGATTGTGGAGGTGAATTCGGCTTTTCAGATATAGACTCTGTAACCTTGGTTGCCTCTAGCTGGGGAGCTGGGACTAGTGCTACCAACGGGTTCATCTTGGCTGCCGCTTTCTGAGCGCGCTCTTCCCGTGACTTCCGAAGAGCGTCCATTTTAGTTTGTAAAGTCCGTTCTTTTTCCGTCATCATCGTTGACTTTACTGGAGCAGACGCTAGTACTGTATTGGTTGAAGGAGATAGCGATGCTTGCGGCATGCTTGTGCCTTTCGGCTGCTGCAAATTTGTGCCCAGCGATAATGACGAGGGACCATGTTGAGCATCGTTCAAACCAGCTGCCAGGCTACGTGTTCCGGTGCCATTGCGTTGTTCGTTGGAAGTTTGGGGGCCAGAGGCGAGGTAGATTCCATTCGGAGCTTTGGATGATGTCCGAGGCATCTTGAGATCATCAAAAAGTGCGTCCACAATATCCTCCTTGAACCCTTCATCGATGTATGTTTGATATCGGACATCGTAAGGCAAGAGATTGAGTATTGCTCCTTGAGCCTTCTTACGATACTCCGCGACTGATTTGCCATTTGCTGCACTAGCAAGCTGCCCGAGGGCTGGCTGACTGGGAGCCGGAGCTTGAATGCCACTATCCGCCTTCGGCGATGTGTGATATCCGTTTGCATAGGAATTATGTTGTGGCTGATTGGCTGTCCCATCCTGTGCCCATCCATACTGACTCTGTGGTGTCCCATTGATAGGATCTTGATTGTGGCTGGGTGCATATGCATTGCGTGCCTGAACTCCTCCTGGTTGCTCGTCATGGTCAGCTCCGCCAGGTGAAACGTACGGTGAGTAAGAGTCTGATTGTTGACGTCCCATCTGAGAGGTATTGTGACTGGGATAGTTGTAGTTTGCTGAAGTGTGTAAGTGAACGTGAAAGCAGTGGAAGTTTGAGCCGGAAATACCTTGGTAACCCGACTGTGGACTGTAGTCCTGAGCTCGGGAATACACAGCACGTTGTGCGGTATCCATGTAGCCAGTCCCATCATTTCCGCAGTAATGATTTGAGCCATAACCAATTGGGGGAGTATTGGTTGAAGCCCCAACATCTTCGAACTCTCCCTCGCTGAGGTCTGCTTGCTCAAAGGGCTTGGCTACCCCGGTGTTCTGGTGGTAGCTCTGCTGGTTCATGGCTTGGTGTTGGTAGTTTTGCGGGTTGGCTTGGGAGGCATTACCATAGCTGGCATATTGTGGGGGATTGTGTGGCGCCGTATACGAAGGCAGTGGGACAGAGTCCTGGTTCCAACCTTGGTATATTGGCAGAGGAGGAACTCCCGAGGCAACAGCTGCAGCGCTGAAGGTAGGTACAGCCCTATTGTATGAATAGGCTGCCATCGACGCGTCATAATTCGCAGCCATGTGCCCTGTGCGGCCATCGTCTCCTTGGATATATTGATTTGGGTATGTTGGGGGAAGGTAGGATGGGTTCGTCTGATCTCGAGCTCCATAGCTTGCGCCGTATGACGGCGTTGATGGATAGTCTGACATCGTCTTGTATGACGAGATTCATTCGTACGATGGACGATAGAGCTTGATGGTTAGTGACAGATATCTCGAGGTGCGGTCAACACTCGAGCGTCATTGTGCAACAAAAAGAAAGGGCTCTACAGAGGGTGAAAAGGGGCCGCAGAACGTCGAGTAAGAAACGCGATGGGAACAAAGACAACGCAGATCAGATTCTTCAACCGGAGGCTGATTGATGGTGGTCACTTGGACTTGGGAGGATTGTTGAAAAGTATGGGGAGCAAATGAAGCTGTCGCGCGCGGCTTGTTAAGGTTTGAAGACGATGCGCGCTAATTCAGAGCGGCGCCTTGCCTAAATCATCTTAGCGCATGAGCATGGGCCGCCACTTCCCTGCGCGTTGTTTACTTTCGGAGCTCACCCACTCACGACTCGTGCCCCCATCAACACACCAAAGGTCGACAGAGACAACGATAATCTTACAACCACCGCCTCTTTTTCATATGTGGTCGCGAATAATTGCGTCCCTCACATCGCTTTCTTGCTTTTGGCTTCTTTACGACTTTCCAACCTCGGTCTTTTACGCTCCCGACGATTGTATGGCTTGACGTTATTTTGCTTCTGTTTCGAACCGATACATGTTCATTTCGGTGGCTTGAACACCACGAAATGGCGTCACAAAAGCGCAATAATCCATTCTCAAGGACGGGCTCCCCATCACCAGTTCCAGGGAACACCAATGGCAGACCAAAGTCAACCATATTATCTTCGCCGTTGTCGGGCACCCAAAGCCCTCCTCACAATCGCAATCAGTCATTTTCTTCACTCGCGGGAGTTATGTCTCCTAATAATAATGCCACAGGGCGGTATCGCTCCAATTCAAAAACTGGCACACCTACTTCTAATACCTTTGCACCCTCATTTATCAAAGCCGAAGACATGCAGCGTGGCACAGAGGTGGTCAAAGGCATCGAGGGAGAAAACGACTTCTCGGGCAAGAGATACATTTGGCTGAAGGACCCGCAAACAGCGTTTGTGAAAGGCTGGATAGTTGAAGAGTTAGGCAATAACCAGATCTTGGTTCAGTGCGATGATGGCAGCGTAGGTCGGACACTGGGCTAGTGCGAGACATTGCTAACCCCATGTTAGCAACGAGAGGTCAGCGCGGACAGCGTTGACAAGGTAAATCCAGCCAAGTTCGACAAGGCTGATGATATGGCGGAACTCACGCACCTCAACGAAGCTTCGGTCGTCCACAATCTGCATATGAGATACCAGACAGACCTCATCTACACATACTCTGGGTTGTTCTTGGTCGCCATCAATCCATATTGCCCACTCCCAATCTACACAAACGAGTATATCAACATGTACAAAGGGCAAAGCCGGGAGGAAACGAAACCCCATATTTACGCCATGGCAGACGAGGCTTTCCGGAATTTGGTAGATGAAGGAGAGAACCAGAGCATTCTAGTAACTGGAGAATCTGGTGCCGGAAAGACCGAAAACACGAAGAAGGTCATCCAATATCTTGCGGCAGTTGCCCATTCGGACTCGCCAGTCAAGAACAAGACCCAGCACTCGAATCTTTCTCAACAAATCCTTCGAGCGAATCCGATATTGGAAGCTTTTGGTAATGCCCAGACGGTGAGAAATAACAACTCGTCGCGTTTTGGGAAATTTATCCGAATTGAGTTTACGAGGACTGGGACCATTGCTGGAGCCTTCATCGATTGGTATCTGCTCGAAAAGTCACGGGTGGTGCGGCTCAATTCCCACGAACGAAATTATCACGTATTCTATCAGCTATTGAAAGGGGCGGATCGTAAAATGAAACAAGATTTCCTGCTTGATGGCCTAGATGTTGAGGACTTTGCTTACACCAAAGATGGCCACGACACAATCGCAGGAGTCTCGGACCGAGACGAATGGAATTCATTGACTGAAGCTTTCGATATTGTTGGGTTCTCAGAGAAAGAGCAGGTCTCCATTCTTCGCACCATTGCTTCTGTGCTTCATCTTGGTAACATCAGCGTTGTAAAGGAGAGCAGAGCTGCCGATCAAGCACGGCTTGCTCCTGACGCCAGAACACAAGCGGAAAAGGTCTGCAAGCTGCTGGGAATGCCGGTTGAACCATTCCTCCAAGGGCTTCTGCATCCCCGAGTCAAAGCAGGCAGAGAATGGGTGGAAAAAGTCCAAACTCCAGAGCAGGTACGACTTTCGATCGACGCCTTAGCCAAAGGTATCTACGAGCGAAGCTTTGGCGACCTTGTCACTCGTGTCAACAAACAGCTTGACAGGACTGGTATGGGTCTAGATGATTCACATTTTATTGGAGTGCTTGATATTGCTGGATTCGAGATCTTCGAAGAGAACAGTTTCGAGCAACTGTGCATCAACTACACAAACGAGAAACTCCAGCAGTTCTTCAATCACCACATGTTCGTGCTAGAACAGGAGGAGTACGCTCGGGAACAGATTGAATGGAAATTCATCGATTTCGGCCACGATCTCCAACCCACGATTGATCTCATCGAGTTACCGAACCCAATCGGTATTTTCTCCTGTTTGGATGAAGACTGCGTCATGCCAAAGGCCACAGACAAGTCTTTCACAGAAAAATTGCACTCACTCTGGGACCGAAAAACTCCAAAATACCGCCCTTCACGACTTGGGCAGGGTTTCATGCTCACTCATTATGCAGCTGAAGTAGAGTATTCAACAGAAGGCTGGCTTGAGAAGAACAAGGATCCCTTGAATGACAATATCACAAAGCTCCTAGCAGCATCCACTGACAAGCATGTAGCGGCTCTTTTTGCTGACTGTGCTGATGGAGATGATGATGTGGGATCTACCAGAAGTCGAGTCAAGAAGGGTCTCTTTCGGACCGTGGCCCAGAGACACAAAGAACAACTGTCTAGCTTGATGGCCCAGTTGCACTCTACCCACCCTCACTTTGTCCGATGTATCATTCCCAACCACAAGAAGCGTCCGAAGCAGCTGAGTGCGCCACTTGTCCTCGACCAATTGCGATGCAATGGTGTTCTTGAGGGTATCCGGATTGCTCGCACTGGTTTCCCTAATCGCTTGCCATTCTCAGAGTTTAGACAGCGATACGAGGTGCTGTGTCGAAATATGCCGAAGGGTTACCTTGAGGGTCAAACAGCAGCCACTATCATGCTTGATAAATTGGGCCTAGACAAATCGCTTTTCCGAGTTGGTCTCACAAAAGTTTTCTTCCGAGCCGGCGTACTGGCAGAACTTGAAGAACAACGCGATGCTCTCATCCGGGAGATTATGTCGCGGTTCCAATCAATTGCAAGAGGCTTCACCCAGCGTCGTATTGCACACAAGAGACTTTACAGAGCAGAGGCAACTCGCATCATTCAGCGCAACTTCCAGGTCTACCTCGATCTTTGCCAGAACCCTTGGTGGAGACTTCTGGTCAAGATGAAGCCACTTCTTGGAGCCACTCGTACGTCCGGAGAGGTCAAGAAACGCGATGAGATGATCCAGAAGCTCAGCGAGAAGATGAAGCAAGAGGCTGCTGAACGACAACGACTTGATGAGGAGCGCCGTAATGCACACACCGAAATGCTCCGTATTCAACAAACATTGGAGAGCGAACGAGCTCTCGCTTTGGATAAGGAAGAGATTTTCAAGCGGCTTCAATATCGAGAAGCTGAACTCAGTGATAAGCTGGCAGGCGCTTTGGAAGATCAAGAAAAGCTCGAGGATCAACTTGATGACATCCTGGACGCAAAGAAGAAGGCGGAACAACAATCAGAGAAATGGCGTTCTCAGCTAGAGCAGGCTGGCCAGATCATTGCCAAATTGGAAAATGAGAAGAGAGACCTCGCTGAGAAGCTCGACGATCTGGACGCCCAATTAGCTGAACTCAGCCAGTCACAATCGCAACGCAGCGCTGAAGAATCACGACTATTCCAAGAAATCAATATGCTCCAAAGTCAGCTCAGCATGAAAGACCGCAAACTCCATGATCTTGAAAGAAAGATCCTCGAGGTTGACCAAGACGCTGTTGTCAAACTGGCAGGCACGACCAAGGAGCTGCAAGCTGTTCGAAGCCGAGAGCAAGATCTAGCAAAAGAGAACCGCAGAGTTCACCAACAAATAGCTGAATTATCTCAAACGTCTACAAAGTATGAGGATCTCGTTCGCCGAAAAGAAAGTGAGCTTGCGGTTCTTCGATCCGACAATCGAAAGTATGAGGAAGAACGCAAACGCTTCGACGACGAAAAGCGAACATTGGTCACTGATAAAGACAATGTGATTAATCGCCTTCGCGAAGTCCAAGCTGAAATGTTTGCCATGAAATCGCAGAAATCTCATCTTGAGAGGGAAGCTGCTGACGCCAAAAAGCTTTTGGAAGCACGTCTCACCGAGGATGCTCAAGCAGGCCAAAATCGGAAAATGTTGGAAGGACAGATCGCTGACCTCAAAGAGCAACTTTCTGAAGTTCAAAGGGATCTTAGCAAAGAGCGCCAGTCAAGAGACGATGTCCAGCTGCTCTCCGAGCACAAATTTCAGCAGCTCAACGAGAAATATCAGGAAGTAAACGAAGCCAAGATCATCATCGAAAAGGAGCTTTACGTACAGCAAGATACTCTCAGACGAGCCATGGAAGCCTGCGTCACTGCTGAGAAGGAGCGTAACGAGGCTCGCAATGAGATCAGGAGGTTGAGAGAGGCCAAGGCCGCCGCTGAAGAGGCTAGAATTCAAGCCGAGCTTTCGAATGACAAAGCCGCTCTGAAGCTTGCTCGGGAGAGAGAGGCTAGCTTGCGAAAAGACCTCAATGCCGAACAAAGCCGAGCAAAGTACTTTGAAGACGAATGTTCTCGCCTGAATCAGCAAGTCAAGGAGCTAGAGATGATGCTCGCCGAATCTGGGACATTCAGTTCGAAGAACGATCAGGAGAAAGAGCGTCTTGAACGAGAGCTCAACACCGCGAAGAGCAGGTTGATGGCGTCGGAGAATGATAACCGTGCCTTGTTGAATAAGATTCAGCAAAAGGGCCTTGAGCTAGCAAGATCTGGATCGAAAGTAAGCGAGGCTAGTCGAGGGCAAGTGTTGACATTGCAACGAGAAAGGGCCAAAGTTGAAGAACTGAATCAGAAGCTTCGAAAGCAGCTCGAAGATGCTCAAATCGCCTTGGCGTCTTCTGAGAAGCAGAAAGAGAAGCTTCAGCTCAACTTAGAAGATCTCAACCACCAAATGACACATGAGCATAAGACAAGTCGAAATGCCGAAAAAGCTTCTTCAAACTTTACAACCCAGCTCGCGGAGATTAATAGGAAATTGGAAGCTGAGCGTCAACTACACTCCCAAACTCAAACCAAAGCTCGACAGCTTCAGACCATGGTGGAGACTCGGGACAAAGACTTGCTCCAATTGGTCAAAAAGATCGACCCCTATATGGCTCCTCCAGTGCCTCAAATAGATGGGATCAACGACAGGAGCCCAACGAAATCTCCAAATCTCGTCCCTGGACTTGTTCAGAAGGTTGAAGAGCTGCTTCAAAATCTCAGGGTGCAAACTGCTGGACGGACGAATGCAGAGGCACAAGTAGCCGAATTGCGCAGAAGACTTGAAGAAGAGTTCGGGGATTCTCCTAGTCGTCCCAAGCTGGAGGAGATCAATCCCAACCAAGTTTCTTTCAATCAGTCTCCAAGTCATCTTCGCAACAAGCTCAATGCTCGGCCTCGCTCCAATGTTTCAACGCCGACCCGCCGCCACCCTAGCAATGGGACTGATGTTCAAGACTCTGGAAGATCTGATCGCACTGCCGATATCCTTAGCTTCAATAATCGCCAGGATCTGAAAGCTGATGTGGAGGAATTGCAAAATCAGCTGCAATTGACTCAGATGCAAAATCGCCATCTTCAGAGCCAACTTGAGCGGTCAACCCCTGCGCGAGAACTTTTCCCCGATGACAGCCCGTCTCTTCGTCGTGTGCAGAAGCTGGAACAAGCGAACAGTAGACTTCATGAGATGCTCGATGATTCCGCGAAGAAAGTGTCAGCTCTAGAGAGAAGTATCCAGACAGGTGATATTTCTCTTCGTGATATCCAAACGAAATCTCACGAAGAGCTTTTCGACCTTATCAACAACCAGGAGGACTCTCGACGATCTCTGTTGCATGCTTACAAAGATACTTCGTCTGAGTTGACCGACGTCAAGCAGCATTATGAAAGCTTGAAGCATGCACGTGCGACAATAGAAGTCGAGCTCAGAGATGCTAAATCGGATCTCGAGGAAGCAACTCTGCAACGAGACCAAGATGCCGCGAGCCGCAGTCAGCTTCTTGAAGAATTCGCTGATCTTCAAATCAGACTAGACACTGAGTCCTCTAAGCTTGCAGATGTTTCCTCTAGCTTGTCCTTGTACAAAAGTCGTGCAGATGAGTATTTCAGCAAGCTTGAGCAGGCAGAAATCGCCGTAATGAAAGCGTCAAGGGCTGAACAATTCGCCAAGACTCAGGCGAAAGAAGCCGAGGATACATGCGCAGAGATCATGTCAGAGCGGAAACAGATGGATTCCACAATCGAGGACCTTCAGCGACAAAACCAGAGCTATGAAGAGAAGCTCGAAGATCTCTCTGCTGATCTTGAAGCCGCGGTGCAAGCCAGGAAGCGATTGCAGCATGAGCTCGAGGATTACAGGAGTCAGAGGGCAATGGACATCGAAGACAAAGAAACCAGCATGGAGCAGACGCGGAAGAAATACCAGACCGAGTTCGCAACACTTACCCACGAACTGGACATTGCTCGAGAGGAGAAACTCTTCAAGCAAGACGAAAACACCAGACTTCGAGAGGAGCTTGAGGAGCTTCGATCAAAATGGGACGATGAAGTGCTCAACAGCTCCACTTGGTCGAAGGAGAAGGCTCGCCTGGAGTCTACTCTTTCTGATCTTTCCGAATCTCGCGATGAAGCTATCAAGGCTCATACCAATGCCCAAGACAAGATTGTGTCGTTGATGTCTCAACTTCAAGGCTTGCGAACATCAATGGATGATGTCGCTGCCGAGAGGGATACTCTTCAGCGGGAGAAGCGCAGTCTCGAAGCTCGTCTAGAGGAAGCCAAATCCGGGCTTGAAGAGCTCGCTCGTGGCGATAGCCCTTCATTGCGCAATGCCGCTGGCATGGATCGCGAGATCCTGGAGCTGAAGTCCAACCTAGCACAGCAAGAAGACATTGTCGCAGCCGCAGTCGGCAAGATGAAGCGCGCCGAAGCTCTAGCATCCGAAATGCAAAAAGACATCGTCGCCGAGCGGGAGCAGACCGCCCAACTCAGCAAAGAGAAAGCCGCGCTCGAGAAATCGCTCATGGAAGTGCAAGTCCGGCTCGTGGACCTCGAGACCAAGGGGTACTCTAGCGCTAGCCAAGACGTCCGTTTCCTCCACGGCCGCGTCCAAGAGGTACTGCCGACCCCGCCAATGCTTCCACCCCTTCCACCCTTCAACCCCATCAGCTTCATGACCAAAAACACAAATACTAACAAAGAATAGCTCGAATCCCAGCTCGAAGCGCAAGAAACGGAGCGCAATAAGTCGCAACGTTCGGTGCGCAACGTGGACCGCACGGTCAAAGATCTACAGTTGCAGATTGAGAGGCGAGAAAAAGCGAATACGCAGCTGCAAGAGGACATCGCGCGCGGGAGAGACAAGATCGAGAAGCTGCTTAAGACAATCGACGAGCTGCAGGTTTCTGAGTCTGAGGCTGGCCTTTCTGCTAGACGCGCCGAGAGAGCAGCAAAAGAAGAGGCGGCCAAGGCGTTGAGACTTGAGAGGGAAGTTGAGGGGCTGAAAAGTCTGGGAGGTAAGAAGGGCTTTGGCAGGAGCGAGAGTGTGTGGAGTTTGGCGAGTGGCATGGGGCATATTAGACATGATTCCAGTGCGAGTCGGATGAGCAGTGGCATGGGACCTGGGACCGGAGCAGAGGAAAATGGGATCGAGGTCCCGAAGCGGAAGAGCAGTATTACGAGGAAGGGGAGCATGAGTAAGGGGTTTTTGTGAGGCGAGTGAGCGAAGTGAGGGAGATTTGCGTGAGCGAAGTGGGCGGGCCTTGTTAATTCTGGGAGACTGGGAGGTAAATAGGGGTGGGGTGGGAAAAAAGAGGGCAATGAGTCGGTGCGGCGTTTTAGAAAGCGGGTGGGGTACATGCATGCAGTATTTTGTATTATTGACATTGTCGGATTGTTTATTGGTTTCCAGGGTGGTAGTGTGTCAATAGAGTTTCCTGAGTGTGTGCTGGTGCTTGTTGAATCTGTGAATCCGTGATTTTATGTCTGGAAGGCCAGAGTTCAGAACAGATCATACCGCTGATCAGATCCATCTCCTGGACCCAACATATACAGCAAAGTCCATACAGCCAGAGAAAACCGAACTCCTGCTTTCCCAGAGATTCAAAGGGTATCATGCAGCCTAACCTATGCCCAGAACCAACTTTCCCAGGTCGCCGGCCTATCCATGATCAACCAAACCTATCATGTTTCAACAAGGGCAACGGCGGCCCCTTAACGCTCTTCCTCCACTGGACCTCGATCTTCGATATCTTCTCCTTGGCGTGAAACAGCTTATGTTCCTGGATACTCATCTCCGGCACATCCTCTTCCCACTTCCGCAACACATCCTGGCGGTTACACACATCCTTCAGGGCCGCCTCACTCACAGTATACATCTTGCACGCCTTCTTTCTCAGCTTGTTGATCCTCTCCCTAGTCCTCAAACTCGCCGTTGGATCCTGGCCATTCATCCGCCGGTTTCGCTGCTCCTCTTTCCATCTGTGTTCTTCGTAGCGCACGTGTAGGTTACAATCTCCGCAAAGAACGCCGTAATCAACACATGATTTGGAGGACGGCAGATAGGGGAATGAAATGGCGGACATATAAAGGTGTGCTATTTGTTTTGGTGTTTCGGGCGGGATGTAGTTTGCTGTTGGGCTGATGTCTGACTCGTCGGAGGGGGAAATCAGGGGGTGGTGGTACGTCGTTGCGGTCCTGGAATTCCCGAATAATGCGAGGCGTTCCTTTTCGTTGGTTTGTTCGGGGGTCGATGTTATGGAGTACGCGAGGAGGAGGCTTGTCCGTGGGGATCGTGGTGCTGCGGACGGAATCGGGGAGTAGTGGCCTGGGAGCGTGGTGACGATGGGGAGGGAGGTGGGGGTGGAGCAGAGGGTGGAGTTCTTTTGGCAGCGCAGGGTTATAAGCGTCATTAGCTCGACTGGCTTGAGGAGTTCGTTGTTGCGCAGACAGAAGAGGCAGATTCGGCGGCCTTCGTAGAGGGAAAGGTAGGAGCCAAAGGTGGATCGGGGGTTATCGCTGGGTGGGAGTTAGTAAGTGCGAGAGGAGGGTGTGAGGGGTACTGACGAAGTTCTGCAGTAATAACATTCCATGGTGGTCAGCGCGTGGTGCAATCGCCGGAGGGGAATGTGGGGAGAGACGCCGGTGCTTAGACAAGCTCTCAGTGCTTGCGGCGCATGCTCGTATAGCTCCTGATATTGGTAGAGAGACTCAATGGCAAGTCTGGTGTACTGAGAGACCCGTCTCATGGCCGTTAAAGTCGCCAGATCTAGGTAGGACAGACATGCTTGGTAGAGCTCGATTGGTAGGGATTGAAGCTTACTACCGTGCCACTCGTTGGTCTGCCGTCCTATGTGAGGGTTGCTGAAGGGTTTGGTGCGGCCATTGTCCAGACGGCAGTGGGTCAATAGCACGAATCGGTCGATGAATGGCTCAAATATCGTCGTCTTCTCATCGTGCGAGCAGCAAGAGCAAGACATGCTGACTGCCAATAACTATTTTCCTCTTACGTCCTTGCGCTCAGCCGGTCTGCTGCGGTGAAGTGGCGTACCAAGGCTTGGATGTGCCTTGGAGGAGCTTGATCGTGGCCGAGTCGGGGCGCTTCAAGACGAGGCTGAGAGATGAATCGAGTCTGCGCAGAGCGGAGATCTAAATGTGCGGTGGCACCTAGTCTCATTAGCGCAAGCCCCCTTCGTAGAATCTGCGACCTTATGGTTAGTATGTCTGAATATAGGGCGGTCGTTGTTGTTCGATGAAGGTAGTTAAGTTAAAGAGTATCAATCTACCTTGTGCCCCGCTATTTTAGTGCAGTAAGGTTACTCGGCAGGGTTTGTCCGCTCGCACGTGATCGGCTGAACACCAAGGTAATTTCAACCTCACTCCATTATTTACTTCTCTCCTTGCCATCTTCACAAATCCATCTCACCTCATCCAAGCAAGTGCCGACATCTACAATCAACAAATTGCTATTCGAGATTACCATTTAGCAATGCACCGCTCGGTTAGAGCTCATATTTTCTCGCGATGCCATTCCTGGGCTCCCAACCACTGCAGCCTTCATCCTTTCGCGGCGTCTCACATTGCCAAATTAGAGACACGGAAAGTCTCTTATCGATCGCCGCTAGCTTTTTTCTTTACGCAATCCAACAAACAGAGTCGAATCTTGAAAAGTTCACTGGGGTGGTTTGAAAGCTCCTCTAGATGTGGCCGTTTTCGGAAGTGTCACGTGATCGTTCGCATTCTCCGACACGCACCTCAACAATATGATGAATGCATCAACGTCGACATGTTTTCGAACAATGCTCATCCACAAAATACGGTGTCAAACTCGAGAATTGCACAAGTGTTCATAAACTCGTTCTCGGCGATTTAGATGCAGCTACAGAGGTGCAGCGCTGAATCTAGAAGTCTGGAAATGCATGCGCTCAGTGGATGGTTCTTTGATGGAGCTTCTCAGAACGGTTCTAGTAACCTTCTTTACACCATGGACTCTTCACACATATAACAAAGGTCGTTCTCCTTTTCTTTGAGCATTGCCTCTATGCATGTTCATAACTCCATAATTTCGAGTTCTTTCTTTGCTTAACATCACCATTTCCTGCTTCAATTCAGCAGAGAAGCCTTGTATCAAGCACGACATCATGGATGACATCAATTACCCTCAAAGTTACGTTCCCCGACTAAACAACACTTCCATCCTCGACTTCGAGAACTCGCTCGTCAATATCATTTACACCACAGCACCAAATCAGGTTGTTGGAATCCTAAGAATAATTGGATATCTCATCATCACTGCCTTGGATGTTATTTTCACTTTGAAGGGGGTAGCTGTAGTGATTGCGATCCTTGCATACCTGTTTCTCTACGGACTCCCAGCCGTTTTCGCAAGGATTTGGAACAAGTTCGGCACACAGTACTTTGAAGGCAGATTTAATGTACCGGAATTGCCACCAGTTACACCCGATTCGGCACCACTCGATGTACCAATTAGGCCAACTTCTGCGCCCGCCACTGCCACCGAGTTTGTATTCCCAGATCCAGAAACTCCTCCCAGGAGGTCTTCGTGGCCTTTCAGAATATTGTCTTTGCCAATCTCTCCCAGCCGTTGGACATTCAAATTTTCTCCGTTCTTTCCTTCCGCGCCTCCGTCCACAGCAATAGCAACGCCAACAAGTACCGAGCGGTCAGGCAGACAGCCAACGTTTAAGACTCCACCTCAATCTCCCAAGCTCATCGTTGACGTAAATTCTACAGAGAACTCCTTCTCGAGTTCGAGTCATGGAAGGAAAACTCCTCCATCTGCCCAGACAGCTCCTACAAGAACCTCTCCTCGCAGAGCAGCTGCAGCGAATAAAATTCCTCCAAGTATCGATACAGCTTCTGCGAAGACGTCGCCGCTGAAGAAGACTTCTTCAAAGACTTCCGTCCCCGAAGCAGTTCCTGCCAAACAGTCTCCTCCAAAGACACCTCAAGCGAGCCCACCTCTATCTAGCGCATCGTTCTCTAGCGGGCGTTCCATCGAAATCTTCGCCGTTGCAGACAACACATCTGTATCCACCGTGTCATCAGCCGGAGACCTCACCGTTCCATACAGCAATGAGACCGTCATTTCATACGGTGCTGAGACCGTCGTACCGTACAATATTGAGAATGAAGAAGACCATGTCAATTGGTTTTTGAAATTCAACGAACTTGTTGCTTCGACGACCCGGAACTGGCTCCTAGCATTTGGTAAACGTTCGGTTTCGGCGATTTGGAATCACCCAGGCAAGGTAATCCTCATCGTGCTAGCGATTGCCTCCGTTTATAGTTTTATCGACGCGGTTCCCAACATAGCGAACAGCGGCTCAGTGGCTTCGATTTTCGATGGCTTACGGCCCAGCAATGTCTTGCAACCAGTCAAAGATTACGGTAGTTGCATTTTGAGCTATCTACGGTCTCTCACTGCTATGATTTTGAGTTACCCACTGTCTCTGATTAGCATCGTACTTAGGATCATTTTCAACCTCTTCGCGTCTCTCGCTGCTGTCCTCTTGGGCACTCCACATTACCTGGGGACTGTTATTTCCAGCGTTTTCGGGTCTTTCGCTATTGTAATCTTGGGTTTTACACGATCTCTGGCTACAGTTATTTTCAACCCCTCCGAGACTTTCGCTACTGCCATCTTGGGATATCCACGATCGCTGGCTGCAATTATTTCCAACTTTCTCGGTTCTTTGGCAACCTGGGCCAATGCGATATTCTTCGGTCTTCTGATTCCCCTTATTACTCTTTTGTCATCATGGATTGTGGCAGTTCCAGCATTTCTTGCCGTCGCCGGCATCGCAGTCTTCCATCAAACCCTGTGGACAACCGGGTGTGGAGGGTTGTTAGTCACGTTGGCAGCAGTTTCTGCCTTCGGCTCCTTCAAGTTGTTGCCGTTGTTCATTTTAGCCCTCGCCGTTTCAGCTCTTACTTATTGGGGAAGCACTGTCTGCCTCAATTCGGCAGCAGTAACTGCACTTTCTCTAGTCGCTATTGCACTAGGGTCTTGGGCAACACAATCATGCATCAATTTCACGAAGAAAATATGTCCACATATTGCGGGATTGCCATTCTCTATCCTCACCTGGCAGCCATTCTTCTGGGGGTCACTTCTCTGGATCGGACAATATTTCAATAATATCACCTTCCCAACTTGCCTTAAGTCTTTAAGTTTCTACAGACTACTACAGATCAGAGGGTGGGGCTCAAATACCTGGTTTTGCGTCTTCATGTTGCTCGCTGTCTTTAAGGGCCTGAAGATTTTCGTTCACGTCGTATCATACTATTTGTGGACGCGTCCGGTTCCTGCGCCAATAAATCCAACTATCACCCCCGAAGATGTTACAGTTATTGTCCCGACAGTGTGCTGTTTCGAGCAGGAATTCGTCGACTGCATTGATTCCATCCTCATCAACCAGCCAGCGAGAATCATCATCTCAGTGGTTGGACACGAGAAAAAAATACAAGCTATTCGAGTCTGCGAAAAAATCGACGCTCGAATCGAAGTCGTTTCCACCCCAGAGGCAAACAAGCGTACTCAGCTTCTCAAGGCTGTGCAGGGCGTCCGAACTCCCATCACAGTATACGCCGATGACCACGTCTTTTGGCCTCCAACTTTCCTCCGAAGTGCCCTCGCCCCCTTCGAAGACCCCATCGTCGGCCTGGCCGGGACCTCCAAGCGCGTCTGGCGGAACCGCAACCTCCCCTTCTGGGACAATTTCTTCAACTACATCGCCTGCATCTACCTGGAGCGGCACAATTTCGAGTGCACCGCAACCTACAACATCGACGGCGGGGTCTTCGTGGTCTCTGGCCGGACCGTACTACTTCGCACCTCAGCCCTGCATTCCCTCGAATACCGCACTGAGTTCCAGGATGAGTACTTCGTCGGCATTGGGCCCATGAAAGTCGACGACGATAACTTCAACACCCGCTTCATGGTCCGCCACGGCTACAGAACAGTCTTCCATAACGACCCCAGCGCCACAATAGAAACGACACTCGTCCACGGCACAGGCCAAATTACGAAATTTCGCGATCAACTCCTACGCTGGTCACGCACAACCTGGCGTTCAAATCTCAAATCCCTGCTCACAGACCGCGCATGCTATCAACGCACACCATGGACCACATACGCGATGTTCATTTCCTCGTTTGTCAACTTCGCCCTCTTCTACGACTTGGGGTTGTATTGGAGTTTGAAGTGGTCAGGTGCCGGTCATATGTGTGCGTTTTGCATGGTGTTGGCACTGAGTAAGTTGATTAAGCCGCTGCCGCATTTGGCGAGGGAGTGGCAGGATTGGAAATGGGTTCCTATGGGAATTCTATTTGCGTATGCGCATAGTTTCATTAAGTTGTATTCGTTGTGGACGATTCGGGATGTGGCGTGGAGTGGGAGGAGTGGGATCAAGGCAACGGCTTAGGGGGGGATTCACAGGGCGGGGTTGCACAGTATTGAGGTGCTTCGTAGAGTTGGTCGCCTGTGCATGTGCATGTGCTAGTTATGGTAATCTTAATTTATTAAGAAGAGCCCTGAGTTGGACTCATTTGAGTGAGAAGTGATGCGGTTCCCCTTTTTCATTCGCTTAAGTGTGACACGGTTGTCCTGAAGGAAGGTGAGCCGATTCACTTTCGTCTCAAGTCGATCAAGCGATAAGTCGAGTGGAAGGATTATTGCAGAGCCTTGGCCGTCGAGTTGTGATGTGCAATAAACACGTAATATACTGCCAGTGTTAAAGGATGGAGAGAAGTCTATTGAGGTGCACATAAAAATTGGGCCTCGCTTATTAAGCTGCGGCCCAAGGCGAGCCTGACATGATTCTTGTCTTAACTCTCCTTCGCAATCATTCCGGCCGATCTCTTCGGCTTTATACCAACACGGCCCTTGAAACTCATGCCCAGACGTATTCACTGTCGCCACGCAAGTGGTTTGAAGTCACGTGCTAGGTTACTGCAGCTTCCCGCTCACGTACAGCTCTGCCTTCTTTCTCCTTCCTTTTCTCTCCACCATTCCTCGACTTCTTTTCCAGATTAGACTCTCGCCCGCCACCTCTCCCTAGAACCGCCATATTCAACTATTTGCAAACTAAGTCGCTCGACATGGCTCCAGATCCATCCGCCTGCAAGAAGTGGCTCCAAGGAACGTGCAAACAAGGAGAGCAGTGTCGATATTCTCATGATAGCAAGCCAGCTTCATCCAAGAGTTTGTCACTACTTCTTCTTTCGTCCCTCAACTGCTTCTTCATAACTGGGGAGGATGCAACCAGGCTTGGCAACGATACCTGAGGCATCGATACGGTATCGATACTGGATGGTATTACTCAGGTATTACTAATATCGATACGTATCGATACCGAATCGATTCTTACACCGCTTTCTACCCCGCACCCTTTAATTTTTACTCTCTTTGCTTCTCTCATCTCACATTACGATTCCATTTAGATTACACTCTCAAAATATCTTCTCTATCTAAACTAGACTCTTCCTTTTTAGCTTCCGCTTCAGCAGAATCAATTTCGACTTCCCAGAATCATACAAAATGGAGATCTCTTACTTGGGAGTACTATCATTCTCCCACTGAGGAGAACCAAGCTTATCTTTATTACGCTTATTATACTAATTCAGAAAAATCGCCATATAGTACTTCTATTACTCAGAATATGAAGAAGCACTTAAAAGGCTATTACCAGATTATTATTGAGAAGGTTTTGAGCAAGAACCAAGTAGCAGTTAATTTATAATTAAAGCAATATTACTAATAAGCTACTGGAATGAGCGAGAGAGAGAAGCTTAATACCGAGATCCTGGAAGCCTATCTCAATAGCTTAATTATTACTAAAGCTTTGATTTTTCTTATTATTATACGGAATTTGTCTTATACTCTCGTTAAATAGCCAGAGTTCCATATCTTTTACTAATTACTAAACCGAGCTATTATAGGCAAAATTACGACTTCTTATTCAGGAATTACTAGCTTAATTAAAGAAGCTTAGAGAAAATATTAGGATACTATATAATAAGTACTTTAGGCTATACTTTCACTTATCTATATCTTTTTTAATATCTGGACTTCTCTAAATTAATAGCTTTTACTTATAATTTATAGCCACTTTACTATATATAATAAAAAGTAATAAAAGGCCCTTCTCGCTTTAAAAAAGGTTTCTGGCCATAGCTTAGAGGCTTAAATAATAGTTTTTTGGCTAATTCTTCAAAATTACGGTATTATTAATAAGTTTAGAGCTATTATAAGTAATAATACTTCTATAAATAATATTCTTTATTATATGATTTAAAAGAAGCTAAAGGATATACTTGGCTTAAATTAGAAAACAAATTACTAGTATATTTACTATCTAGGCCATATTATTAATCTAATTATATAAGCCTTCTTATTTATGAATTAAGTTAGCTTAAAGAAGCTTAATTTACATAATAAGTAAGAGCAAGCTAAAGCCTTTAATATAATAGAGGCAATAAGGGCCTAATTCAGGCTAATAGGTTCTTTTAGCCAAGTATATAATATTATAATTTATATTTATAAATTAGCTAAAAGAATAAAGAAGTTCTATATATTTATAAGAAGGCTAATTCTAATAAATAATTATATAAGATAAAATAGCTAGTATAAGATACTTCTTATATTACTTAACTTATAGCCTATAATAGAAAGGTATTATTAAGACTATAAGAAGAAGCTTAAGGAGAATATCTTGATTTCTAAAGATTAGAAAAAGCTTTATATAATTAAGAAGTTCTTTACTTCTTTTATATGAGCTATTCTTGCTACTAAGGGCTCGACTTCTCTTAATTCTATTCTTTTTATAATAGATATTTTAATTAAATATCTCTAAGAAAAGAATATAAGTTTTCTTTTTCTATTATATAACTATACTAATTCTAATAGACCAAATATTAGAAAAATAGAGATCTAGAGAAAAAAGACTTTCTTTACTAAATTAAGGTAATATATAAGGTTCTAGATAATTATTATATAAAGACTAATATGTCTCTAGTTTATACTACTATATTAATTTTAAATTCTCGTAATTATATAAGATATATTAAGATATACTAGCTAAAGAAATAGTCCAAACCAGTTCTAATTAAGATTAAAAAGCTCTAGGAGAAATATAGGAAAAGGGCTATAATTATATTTATTTCTCTAGCTTTTTTATATAATAGCTCGTCTTATAAGATATTAGAACTAGATACTTTTAATTAAATTTCTATATCTCTTTAGGTAATAGCTTGGCCTATAAGTCAAGACGAGTTTAAGAACTATAACTCACTAGTATTATATAATTCTAGTAAATAGGGGGCCCTTACTTAGTAATATTAGGATATATAGAGGTAATACTAGCTAAGGCTCTCTCTTATAGCTATTAATATTCTCTCTATTCTATTAATAAGTAATAAACCAGAGAAAGTATTTTCAGGGAATTAATATATAATAGGCTAGGATAGAGCAAAAATAGAGGTAAAGATTATTAAGATATAAGAATACTTAAAGTATTAAAAAAAGAATAGAATTCTAAATATTTTCCTTAAAACTAGCTAAAGAAAAATCAAAAAAGGGCAAATATTAAGAGCTTAATATAGTTTATTAGATATTATATAAAAGCCAGATAATTATATAATATAAAGAAAGTAGTCCTATCTATTTATTTATAATAGAAGAAATACTTTAGCCAGGGTAATATCCAGGCTTTAAAACCCGGCCACTTTATATAATTTAAAGAGGTTTGAGTTATTCTCTACTATTACTCTCTCCTCTATTATTATTAATATCTCGTATACTATAATAGGTTATATAACTATAATAAATATAGTTACTATATACTTCATACTACTTTTCTCTAGAAACCCTTAAGTATTTCTTAAAAATGCCTTAATTATTTGAGCAAGTAGTATAAGAAGTACAGATATTAACTTGGCTACTATATTACTTAGTATAGATTATATAAAGTATAAAGAAGTAACTTATACTTATTAAGTTAAGATTATATTAATAATCTCAGGAAGAAGCGGGATATTAAAGATATTAGAAGTATAGGGACCCTTAATTATAATATCTGAGGGGGCAGGATTAGTAATATTAAAGGTATTTCGCTATTAAGGGCTACTAGTAATAATAGATAGCTCTAGTTTATTACCTCTTATATAAAGGAAGTAATATATGTTATTATAGCTATTAAGATAAGTCCAGATTACTAGATCTTGCTAAGCTTGAGCTGCCATCTTGACTAGTATATATGTATATATATGTATGTGTGTGTGTATATGTATATGTGGGTATATGAGTAGGTAGAATGGAGAGTATATGGAAAGTATGTGTAAATGAGAGAGGATTAGGAGCTGAGAGCTTATTTTAAAAGTATCTGGATTATCGAAAATTAAAAATGGGAGTATAAATAACTCAGATTAAGCTATATTATATTATATGAAGCTATGATTCACGTAGTTATTTGGTATAGTTCAGACGATGGCACCAAAATTAGCTAGGGCCTTAGAAATAGGGCAAAGTATTACTAAGAATCGATACGGTATTAATAGTATTAATATCTTATGATTCTGGCATTAATATGTATTAATACCGGAAATTAGGTATTTTAACTAATATCTTTTACAGCCCCTGCGGCACCCACCGCTTCACCATCTATTATGAGAACTCCTGAAGAGGTGAAAGCGAGGAAACAGTATTTCAAGTATCGCAATATGATGAAAAATTCGGGAGCATTGCTAAACACATTCGATCTTTCCGCCATTCAGAAACCAACAAGTCTTGTGAATATCAAGGACCTCAGTTTTATTGCATCTTACAACTGGAGCATTGCCGATGATCCGGTGATCTTTGTGCCAGGTATATCGTCATTTCAGTGCTACAGAAGTTTGATGGGTTACTAACACCAAATTCAGGATGTCCAGCAAGATGGAACCCTCCAAGTCTTCCGTATCAAGTAGCGAAGGACAATGGCCAAGTCTTCATTGACCAAAACAGCCACCGCAGCCCTTCAGCATCCTTCGATCCCTTCTTCAAAGCACTACTCACGATGGACCCAAACTTCAACATGAAACCCATCGGATTGACAACAGATCGAAACAGTCTCCGAAAGCTACTGCAGTTTGTTTCAGGCAAGGTTACAAAGGGCTGGCGAATCGATGTCGATATCATCGAGGAGACCATGTTCTTCACACGCTGGGAGGAAAACCAAGTCACAATTATCACCGGAGCGAGGGATTCTGGGTATGGCCATGGGTTTGAAAAAGCTTTCTTGAGCTTTGATGCAGATCTACAAGGGAGCTCCGGTCATCACCGTATTGTGAGATATAACTTGGGTGGGATCGAATGCCTGGTGAGATTTGAGGTTGATGCTTATATTGACGATGGGCTTAGCAGTGATAAGCAAGACAGGGCTGTAGACGAGCTTGGCCAAGGGCTCTCAGGTCTCCATGTCCAGAACTCGACGGACGCTACCGAAGTCAGAGTGATCCAGAGAGGCGGTCTAGTAAATAACGACACGATCGCCGAATTAAAGTCACGTTCTATGGCTACGCATCTGAAGATGCAAGAATACATACCGCAGCTTTGGATCTCACAGACCCGCCACCTGTTTGTCGGCCGGCATAAAGAAGGACTGGTGGAAATGGAACCCAAAAGAGTAGATATGACGGAGCTCTTCCCGGATTGGGAGAACAGGAACCAGCAGAATTTGAGGACTTTGGTGGGACTTATTTCGGAGATTAAAAAGGTTGTGAAAAGGGCGAAGGGAGGGAAGTGTGTGTTGGTGTTGAAGATGGAGGAGAAACCTAGGGCCCTAAGAGTGTATCAGAGGAACGGACAGGCTCTTTTTCTTCCTAAGGGGACGAGGGGAAAATGCTGGGGAAATGGAAATTAGAAGCAAGGAGGGCGAGAAAGAGTGGACTGATAATTTTCAACTAGCGAAGTCGAATCCATCGCTTTTCGCCTCTGGTGACAAGGCTTTTCATCGTCATTCTCACTTCTTTCTGCCGCACTGTGCACACTTTCCAAATGCTGCAGCAACGTTCGAGAGAACGAAAAGGTTATCAAGACTCAACCTGATACGCGGGAGGATTCGCTGATGTTTATTTACTTGCCCCTTTCGTTTCTCGCTTAATTGGGACTACGCCATACTTCTAACATACACTTATAGGGCGATTGGTAGGAATTTACAGATGTTGAGTTATCTCATAATTCTTCTAGTAGACGCTTTTTACGATGTCGCATCTTTGGATGCAGACGCATATTTCTATCACACGGAACTATGAGCTCACCAGCCGGTTTATATAATGGTTTCGGAGTCTTAGAAATCATTCAACCTCACATCCATTTCCAGTCGTCAGGACGCTCAACAGAAGTGCATGAAATATAGAATTTACTCCGCACCGGTGCGATCGAAAATCCACAGCGTTCGTGTGCTTTATGGCAACTTGGAGAACGCTTGTACCTGATCAAGCCTTTCCCTTCACCGAACCTTTGTGCCTGCTTTGTACTGTAGGCACAGTACGCCTGTGCCCCTGGATTCAAGCTAAGATTTCGGCTAAATTTTCGAGATTAATCACGCATAGTATTGCGGTGGGTCTTGCTCGGATTGCTAACGGTTGATCAGCCGCTGTGTTTCAAGTTGACCTCTCAAGCAACTTACCAATGAATCCTCGCTGAACCAGAACGCCTCTGAAGCTCTCTGATATTGCAAGAATTGTTCTCTGATTTCTTCCACCGGTGGGGGAGAGGAATCAGTCTTGCCTGGAGGGGTATGTATAACCTGAAAAGGGACTTCAAAGTCGAAGGCTTCTTGTCGGGCGCCCGCGACTTTGACTCGAACGATGAGGGTGTAGAAGCGGGCAACCAATGAGCTGCAGAAGGTAGGTAGGAGGCGTCCGTTGACCTCGATGGGGATGGCCCAGTTAGAAATCCATTTGCCACCTGGCTCACTTGTCATCGGCTTTCGGGTGTTGCCGCCATCTAAGACCCCTTCAATCGAACGGGAGAGACTGGCTAGGGAAGCCTGGGTGGCAGTGGCTTGACTTTCTGGGTTGAACCTGTATCCCCATGAAGCATCTCGAACGTGTTGAGTCTCCAGCTTTATGATGCCGTCGCGAAGCCTCATATCACCGAAAGATTCCAACAAACTCTGACTTGGTAGCCTTGGGAAGGACTTCACGGAGTAGAATGTCTTGACTCTTACCAAGGAAAAAACCGTAAAGCTTAATCCTTGGAGGCCCTTTGGGACATCGTTTGAACTTGGACTTGCCGACTCAAACTCTAGTCTTAAAAGAGCCGTCGTGTGGCTATGGGTAGAGCGGGTGTCGTAAGCAAGAGCCGATGGCTCTTGTAGCGAGACCTTCATTGTTCCTAGCGGGGTCCCCAGCAGAGATCGTCGTAGCACTTTTGTTTCTTGCTCCTTGAACTCCATGGGGAAATCGTCTGTTTCTGTCGGGGGCAGTTCCTCGGTGTGTGGCGCGACGGTTACTGGTAGAAATGTCTCCTGTGACCCTTTCGCCCCGGTGTCATTTATAGTGAAGTTTGCGGTGGCTCGTAGGTAGTAGGTAATGTTGGGCTGTGCGAACAGTTTGCCCGTAGCTTCGTCGAAAAATTCATCTCCTAAAAGCAGGGACGGAGGCAGGTGTAAGCATTGTTCTGGTGAGTCGGGATTGGTGCACGGGATCGCTCGGGAGATGATAAAGTGAAAGGGTGCTTCAAGGACAACCGACCCGAGCGGCGGGTCCCTTTGAGATAGATTGCTTGGAAGCATGTCATGGGCTTGACTGAGAAACTTCAATTTTGACCGGTTAGATACGAACTCGTGAATCGCGAGGCGAGGAAAGTGGATTGAAAGGGGTGGAGGTGGTCATGGGAGTAGATGAATCACTTACCATGCGCTCAGCCTTGATGAGTCTTGGGAGGCGGACTCCTGACTCAGGTATCCAGTTCCGTGAGACGCCTAAGCAAGCTTTAGAGGTGTTCATGGTTTTCTCGTCATTGTGTGTATCCCACCTTCAAAGTATATTGCAATCTCATCGATGTGCAGGTCTTCTGTGCTTGACAACTCGAGGTGACCATGCAGCTCGTCTTCGGGGTTCCAGACTGTGGCTGAGGTCGGGGTATCGGGGTTTTTCATTCTGTGGTCAAGGATGACACGCAGACGCGGAGGAGGAGCTTGGCCTGGATCCATGATAGAAAAGTTAAATTTAAAGTGACCTAAGGTAGGGACGGCGACGCAGGGTTCAGGTTCGTCGTTAAAGATGAGCTCACTTCGAGATTGACAGGAAGTCCCCAACCCGACGGCTTTACTCATAAGATGTTGTTCCTCTCGCTCGTCTGCCAGGGTAGAAATATTTATATGCAGGTTGGGAACAGCGAGGCCCAGCTGTTCTAATGGCAATTCCTAAGTATGCCATCTTTGTGGTCATTTTCTGAGAGGTCAACTCGGCTGCTCGTTAAGCACCGGGGCCTCGCTCACGCCCCCTTTTTATTGTCGACCAATGGCATCATCCGAGTGACATACTAACGTTACAGGGGCGTTGGCGCGTACAATGACATCTGTCCTGCAGGGCCAAACTCCTATCTCGTTCATTATTCCCTTCATGCAGATGACCTTGAAGGTGATCCTGGATCATTTTCTTTTCGTGTTTGATTATTTCGGCGTCGTTCAGCCTTGCTCGCTTGCCCTGCACGTACCCACCAGCCACGCTCGCCCAGATGCTCTTCAATGCGCTTCTCAAGTTGCAGGTTCATTCTCCTGTGTGGCTTAACTGTTGGATGTGACTTGTTTTTCTTAAGTCCACAGACCAAGGGAATCCCAAAAAAAATTGTATTTTCTCAGTACGCCACAGGACCCAGAAGCAGGCTCAGCAGAGTCCGTCGTAAACTAATACTAACCATCATGTCGTCTTCTTCTTTGACAGCACAAAATCGGCCCATCGGATCACCTCGACGCACCTCGACCACCAAAACTCCAGCTGACTTCCAGGCCAAACAAGATGATTCCTCCCCGTTCGCTGATCAATGTACCAAGTGCTGACATTCGATGTATACACTAACCCCTTCATCCTGCGCTCTACAAACCTGTTGAAAGCATCCTCTGCATCTTTTTTCACTTCAATTGTAGACGAATGCGGCTTCTTGGACGTCCCTTCTGAGCTAAGCAAAGGCTCAAGCAGGCGCAGAATGTACGTTACAGAGTTCTCGATGCCGAGGAGGGTTGAATGTCCTGACGGCAGCGTATTCGGACCTGTAAGCAGAAAGAGGTTCGGGAACCCGGACACCATTACGCTTTTGCCCCGTTAGCTAGTCTTCCTCTCTCGACTTTGTGTGCGGATGAACGTAGAGTCCTCAAGGTACGTACCCCATATACGCCCTCGCGCCATCAGATCCGCGCTCCCATAGATCCCGGAGATTGAGTCCGTCCAGGCCGGTGATGGCCATTGGGGTGAGAAGCTGCGCTGTCTTGAATCCGTTGGCTAGAATGATGAGATCTGCAGGATACACGATGCCGTTTTCGCCTGCAATTTGGTTCGTGCCGACGACTGTTAGGTTCTGGGATTTGATCAACTTCGCCTTGGGATTATCAAGTGAGAGATAACCGTGGTCTAGTATGGCACGCTTGGCGCCGAATGCGTAAGAGGGGACGAGGATGGAATGGTATTGACTCGGGGCGGTCTTTTCCATGTAGGAGACAAGTGACGCCTCCAGCATCGATCTGACGTGGCGACCTAGGGTACTGTCTTTGAAAGCGACAAAGGCGAGATCAAGCTTCATAGCCAGCCACCAGCGATAGAGTCGATTGGTGAAGGGGATGTTTCTCAAAACCCTGCAAAATTAGGTAAGACAAGATCACTTCTGAGCGAGGGGAGTGGCATTAGATGAAAATACTTGCCATTTCTGTGCCTTACGAATAGGTTGATTATCCTTAGGGGCAATCCATTGTGCGCTTCGTACGACTTGGACCAGGCTCCTGAGACCGGTGTTCTTGAGTAGCCACGGGACTAACTGGTTTGCTGAAGCACCGTTCCCAACGACGACAACATCCTTTCCTCCAAAGTCGACCTCATGGTCCCAATGAGAGCTGTGGAATATTCTTCCTCCAAATTCTTGGATATTGGCTATGCTTTTGGGGCCCTTTGGGATGTCCAGGAACCCAGCAGCAGTAAACAAAACGCGAGAATGCCGCACAAACGTGTCGTTGGTGGTGCGATCAAGAAATTCTACCCTCCAGAGGTCCTGATCCTCTAGCCACCGAGCTGAAACGCATTCTTGGTTCAGATGAATTCGGGACTGGATAGTGTGAGCTACGCGTTTGATGTAGGCGAGAATCTCGGGTTGGCTTGTGTATGTCATTGACCATTCGGGGTTCGGGGCGAAGGAATAGGAGTATAACTTTTATGCCCGATGGCCGTTAGTAATTATTAGGTGTAGTGATATTTGCGTGATGGGGAAATTGGCTTTAAGAAAGATTCTTACCTGGGAAGGGATATCGCAGCTGAGATTTGGGTATGTGTTCTCAGACCAGGTGCCGCCAATCTCGTTTCCTTTGTCAAAGATCTCGAAGGCTGCATTTTTAATTTTGACTGCAGTTGGATGCCTGCACAAAGGCCTTTGTAATCAGTCAGTTTGTGGATAATTATCGAAGAGGGTGGACTCGTGAACTCTCGATTCTTGACATACCTGACAAGCCAGCTCCAATGATAATTACGTCTGAGTGAGCTTCCGAGGAATTCATCATGGGTTGAAAACCTTCAAGTTGAACGAATGTGACACGCTAACATTATTTCTTCGATTGGTCGCCTTGAAATATATCGAGTGGTGGCATTCTCTCCTCTGCTGACACCATCTTTCCAAAGCTCCCTGGTGACATTCCCTTCCCCAGTGACATCCCCTTATCTGGTGACAACCTCTCTTCGTGACATCATTTTCAGCTCCTCGAACTCGAGAATATTATTTAGATAAGCAATGTCTAGGAACAATAGGAGGAGCTGCAAGTTAAAATCATGGTCTCTTATGCTATGTCTCCTTATCACTCGGGGCAAACACTTTTCTCTGGAAATCCAAAATATCCGTGCAGTGAATGAACTCGCACAGTGATAATTATACTATCACTGGCAAGGACACTAACCCTTTATGTATTCCAAGACGCTAAACAGCAACTCGTTTTCAACCTCGCAGCCACAAGCTCCATCGCCTTTTACAAAACCATTCCAGAGGCGGATGCCAATCTCGATCATATCGATCCCTCTCTTGTTATGTTCGCGTATCAGCTCATATGCCACAGAGCATAGAGTTGTCCCCTTATCGGACTGGCTAGAGGTCAGGAGAAAGGACTCAGCAGGGCAAAGTGGATTGTCGACTAGTGGTGTTAAGGACGAGTCGTGTGGAAAGGGCGGAGGAGGCCCGGGGGGGCTCTCAGGCATAAAAGAGGAATCGAAGGAGGAGTTCGTTTGAAGAGGCCCGAACATCATGTCGAACTCGTCCGCGGGGAGTTGTAGAAATGAATCTACGAGCATTTCATCTGAGGTATTATGCAAGCTTGCCACTTCGTTTGGCACCGTGGCCGCCGACTTTCGACACATCAGCAAGCAGACTACACTACAATATATCGTTCTCCAGGCTTACCAGGCCTTCTTGCGTTGTTCCTGAGGAGCTTTGCATACGACTGCCGCTATCGACAGCCTCGGGGGCTCCACCGTCAGCGGAGAGATGAGCGTCCACCAATGTCTGCTCCAGGCCCGCAAGGGCTAACAGCTCCCGGAGCTTTCTGTTCTCCTCCTCAAGCCGCAAGATGGTGTCCTGGGGAACGACTTCGGGTATGCACGGCTGGAGTCCATGTTCCTTGCATTCTTCGACCTTGCGCTCCAGCTCCGCGATGTACTCGCGTCTGCGTGCCCGCGAACGTCGCTGATTGTTGCGCACTCGGACCAAGTTAGAAGTCTGTGAATTGAGTCCGATCAGCATAGTTTAGTGGGTGCGAGTGCGAATGTGAGTAGTGGAATGAAAGGCTGACCTCTCCTTTGGGTTTTGGCGGCATGGCTGTTCGACTGTGGTTGTTGATTGAGTGGCTTCGGATTGAAGTGTGGCGAAAATCATTGTTTCACTCAGTAACCTTATTTTTACAGAGACCGGCGGCACCCGCCCAAGCCCCACAGCGCCACCTAAACTTGTTCAATTGCAAGGACAAAACAAAATAGTTTTGTGTAAATTTATTTACTCGTTTATCCAGCCTTCAATATAATTTGATTGAAGTCTAGTTCTTTTTAAACAATAAAACCCAAATGGAAGTGATTGTAAAAAAGCAAGTCCCTTCTCCACTTTTACGAAATCTGACCCCGCATTACATTCAAGGCGCTGAAGCGAGCCCCTATCTGAGGGTAGGCTGAGTCTAGAATAAAGTCTAGAACAGCATTTCTAAGCACCGCTTGACCACAGCAGCAGCAACAACAACAACAAAATGCGAGAAAAGAAAGCGATGTTCATGGCCATTGGCCCAATTACTCTGGCATGCTCAGTTTCTAGTATTTTTGACTCATCCCCCAAGCTATGCTGTGGCTCTGTGAACGGTGACATATCAACGCTCCCCACTCTGCAAATGACAGATCGGCGTTCGCCCCAGATCAAGGAACGGTGACATACCACTGCCCTTTATTACCACTGCCCTTTATTACCACTGCCCTTTATTACCACTGCCCTTTATTACCACTGCCCTTTATTACCACTGCCCTTTATTACCACTGCCGAGTCTTCTCTCGAGGAAGCCGAGGTCTATCATCTCGGTCTGTTGCCATTCGTATGCGGACAGTGACAATGAGCACAGCATGCGATTCTCTCCAGGATGTTGAGAATCCATCACTCGCTGTCCCTGGGCCGCCCGACAGTGGATACGGCTGGGTATGCGTTGCAGCATGCTTTGCCATCAACTGCTTTACATGGGGAGTGCTTGCCGTAAGAACGTTTATATCCATATCTAGCACAACAACATAGTCCTTCTCAGCAGCGGCCGCACCCATGGACTTTGCCTTCATCGGAGGACTAAACTTTTCCGTGGCGATGCTGGCCTCTCCAGCCGTGACGGTCCTGGTCCGCCGTAACCCCTACGTCATCCAGTTGCCCATGCTCATCGGCGTATGTCTACAAACAACTAGATTTATCACAGCGTCGTTTGCAACACGTATTTGGCATCTTTACCTTACCCAAGGCGTCCTAGTTGGCCTAGGAGTTGGTTTCACCTACATTCCCAGCATCGCCGTGCTGTCTCAGTGGTTCCGCCGACGCTGCAGCCTATCAAACGGCATCAGTGCTGCGGGATCTGGCATCGGGGGCCTCTTATTCTCCTTTATGGTGCGCTCAGCTATTAGCAACACCTCTATAGCCTGGTCGCTTCGCATCACTGGGCTCATCAGTGGATTTATGAATATCCTAGCAACAGTTGCCATCCGGAGTCGCAATCATATCATTCAACCAAAACAACATCCGTTTGACATGGATCTCCTTTGCCGTTACTACGTCCTGTTAGTCCTTATCTGGTCTTTTGTGAGCATATTAGGCTATATAACTCTGCTTTTTTCCATGTCCAGCTTTGCAAGTTCTATAGGTCTGGATGAATCTCAAGCTGCCAATACCACAGCGTTTTTAAATCTGGGCACTGCACTTGGAAGGCCTTTTATCGGGGTAGTCAGTGATTGTTTTGGTCGAATACAGACTGCGGGATTCATAACTCTTCTATGCGCACTATCAGTCTTTGCAATTTGGATCCCGGCGACCTCTTACGGAGTTACCATTCTCTTGTGATTGTCGATGGCGCAATCCTCGGTGTCTTTTGGGTTGTATGTTATCTCCTAACTCGAAAACTGACACTTTAGACTGACCTCACATGGAGGCAATCGGACCAATATGCACAGAAGTGGTTGGGCTTGGAGAACTGCCATCAATGCTATCGCTAGCCTGGTTAGTGATCGTGTTACCAACCACCTGTAAGCCTGTCACTATTCCGTATTTAACAAGTATTACTACATTATTGAACTAATTTCGTAGTCCCTGAAGTAATAGCACTCAAACTTAGACGTCCCGGATCCGGACATGAGTTCCTTTACTCCCAGATCTTTGCCGGGTTGACATACCTCGCAGCCAGCATAATTATGCTGGAGCTGTGGCGAGTCCACCGACGACCAACTGTTGTCGATGAACATGACTTAGGTCACAGAGCACCGGAAATAGACGGCGGCGAGTAGTATTTCCTAATGCTTCTGCTCTCGCGTAATGTCTGGGTTTCTTGTCTCAAGGGTGTCTTGCTTACTTCAAATTTCAATTACAACCTTTCGAATATTCGAGACCAGTACCTGATGTGATCTTAGAAAAGCGTGGTATTAATAGACTTAAGAGTTACGTGATGATGAATACATGAAAAGGATTCGAATGTTACTAGCATCATTGAGAGGTAAATATTCGAAGCCTTCCAAGCGAAATAGCCCGTTGAGCAAGCGAGGGAGTTCGCTGAGTCCGAGGGGGATTAATAACATGGTCAAAGTATTGAGAAGCTCAGAAAGTCGACAAGTTCATTAGCGACAGGTTTCAATCAAATCTTCCTTTATCGTTTCGAAGATCGTATTCCCCTTCGTCTTTAAGGAAGGATCGAGCCTTTAAGGCCACGATGCTTGCTCCTCGTACCGATGAGCGACTTTTGATTCTCTCCCTGAAGAACAGACGCAGCCCTTTCGAGTATTGTCTCGTAAATTTAGAAGTGGGCTTAATAGATCAGTTGCCCGTCCACAGTTTGTGAATTTTAAAGGTGAAATTTCGTGGCAATGGTAATGATGGCCTAGGCGGAGAGAATGACGTTCCAAATTATCGGCGGGTACTTGAAGTCGATGGCTTGTGCTAATCGTCCGTAGGTTTCCGGTTTACTGGACCTTCCCGGCAATGGTCTAGCAGCTTCAAGACAGAAGGATATCCTTCAACACTCAAAGGGTTGGTGATCTCAGTGAAGAGCGTTTTCATTCAGTTGTAAGTTTAGGTTAGTCGTCAAAACCGCAAAACAAAAACCAAGGAGGCTAGCCAAAACTGTGCTTATGTTGTGAATTGCCATCTCATCCATCGAGGCTCTCAAATTGGCCCCAGCAAATTTACCATCTTTTTTGGCAATTGATACAGTAAGCGGGACGCAAGAGAATCCATGGTCGCGAGGCCAAAAGATCTTGGTTCTTTCAACTTGGGCAAAGTGAGGCATCTTCAGCAGAAAATCTCGATTTCGATACCCCTCGTACTTTTGGAAAATAGGGACGTTTGATTGGTCCATGTTCCATGCTCTGAGATCGTAAACGGGGGAATGATTACCCGATGATCCTGACGTGTTTCACATGGATGATTCGTGGACGAATGAAGGAAGCAGGATCCGAAACGTCACACCATAATCTGACAACAGCAGCTGATGATAAGATCCTTGACCCCAAAATAATTGAACGCTCCATCACAGCGCTCTTTATATTTCTCCGCACAAAATATCTCCACTAACGAGAAATTGAGCAAAATGGCATCTCAAGAAGAAGCAAAACAGTTTCTGTTAAAGGTACCTGTTACTTATCAGTCTCCAGTTGAGGGAATTAACTTACAAAAAATAGGCATGGGATGCAATGTGGGTGCCGGGCTTGGCGACTCTGTCTGAACTGTATGCCGAAGATGCGGTGATATCGGGATTTTCACCGCCAAAACAACAGACTTGGAGTGGCATTGACAACATAAGAGCTGTATGCAAACCGAAAGGGTATCCTTACACTTTGACCGTAGAAATGCTAACCATTAGTGTTGTTGAAGCACTTCAAAGAGATCCAGCCCATCGTTGGATCCACGGCTTTCAAGATCACGAATCTTGGTACTAACTGCCCCGTTCCTGCCTTAGAGATATAAGCTGACAGATTGTAGATATTGTAAATGATGGGAGTGCCTTTTATGCAACTTGGGAAGATGTATTTGAATTGAAGATTCCTGGCCAGGAAGGTTTGATGGATCAGCGTGGGATCATTCATTGTGTACGGAAGGATGGAAAGGTTGGTGTTTGGACGATGTATGAGGATCCCACGCCGTTTGTTGAGATGGCTATTAAAAGGCAGTTTGGGCCGCCACCGGCTTAAAACAGATCTAGTATTAGTGTTCGTCTGTTAGACTAAGATTGTGTGCAGATGGCTGATTAATTGATTCATGTTCAAAAAGCATCGAAATTGCTCAGTCGAGCAGCTTAAAGTACGTCGTAGTGCATATTCTCCTCCTCAATTTATACACCGATACAGCCAATAAATGCTGTACTGAAGATCTTTACCCTTTGCCACCTCAAAGCTAGCTTTTTATTCCTCATTCCTAGGAGCTTGCACTCACAAACGCTACGAGAACAGCTAGGCAAGTAGCAGTCAACCCCAGTATCTCAAATGCAGTTTTGGGGCTATAGTATGCCAACCAGCCAAAAACAATAATCATAGTTAGATGAAGACTCTTTTAAGAATCATGAGCGCCATCTTCTTCAGAAATCTGCTTAGGATCTGGGGATAGTGCTCAAGATCTTTACCGAAACCAGTGGAATTTTTGGGAGGAGCGGTTGGAGTCGAAGTACCGGCGTAAAGTTCTTTAGATTTGGGACGAATCGATAGAACACTGATGCCAGCTCTTGCTCTAAGACGCGCAGATAGTTGAGGGCATGTTCTGGCTCCCAGAGGAGGTGGATAGCCAAATTCTCCACATCCGTAATTATTTCCAAGTCCGACCAGAATTGTCGTAATTCGTCTGAACCATCTGGTTCTGAAAGGTGAGGGTACAGGGCATCCTTCTTGAAGTTGAACGAGGTAGTGCCTTCTGCATCTTGTGAAGTGAACACTTTTCCATGCGTAGCGGCGATCTCGAAGATCTCTTTGCAAGCAAAACTTGCAGGCGGAATTTTGCTGCGAGGTCTGAAACCGCACAAGGTAGTGATGGATTTACGAGGATAACAAGCATGCCGCGTTTCATGTACTTTTCTGCAAATCTCCCTGCTCGCATTCCTCCCAATAGTCGATGACTCCTTTCAATTTGGCCTTCTGTAAGTGGACAATTCGACCTGGAAGCACACACTCCAAGATCGTGAACCGAACTTCTTTCGGCAACCCATTGCAGTGTGGGAATGCAGTGGGAGCTCGACTCTCTAAACTCGATGCCGACAATGTGAAGATCTATTCAAAGAGAATGAAAGTGGAATCAAATGCCATTCAAGAGAAACTGAACGTGGAAAAGCCCTATATGGCAATAGAATACTAGGCGCCGCCTAGCGCGAAGTCATACGACAGCCCTGTGGGAAAAAAGGAGGGTCTTCGAACGAACGCTAACTCGTGACCAGGGCTGAAATGTACTTCGGACTATTTCGTAGAGTCTTGTATGAGTGCCTTACACATCACTTACTAGCTTCTAGGTGTGTTTTTTGTTCGTCTGGTATTGCTTTTGATGGGTGCGGCCTTACATGCTACACAAAAAGGAGTGGGACTTTCTGACTGCAGAATGCCCAGCATCATCAGAAGTAATTCCGACCAAATCCTACTACTCCTAACTGCCAGCGCATTCGTTACATTTCCCCTATCGGCCAAGTCTTCCCTGTCGTACTATTCCCACCTGGAAGCGTAAATCTCGTAATCGTATTCCGTAATCCGACTTTCATAGTCCCTTTTGCACGCTTCCAAGCCTCCGTGCAACGTACAGTAAGGACGACTGATGCATCAAAGCTCGGCATGTCCCAAAATAGCCACATTCAAGATTCAGAGACTTGATCTCCTCGAGCTTTATCTTGTCCACTGTAGCTTCCGCAGCGTAGGCATGGAGTATTGGGCACGACGGATCTGGTCGAGAAGTCAATGTATAACCCACGCTCGTCCCAAGGATATGGCTCGAATTTCTCATAAGCAATAAGCTGCAGGTGTGTCACGGCCTGGACAAGCTGTGGAAGTGGAAATGTATGTGTTTTGGTATGAATATGTATGAATGATGGTGCCCTAATGGCGGTGAAGAAGCTATATATATGCCTGTGCGCAGCACGTGACAAGGTGCCTCTTCGAAGTCAATCGGCTTGTCCATAATGGTTAGGCTTGTCTGGTCATATTCGTCCTCCCGATAGTGTTTATGCGCAAGTGTAATGGCTTCCACATTGTCAAAACACATATTACCAAAACCTCTCAAGAATTCGCCCACCCATTTCTCCAACGATGCATCCGTCTCGGGATCTAAGAGAATGGCCAACTTTCTTCACCTTGCTCGCGGTATAGTATCGAGAATACGAAAGGTGTTCAGGAACAATGCCTCCGGCTCTGAAATGGACTCATACGTGTTTGTTCTTATACTGAGAATTTATCATAGCAGAGGTACAACATGCTAATGTCGAAGTCTGCCTAGACTTGGGGGGTCGAGCCAAGGAATGAGAATACTCTCTGATAGAATCTTGAGGCCACGCCAAATGCTTCCCGGCAGACGTATAGTATTTCTGGGGATTGACAATCCGAAAGTATCCAAGTAAATGCCCGTACTTGTACGTATCATCATCCATGTGATACGCGCCAAGGGCCTGTCCTAGAAACGCCCTTTGTTGCCAGCAGTATCTAAGTAGGTTGTTTGGAAGGTTCAGGGCCTGCCAATCCTCCTCGCAGTCTGGACGAGAGGACCACCGCATATTATTCTCCTCTTCCCACTCCTCAACAGTCTTCTTGAGCTTCCTTTGGTGTATATCAATCACCCTCGGGCTGGGTAGTGCACGCTCCCAGATCATCAATCGGATGTCCACCAGCAAATTACGAAAGACTGTAATCAGTGTAATGGCGCGATCGGGTTATGCTATTGCTGACTCCATCGGCAGCAATAGCATAATCGCCGAGATGCTGGGGAGTCATTCTATCGACTCGCAGATATTAAGAAGTCCCAGTCAAGGATCTTCCTGGGCTGGCTGTAAGGGTATGCTAGCTCTTCAAGTTGAGTCGAAGCATTGATACACGGGTGGAGCTATGCGGGGAAAGTTCGACGTTAGGGGTGGTAAACCAATGGAACATGTATCTCGTGTACAATGCTGGCAATAGAGCTATTTGGATCCGTGTTGCACGATGCAGCGGGCTCAAGTCTTATCTTGGTAAAGGGGAGGTTGGGATGTTGAATCATCTTGCACGAAGCCTTGCATAGGGAGCGGTGCAACATGATGCAAAGGTGACTGTACCTTAGGCAGGCTTCCCAATGGGTATTGCGAAAAGAAACCCCTTCTCCAATACATGCCACTCTTGGAACAATTTTCAAACCTTATATTCTAGTTACAGTTGGGTGGCAACTGTTGATTGGAGTCGTATTGCTGGTGAATACTGCACCTGACGGCGATGATACTTCCGAAACATCAATAGATTCTCCAGCATATCTAAGTAAAAAGTCCGAAGTCCTCGTCAGAATCACTAATATCATTCCAGTTACTCGTTCCAGTCTTTATCTCTCTCTCTCTCTCTCTCTCTTTCCATCTCATAAGCTTTGTGCTCCTTGACGAGCTCATCTACCTTCATCTTCGCAGCACGTCTCGCCCTCGCGAGCTCCCCTGCGTACTCCCTATCAAGGACCACTTTCGTCTCTATCTTGGGGATATTCCAGGAAGTTTTGCCTCTGCTAACGTCTTCTGCCAGTATCCTCTCAAGATCCTCCAAATTCACCTCTGATTCCGTGCTGTTCAAGGGAACTTCTTCAGCGACTTCCTCCCACCATGCTGTCGGGTTGAAAAACTTGTAACTCCTGATGGTCTCTGCGAAATTTATAGGATCCGTAATGGAGAGGCATGTTGCATCCTGGCCTTCCTTTTCATAATGCTTCACCACCAAATACAGATTCTCCAGACCACCTATCGTGCTAGCGAGCGCCGCAATGAACTTCTCTAATGGCATGTTCGCATCATCGTTATCTCCCGTCAAAAGTAGTGCGATTTTTTTCACCTTCAATAGGTTATCCATATCCAGCATGTTAAATGCGCTGTCACCAAGGTCGTAAGTAACAGAAACCAAACTGCCATCAGCATAATAAACCGAAAAGTTATCATGCCGTAGATATAACGTATCGAGCTCGAAACAAAACCACGTGGTAGGTATCGATCCAAGAGGTGAGAAAACCTTGTGGTAGGACTTCGAAACAACTTGAAATGCCTCCCGACAGACGCGAAGGATTTCCGGCGGCGGGCAATCGGAAATCAGTCCCACTAGGTGGGCTTCCTTATACGCATCTTCGTCAAAGATATTGGCATTGAGCGAGTCGGCCAGTGCAGCCCTCTCTCTTCCTCGCCACCTAGAGCTCTCTCGCAGATCCAGGAAAACATGGTTATCCTCTTCCTCCGCGTCTTCTCCCATCATTCCCCCCTTTGGCGGTGGCCAAGTATTTCCAGTCTCAGTCTCCCACTCCCCAATTGTCTTATTCAAATTCCTCTGCCTTAAATTGACGATCCTAGGTCGCAAAGTTCGTTCCCATATCATTAATCGCATCTCTTTCGGAAGATTCGGAAAGACTGTAAAGGTATCGAATTTGGACCCCGCCATCATCGCAGCAGGCAGGACGTCAGAGAATCCTGATTGTAGAGGCCGGCAAGATGGTCAGTCAATATGGCAGTGCTGAGGACTCGCGGTCGTGGGTTCATCAGATGTCTGGCTGGAAGGTGAGGCAGGTGTACGAGTGGAGATGAAGGGTCCTTGGTGGAGCTCGATTATCGTATTGAGAGGTATGATCGAAAAGGGTCTAGGTATCGAATGGCAATAATCTATTGTTTGAATTTGTGGAATGAGCGGGCACAGCTATAGTGGTGGGCGATTTCGGGTCGAGAGGATTGGGGATGTTTATGGAGGAAAGTTATGTGATGTTGACGCGTGTTGAATCGGAACCTCAGATACCGAGCACGTGACGCTAATAAAAAGATATCTTAAAGCAACATTGATTGCTCGTGATCCTTTCTATCTGGTCTCCTCCTTGTTGCCTCGAACAATTTATCGGGTAAGACCTGGCGATACCGACATTGGTAGCTCTCGAACAGCTCCATCGCCCACCAAAAGTCCCGAGTAACCTCGAGGAATCTCCTTTGAAGGTCCACCAAATCATAACTACCCAACTCGTGTTTCCAAAACTCTAATTAAATCACCATATTGATCGCGAATCTCCCGGATCCTCTCACAGCTGCCCCTGAAGCTCTCTATCTCATCCATATACAGCTTCGAGACGACTGTCTTGAATGAGATGTTTGGGATCTTCGGGGAAGAGACACCAACTTTAAAGATCTCATCCAGCTTATCCTTCAACAACTGTATATCTACCTCGGCTATATCGTGGCGGAAGTTAACTTGATCTAGCAGTTTTCTCTCGGTGCCTGCCCCGTGGTGCCTGTCGAAAGGTCTCCTATGTATACAAGCTCATACCGTAGTTGACGGGGCCTGTAATAAGGAGGTTCCTTTGATGATCTTGTGTATCCACACAATATTAATGTTCTCTCGCTCAACCTATTCCCCAAACACATCAATATGTTACGAATCGACTCGAAATTCCAGATAAAGATAAAATTCAAGATCACACAAGCGGAATTACCAGTCTAAGGAACTGCCTATCACTCTTGTTTCCCTAGCTGCATCTTGACAACTTCCCTTCGTGGTCTGAGATCTCTTCATAACTGGTTCTGCTATAACCACTTTGTGTTCGATCTTGGGGATCGACCAGTCCTGGCAGTCAGCTGGGCCTAAGCCTTCACCAGCCTGACTGCAATCCCATACGTGTTGAATCACGTCCCCTTTGATTTTTGCCCAAGAAGTGTCAAGTTCAATACGCCAATGAACCTCTGTGTCTGCGTCCCACTCTGCAGGCTCCCACTTTTCGTACCCTAGTGTTGATCTACTTATGTCAATTGTTTCGGCGAAGAGGAGGTTTGTCATGCAGCCATCGATATTCCCTTAATGCTCCAGAACTGGGGACAAGTTCTGCACGCCACCACAGCTTTTCAGCAAGGATTCCAGCCATATCTTCTTGTCGTCCTCCTGGAATGTTGCGGGCTTTCTATGTCAATTGTGTGGCCCAGCATTGCGCCAGAGCTCAAACTCTCCGTGTTCCCCCACAAGCGGCCTTCCCCACTTGGGATCGGCTGACAGGACGAATGCTTAAAAATAGATGTCTTATTTGAAATAGGGTAATTGGACGGAGTGACGGGGGTAATTTGAGCGGAACCCCTAGTATACTTGTGACGATCGTGACGAAAGGTGAGAAGTGCCCGAGAAGCCGTCTTGACAAATGACATACTGTTTCGAGATTGGGAATAGCGGAGCTTACAGGATGCAGAGAAACAGAGTTGAGAGAGAACGACAAATTCTCACTTGTGCCCTGCGCATCAGCGTCATTCGTTCACCCGTTCTTCTTAGGACCGCTTGATCCATGGGTCCGGTTCTGAGCGTCGTGGTTAAAGATTGTGGGACTTTGTCCATATTTTCTCATGCTGGGAACTTGAGATGAAAATTGTGATGATGTTGGTGTGGAAAGACTTTTGTCGAGGTAAATGTGCATAACCAATGGTGCTAAATTGAACTAATTGGACTTAGCTTGCAACTTCTGGACTAGGTCACTAGGCATGATCCTGCTTTGTGAAGGGCATAGTCTGCAGGATAGAAATCCTTTGAAAGGATCCGAAATAAAACGAGGTGACATAAATTGCCGGAGATCTCTCAAGAACCAGCTAGATCTAGACGTGGAAGCACAAGCGTCCATTGTCAATTGTAGTGGAGTTGCATGTGATTCACCGTGAAGGCCCCTAAATTCAACGAGGTAAGCTTGAGGAACTTGATCGCATACTCCGCTAGCTTGCTGCTTTATGGCAAGACTATACGAGGGCATTAACAGCCACATATTTTTCTAGGGAGTGAAAGGGGTCATTTGAAGAGGATGGGGAACAGATCCAAATCCTTCTGTCGCTTCGATCAAAGCGAGAATACTACTTCATTCTAATGTCCGACACCAATTGGTTACAAGAAGGGACAACCGTTTTTGTTCGTCACCAGGTAACCAGCGACTTTGCGGCCGCTTCTGCAGATCGACCATTTGATCTCCAATCATCTCACAGCGCCCCTGCCTTGGCGCATGAAATAGTATGTTTCAAGATTCCTGAAGGCGTGGCCCTCGTATTCCTGTAGAATCTTGGCACGCAAAGGCTCTTATGAGCGGAGATCTTGTGCTCACTGAAAGTTAATGAAACGGATGCTACGTCAAAAAAACCGGAATACGAGTGCTAAGCCTCAGACCCCGCATCCTTCTCACGATTCGTATGTCCTTACGACAGCTGATAAGAATGAAGCAGTTCTCTTAACATATGAAACATAAATCTCTCTTGATTGAATCAAGAATGATATTTGGACGAGGAAAATTCATAGAACAAAAGGAAACACCTCACATACTCATCATGACCCGTCCAATACAACTTCGGAACGCGATCATCACGACGAGAGTCCTTGCGGCAATCCTTTCAACCATTTCAATCGCTTTCTCCATAACAGTTCTCACTTACATCATTGGCTGGTCCGGCAGCAACTACACGGGCTTGAGTGTTCTCCCTACTGTGGCAGTCTGGTCTCCTCTTCCCTTTTTGCCAAAACCAAAACTTCTCCTTCGAAATTTTCTAACCAATATTCTCTCTCACAGCTTGGCATCTCAATCTTTTGGAATGTTGTTGCTCTTGTTAACATCAACATCACTGCTCACACGTTTCACGCCATAATTGACCTCGTCGTATTCTCCATCATCCTTGCGCTGGGCCTCGTCGGCTTCCTCCATGATGAATATAACTATCTCAGGAACGGATACCATTTGTCGGTGAACTCAATTTGGTTGAGCCAGGAGTTGGCTGCCGGTGGTTGCATGGTTGCTACTGTGTTCGTTTCTCCATATCTTCCCTTCTCCCAACATGAAGTTGACAATGTTTTAGCGTTTTGCAGCTTATCCTCGTACTCCTGAATCTCCTCTCGGCCAGGATATCAAAGAGGATTCAGGAGCAAGAGCTTGTTGTACCACTACCGCCTCCTCCTTATGCCGAACCTATCATCACGAAACTGCCGACTGCCGAACTGCGAAAGGAGAAAGAGGAATGGTTTGAGGATTGTGACGGAAAGAGTTTGACATCAACTTCTACACTGGCGGATAGTGAAAAGAGCCTCGGAACTACCGAAGCTTAGATAGGCAGGGCTAACAAGAATTCGAAAGGGAGAGCGGATTTGAAGCCGAGATTAGGATCAGAAAAGTTTCAGAAGTGCAAGGCATATGAGAGTATCTACGGATATAAAGACAGTCGGCGCTTTTAAAATTAAAGGTGATGTTTACCAACAAACCTGAAGTTGTCTGATTCAGCAAATAATTAAAGAAAAATTCCTTTTCCTTTTCCTCGTTTCAATTCGGACTTGACAAGTTCTCCGCCTTGGAACCAGTATACTTCAACTGGGCAAAGAATATCACCGTAGCCAGTTCCGTGGGGGATAAATGACTCTACTTCGTATACTGCGTCCTTATAATCAGGTTTTCACATCCAGTTCGTTGCAACAAACAGGCTGATTTGAAGATGAACCCGTATTCAGTCCAGCCGAAGAAGTAGCAGAAGCACACTCAGCTCACCTCTTCGGTGCCCCCGATCGTACCCAAAACCCTTACCCCTCGCGCTCTGGACCTCGACCTCAGGAAAGAAACGGTCGCGTCTCCTCATCCCCTCCTCCGTCTGCACCTCGACCCCAAAATACCGGTCCAACATATAATCTTGAGTCTGTGCCACAGGCTCGAGCGACCAGGGTGGATCCATACCCGAGGAATCAAAATGGACGGACGCAGACGAGGAAGATGCTTTGATAAAATGTGTATTGGTACTCCTGATATTAGTATTATACAAATTTCAAATGTAAAATCCTTGACTTCGGCACCACTGCTTCGTCTAAACTTTATTTTCATAAACAAAATACTTAGCCTTTAGTTAAGAAAATGGCCTTTCACAGAATTGAGAGTGATTATGGATCAACTGGTTAGGTGCCCCGTCAATGCTTTGTAGTCTTTGTGCAATCTGCTAGAGAAGAATACCATTATTCAATTTTTTTGAAGCACGACTATCCATTTCAAATAAGTACCTTCACTTCCCTCTCGAAATTGAGTAGCGTAATGCATATTCCATTACAAGTGTCTCCTCCTATGACCTGCACTTGTTTTCGCAGTTGATGATGGGCTGACAGCACCTGCGGATTGTGTTTCGGTTCCAACGCAGCAGATTTCGTTGTGACTCCCGAATACACCGGTGGGCCGGGAACAACGTATGAAGACAAAGCCGCGTGGATTTTAATCTTGATCCCAGGATCCGCTGCGCTATATGCACCGGGAAACTTGACTAAAGATGGACTTGCTGCGCCGCCTCTGGTGACAGTAATTTGATCTAGACAAAACTGTTAGAATGGGGCTATGTACGAAGTAGTTCAAGGAGTACACGATGTACAGCAAGTCATGTAGAATTGAGTGCCGTTCGCTTTCCTAGCCGTATATAACGCAAGGGCTTCCGCACGGAGAAGATAGTCTTCTGCTGCAATATCGGATGGGATCTTCACGTTCGTCTTGCCACAACAGGTGTTCAAGTCCTTCGTGCCCCAATTATCATCGTCTCCAACCCTGCCGCCCGTTTTCTGCAAAAGCCATAGGTTAGCCCCATAATTGTCTAAAGTGGCTCGTTCGCATACAAATGACCATGCGTCTTGGAATATCTTGGACCGTCCAGCTGGGCCGTCTGGAGTGGCGGCGTCGGCAACCTTGGACAGATAAACAGTCACAGGGTAGAAGTGAGCACCACCAATGGCTTCGTTTTTGCATGAGTGATCACCAAATTGCTGATGATTTCGCCTGTAACTATGTCCCCAGCAGCCACAGAGCACTTCCCACTCACACCAGGACGCCCGTTGCATCGGAAAGCAGTGCTGCCTACATCGGTTACCGTTGTATTTGACATCGGAACGCAGGCGCAGGTTGTCCCGTATAGCCAGAGTTAGTAAATGAAACAGAGGTTTGGAAACAAGTCACATATCTGATCCACTCCAGCGACCCAAAGTTGTTGGAATAGTGCATGGCCAACAACACGACGAGTTCCAAATACAACAAAACAGATAGAAGTGAAGATCTCACAGCAGCAACTTTAATCAAAGAGAGAACAGGAAATAATTTCGTAGGTAGTGCTCACCAGGAGGCATGTTCATGGCAGATGGCTAATATATAGATGAAATCCTTCGTCCAGCCACATATTGGAGACTACTGCCGAGTCTCCACATTCTAGAAGTTGTTAATAGAGGTGCGATTCTAACTCATGGGCGCAAATGTTGGTGTAAGGAGACATGTTTGATTTGGGTAAGTTCAAGAGAGGTCATGCGGCTGCTGAAAACTGCCAATCAAAATATTTGTCAGGCCAGGGAAATATCCTTGCTGAGATAAATATTCCTCTCAAAACGCGGGGGACCAATGGGTAAAATGCTGGGTATTTGATCTGAGGCAGGGTTTCGTATGCTGAGCCGAACGGGCAAAACCTGAGTAGATCCTGAGAAGCGCCCGGGAATCTGGAGTAGACTCGATTTAGTATCCCCACAATAAGGCTGATGCTGTTTTTGCCCTTTGTGTAGCACTACCAAATCCTTAGTAGGTTCATCAAAGAAGCCCGTTCTACGCTCCTCGCGGGATTTCTCATTAGTCGTTCTCGATACTTGGTAGGATGGCATTATTCATTAAATCACGTTATATTGCAATCCTATCAGAATGTCGTCATATTATCTTCAAACATGTTGTGTCGAAGTTGCTTATCCTGAGAAATACTAGCAAGTTAGAAGCTAGTCGTGACTTGTAAGCGAGCCCCTGAATATTTCGCTTATTCTCACTATATAATATCAGATGACTTTTTTCTTTCGCTAGTTCTGTTTAGTCGCTAGACCCAGTGTGTCAAATGAGTAGACTAGTGTAGAGTAGTGGGTCCTACTCATACTCTACTCAGCCAAGGTGTGTCCTACTTATACTCTACTCAATACTCAATGAGTATATACTTAAGTAACTTAAGTAGTTTGAGTATTCTTTTGACACACTGGCTAGACCTGATCAGCTACCGCTCTTTCTTAGGCTAAAGGTGAGTATACCTGATCAGAACCTGACCACAGACTGAGCATACAGAGGGGTCCTCTTCTGGTCCCCTTCTCTAGTTTCTATATTATCTATATATAAAACTTGCTAATACCTGTTGTTTGGAACACAGTCACCTTTCCTAACCTATTTTAATGCCGTGATGGTATCAGTTCCTATCAAATTTACAAGGCTCCTGGCTAGAGCCGATTTTGGACCCTATTGAGATTTCAGGCTATAGAGGTCGCGTGCAAAAAATCAGGTGAAAAGTACTTCACCAATATAATTGTCCGAGGAAGTGATCAATACTTGAACTGTGTGGTGCATCATAAATGGAAGAAAGTGGCGCCATCCGCAGGATTCTCTACCTCCCGTGCTCATTGATCTGGGAACGTTCGTTGCTGCTCTAGTCGTCAATATTATCCATATGACACCCAAGAACGAAATAAGCTGGACAGCCAATGGCAGACCTTAAAGCATGGTCCAGGTTAGAGGTGAAATGTAACCTTTCAATCCTCATGCCTTCCCAAATGATTTTGATGTGATCTCCATCCAGTCAATGTTTTCGTCTGCCTCTCAACAATGCTCCCTCCACGTGACTCCGCAATGTGATGCGAAAGATGATTCAGGACATTGCTCAAGTTGGCTCTGACAGTAATCAAACTCTGCTCATGTTTGCTCATTCTGGGCTCAAGCGGGCAGCTACCCACGTCGGAAGACAATAAACCGGAACCAGCGAAAGAGATAATAATCCAGAGCCTAGCGGTATGAGTTGTCAATGAAACCATCTATTGAGATATACGTTTCTGCATGCACTGCATCCATAATACCCAGTTACGCCACCTTGAGTGGGGCCGCAATAATGGAGCTCCAAGCTGGAAGATCCGAGTCAAAGCCCTGACCCAATTCACCTTTAAAAAACTCCCCCAACCCCCTTTGAATACGTGCTATCGCTCTTTGGAATATCTGCCTCGATCTCCGCTAGTAACGTTCCAGCTCTTGGGCTATACATAGCAATATGACCAGTATTGAACAATAGCCCAAACAAATACCACTTCCTAAGCTGGCAGCGTTAAGTTAACGTCAAGCTAGAAGGGGGCTGGTCATGGCAAGCACAGGTGTATCGAAAACGAAACCACTCAGAAAACAACGGCCCAAACCTCAACTTCCTGCGGCATTTCTTTTGGTATCGATCGAGATACAAGCAAATTTGATCGATACCGCAGAGACTGGGTGTATAATAAGTCACGTGGGCAAAACTAGCGATCTTTGATATGTACTGCAGCCGCTTTGTCAATTTATAACATATCTCAACTTTAATGAGTTTACCACAAAGATATCATTGGCCACTCGAAGTTTCGTTGACTCCATATTATCCCAAAGACCCGAAAATTTCATAATATTAACACTATTCTCTCCTACATCTTGTTGACCTGTACAAGAATCTTTATATGTTCACCCTTATTCATTGCCAGTTCTCCTAATCCCTTCTCCTGTGTATCCTCAAGTAGGATTCGACCAGTAATCCACGACCGTAATAGATCGTGATTGAGTCTTCCATCATCGAGCGCTCTAATTACGGCAGGGAAAATATGATCATCGTATCCAAGAGCTCCCTTAAGTGTCAACCGACGCAAAGGTATCTGAGTCGCGTCAAACCCATCAATCTGAATCTAGGTTAGTCACGGAGTTCGTTGGATACGATCTGGCCAGTGCGTTTCACTTACATTCTCATGATATATTCCATATGCCCAGTATACACCTCCGACTCTTAAACATGATAGCCCTTGTGCAAAAGTAGAAGGCGTAGCAGCAGCATCAAAAACAACGTCAGGACCGACTCTGTATTATAAATTAGCAAATTGCAGTTTGGTTGGGAATATTTACTGCGTACTTCTCAAACAAATCCTTTGCTTTTTGCACTAGATTTATATCCGTACTGCTGTAGACATTGTTGATTCCGTACTCGCGCGCCTTCTCGTTACGCATGGCGTTTCGACCTACAACCATGATGCGGCTAGGTTCGACACCCATAGCAACCAAGCAAGCGGTAGTTCCGAGTCCTATAGTCCCGGTTCCTATGACAAGTGCTCGATGCGTTGCTGCTTGAAATCCCGAACCTTCGATAGCATTCCAAGCCACCGCCAGTGGTTCAATCAAAGCACCAATATCGAAGGGGATTGAATCTGGTAGCTCAAAACACATAGATGCTTTGACTGTAGCTAGATCCGTAAGACCGCCGTTAGATTGATATCCGTATAATTTCAAACGCTCGCAGCTTGAATGGCATCCTCGAACACACATACGGCAAGAATCATCCCCATCAGCAGGAAGGATTACTGCACGTGTACCAGGCTTAATTGTTTTGACCGAAGGATGTACCTCTCGAACGATACCAGTAAATTCATGGCCGACGACTGTAGGACATCCTGGAAGGCTGAGAATCTAGCTTCTGTGATTAATAGTAGAATTGAGCTGAACACTTATAGAAGTATCTTACTGGACCATGCTCCCATTCTCCAAGATCCGAGCCACATATACCACACCACGCCGGGGCTATTCTTACTTGTCCATACTCCAGAGGAGGTAATTCCAAGTGATCTAGCCGTATGTCCCGATTTCCATGCCAGCGCACGGCTCTGACAGAGGGCATTTTCAGTAGCCGATTTTTTGTGATGCTTAGGTGCTTTAGGAGTGTATTCTTCAAAAGACATCCGTTTCTCTTGTTGTAAAGAGCGCGCTAAAAGTAAGAGTTAAATAGGAGCCCAGCCTATACCAAGGCCTCTTTTAGGGAGTCACATTGTGAATTTTTTGATATATATCTCACTCAGCTGACTTTCAGCCTAATGTGACACCGGTGGTGGGATGGACGGTTAGTATAGTATTGGTGGTCAGATTTGTCATCTGCGGTATGTGCTGCGCTGCTTATCTTACTTTTTGATGCACACCGAAACCCTTGTAAAGGGCAGTTACACCGACGGAAACTCGACGCTACGGACCCCATCATACCGGACGATTGGATGAATTCTGCAAGTAAAACGATATTGCTACGTTATGTGTGCCTACACACTCGTCACACATACTACAGTTGCTCGATGTGGCCTGTTTTAGCCACTTGAAACTGGTATCTGGCTGGCAAGTGAAACGTCAGGCATCCCTTAGTATTAATCACAATATCGAAGTCGACTTTCTATCGCTATACCACGTCGCACATGTACAGGGTATTGCGGAGGAGGAAAACATCAAGGCTGGCTTTGCAGCAGTGGGCCTATTACCGTTCAATCACGATCGTGTGCTCATGGTATCATCACTCACCGTACTCACCCAGTGCTTATTCAGTGCTTACCTAGGCTTACCTAGCTTATCTACACTTACCCAGCTGACTTGGGAGACTACTACTCACCCGTGTACTCACCCAATGCTCACCGGGGTCTTCACCCACCAGCTCTCCGGGCTACTCACCTACCCATGTTTCAGAGTAAGAAAACGCGGACATTTTAAAATGAAGAACAGGCAAGGCGACACGAAGGCAGAGAGCGAAAAATGAAATAGATTTCCGCTTTGAAAATACGGAAGAATATATTGCCCGGTCGACGAGCCAAAATACGTAGAATGAAACGCTCAAAAATCCAAGGTCTAAACGTCGCCTTTCTGAGGTGTTTCGATCTGGTTCGATAAGGATATGTGCAAATGGAAGTACCCCAAAGGTAGGGTGACCGCCGGCCGACCGGTAATCAGAGGAAGTGCGAGCTAAGCAGGCCAGATCCAGGAGGAAGGTTCTTGAGATCCGGCAAAGCATTCCAAGTATTGATAATCTAGCTGCTGAGATGGTGGGGAATCGCGGTGGGTATCCATGTTTCCATATTGGGATATTTCCGAGGCAGCCTGAGTCGTTGCACTGTTGAATGCATTGGAAGCTTTTTGTAGCGTTTTGCTGCTCTCCAACGCAGAGTAAAGGTGAAATTAATGCTACTCATTGTTGATTCATGGTCCAAATTAGTGGAAGCCTCTGAAAACAGGATTTCCACTCCTCCACATAAATCGTAGGCTCTGGAGGCGTGCCATGCATCCGTTTACTCGAATACTTCAACTTCTGTTTCGAGGCTGTGCGTAGTTTCCAGTCTCCAAGCCTGGTCTCTGGTTTGTCCTGCCAACGCCGCCGCTTAGGACGTAATGATGATTGTCGATGGTGAAATCTGTGACATCGAATCCACGCCTTTCCAATCCTACGACCTCTGACCATACTCGTCGAACGGCTCGATTGGTAAGCCTCAGAGGAAGTAAGATCTTACCTGAAGATTCAATGCTTGGGCAAATTGGAAATCGCTTGAGTTGCTCGACCGGACGAATAGGTTCGCCAATTATCAGAAATGCCGACCCTTGCGTCATACGCAGGCTGATACACCAAAACCTTCCACGGTTTACCTTGCGGCCGAATGGCGGATAACTGCCAGCTCATCGCCGTCGTTGCAGGGTAGACTCCCAGCCTCACCTGGCCGTAGAAGACCTCCACTGAAATCCAGTTCAGGCAAGTCGTTGTGGTGAAGAACAACGAATCTGGCAATCGAGGGAAAGTAACTTTTCTTAAAGCCCTCCTTAGCTCTGCACAATGTCACCTGAAGCCAGTTGTGATTGGCCAAAAACAAGGACTCCGCCTAAGGAGAAAAATAAAATATTCTAAGTAATTTTTCCCTCTTCTAGATATTACTTCAATTCTGTCCTCAATCTCTTTTGAGTAAATTATCTCGATTAATAAGACACACATTGTTTTGCGAAAATATAACTTTGTTATAAATACTCTAATTTAAGAGTAATATAGAATAGAGCTTTAAAAGTCACGCTACTAACTAATATATAATATCTGAGTGAGAATTACCCATCTAGAACGCGTGCGAGCATTTTGGGTAGTAAAGGGTTATTTGAATTGCAAACGAAGGAGAGCTTCCTTTGTCGCGTTAGAAGGCGCTAGTCTAGTGTAAATTTAAGTTCACGTGACTGCTATTCTTCTATATCTGACAATTAGTAAAGAACTTAACTTACTAATATACCTCCAGTTACTAGCATTTGACTGAATTAATATCTTCTATTATAAATCAGACGCTCATGTTTCCCTCATCAGTCACCGCCACACCGATACCCTAGTACTACACACCCCCTCACATCTTATTCCACTCCCGTCCCCTCAAATTACATCACTCATCAACTCCGCCATAGGCCCCCACCTTCCATCACCCTCTAGCATTCCAACCTCCCACTGCAAATTCTCCCTCGCCCTCTCCTCGCACCGCTCAAAAAACACATCCGAAAAGTACAACCTCGTCGTATCTAAAAACTTCTTCAATGCCGCTTTCCTCACACATACATACTGGTCATCAGCAAACTGACTATACTCTCTCCGAATCTGCCTCATATAAGTCTCGTATTCCTTCCTCTCCCTCCCTAGAACCTCCAAATCGAAGTCCAAGAATAGCTTCAGATCCCCATCATGCTCGTCCCCAGGCGGAACTTTGTGCGAGATCGTGGCAGTGATGTATTGCTTCACGGTAGAAATGAGAGGGGCTGGGAGGCGTACTTCCTCAGCGAAGACGGCGAAGTGGACTTTGGATTGCTCCTCGTTCCACCCGGATGGTGAGTGGGGAAGGTGTTCCCAGTCGTGGAAGATGATTGCGAGGCCGACGGCAGTGGGGTTGACCATCTGGGGGAGGCAGGAAGAGAAGTGTTGGAGCATGGAGTAGATGTGAGTAGATGTGTGGTAGTATCTATGCCGCTCTGAGTAGGTTGAAAGGAGAAGGTTGGTCCATTTTTGGATCGCTGACGAGGAGGGGTTGAACGGTTGCAGGAGGGTTGCGAAGGTGGCCGTGATATAAGTGTCTGGAGAGATGAGGGGTGATTCCATGATGATGGTGCTATTATTGTATGAACAGTAGTTGGGAATGACTTGAGGTAACGTCTAGAGAAGGTTTTTGTGGAGGTGGGAGTCTGAGGTGGGCGACTCCCGTCCGCAGGTGCACAGCCACCACCAGCTGAATAGGGACAACCTTCCTCCGTCTTTGCTTATTTTGGGAGATCAAAGGCGTCGGCAGCCAGCAATGGAGTAACAAAAAGATATGAAGGTGAATTTTTACAAGAAATCGTCTTGTTCACAGCCTGTCGATTGAGTCAAACGATTTGGCGGTCACGTGGGTCCCCCTATCCCTCCACCTGCACATTCAGAGGACAAAGTCATGTATTTTATATAGTTTCAACCCACTGAACCGCCAGACACTTTAAATGCAACTAACTCACGGCTTCCGAAACTCTCCCTTCTTCACCCTCCCGCAAAGCTCTTTCAACCTCTCCCCAACCCATTCAAAATCCTTGACCTCGAGGTAAATCTGCCCACTAAGCCTAACCCACATCATCCCCGCATGAAACGCAATCTGCAAATAGGTATCGAACTCCTTAACACCCCTATCATTAATCCAACTCCCGATCTGGCCTGCTTCACAGATGTCAAAGATCTTTGTCTCGTTCTGTTCTTCCACTCCAGCTTTCTTAAACTTGAGCGGCAACGCAACATTAGCAAAGCAGCATTGGTTCATTGTACGAGTTTCGGTGGCCATAACTTCCGTCCCCAGAATTCCTGCAGCGCGCTGGCCGCCAACTCGAGCAATTTCATAGCAATACTTGCGAATCGCTTCCTCCCCGCCACAAATGCGTTTTCGAAATTCGAGGGCAGCGGGGATGCAAGCGTAAGGCGTGTAATCTATCGTTGCCACAAACTCAAAGAGATGTACAAACGGGGATTTCCCACCTGGAAGAGGTTCAGGTTCGGAGTTTGGGTATTGGTACCCGTGAGATGTCGGGAGAGAAGTGCGGATCAGGTGTTGATTTCGGAACGGGACATAGAAAACTGTGCAGCCGCGAGGCGTGAAGAGCCATCCGAGGCGTATTAGTAATAGCATCAGTCTTCCAAGCAAAAATTCCTACTCACTTGTGGCAATTACTCACAAAGAAATCCGGCTCAACAGTTCCCAAATACTTCAAATCAATACATCCCACCCCATGCGCGCCATCAATCAAGCTCAATACCCCGAGTTCCTTACAAACACCCACCAATTCCTCCCACGGCATCCTAGCCCCGGGGAACGTAAGCACTGTATCGAACATCGCCAACCTAACCCGCTTCCCCTGGCTTTGCACCCGCTCAATCGTCTCCCTAAACAACCACACGATCCCCTCATCCTCAATGGGGTACTGAAGTTCGATCTTCACACCCTCAATATTAACCACCTCTTGAATAGAAGCAATCGTTTTCTCACACGCATCATAGATCGTCGAAAAGAACACTATCACGTCTCCCGCTTCCCATGTCAGATTCCGCAGCACGGTATTGACGCCCGTTGTTGCGTTTGGGATGAGTACGACCTCGTTGACATCGATGCCGAGGAGGGGAGCGATGGCTGAGCGGGAGGCGTCGATGAGGACCGGGATGTCGCGCACGATGAAGGTATCTGGGCGGGCGGCGGCGAGGGTTTGGAGGTGGGCTTGGTGCTGGAGGACGGCCTGGGGAGAGCAACCGAATGAACCGTGATTTAAGGGCGTGTATGTGGGGGAGAAGGAGAAGTGAGCTTGCCGCATAGGGCGGCCGAAGGGTGTTTTGATTGTCATTGTGAGGGGTGGGGATTTAAAATAGGGTGGTGATGCAGGGAGGAGGTGAGGTGAGGTTTGAGAAGGATGTTCCTTATCTCTATCGTGGATAGCGGGTTGGCGTGGCCAATAGTGGGGTAGATCACTTTGAGCATAAGAGAGGGATGAGGTTTATGGTCGAAGAGAAATTAGACTAGTACACGAATTAAGCAACAGGTTGTTATAAGCCACGAAATATCACACGAAGGCAGCTCAAAATAGGGGAAGAGCCTTGAGCCAAATCATGTAAATGCTCTAAAGATGTTGCGGATACAACCACGTAAATAAGCCTCAACAGACGTAAGTAAATGGTCGATATTTAGACGAAGAGGATTTAAGGGCTAGGTTTATGAGAATGAAATCATTTTCAGGTTACAGCCGAGTCTAAGCGCCTGGGTATCCAATCCATCACCTCCTATCCAGGTTCAAATGCCCATTCCCTAACTCCTATTCTACTCCACGCTTATGACCTCAATCAAAATGCAGATATACTCGAAATCTAAGATGCAACTATATCGATCCTTCATATACCTCATCGGCGCCTGTTCACCAGATTCGTAATGAATGACAAACTCCTCCAGCCGTCGCGCAGAACCACAAATTCACAGCAAAGCTGCTGCACTGTCCCGTATCTACGAGTCGTTTTCTTTCGAGTACGACTTGATGATATTGAGAGGAGCGGGGACTGCGGGGACTTCGGTAACGGTAAGTTCAACGGGCTGTTTTTGGATCTCTCTCCCCTCGCTCGGCAATTCATATCGCTGTGTTGACCGGGAGGCAGCTGGCGTCAATGGGCTCATCGGGAAATCGAGGCCCTCCTACACATCATATCAGCATTTGAGATATCGAAATTTGGGACATGTTGTGGCACTTACACTACTATACTTCACGGGAATCTTCTTCACATACCCCAACCCCTTCGAAGAATCCGCCCAAGCCAGAACAATCGCCTCTTCACCCGGGAAACTCATAAACTCCATCGCGAACCAATCCGACTTCGTCGTAAGCTCCTTGCTTGTTGCAATCCTTTTGACTTCCAACGGATTGGAATTTAGATTTGAGATGATGTATAGATATCCTTTGTCGTTTACCATCGCGAGTTCTCGTCCAGTGGGTGAGAACGCCGCATACTGGATTCGGCTTCCCAACTTGCCTTGGTGTGTGGAGGCTTCGGTTCTGATTTCGGTTCGGTGTCCATCGTGAGGCTGTATTAGGACTGGAATCCCGGATTGCGTCCAGGTCGTGACACAAATCAGGTCCTCTTCATTCCCCATGCCCGATCTGAAGATTGCTGAAGAAGTTCCGTTGTCTTCCGACTCGTGGAGTGGAACGCGGTATCTGCACGGTGCGAGTTCTTGGAAATCAATGAATGGAAATCGCCATGAGTAGATTTGTATTGTACCACGAGTTCGGGTGCTTGCGAGGAGGACGAGACCGTCGTGGGAAAAGGAGACGGTGTCGACTGCGGGGCAGTTTTTGCAGTCCTTGTGGAAGCGACTGTGGAGACGGTCCTCTCGGGGCTCTTCTGAGTTTGTGGTCTTGAAGAAACGGACGATGGAGTTGTCGAATCCTACTACGACTTGGTTTTCTTTGGGGCAGATGGTCATGCTGATGCACCACGGCGACGAGGGCATGCGGTACTCGATGGCAGGTACCGTGGTTTGAATGAGATTTACAATGCGAAGCTAGAGCAAGGAAATCAGCGATTTGACGTTAGAAAGGCGGGTATGCTTACCGTGAGCTTTTGGTCCCTGGTTCCAATGATATAAGCCAAATGCACCCTGGTAACTGCCGCAAGCACACAATTGCTCTCTGTAGAAATTGCGCGACCTAGAAGTGGCGACGAATTGCCGATATCCCATATATTGATGGCGGCTTGGGTCCAAAAGAGAGCGTACGTCGAATTCTGGGAAATATAGACATTTATGCTTTTCCCACTTTTCCCTCGACTAGACACCTTCGAACTGGATGCTAAACTCTTCAATGAGAATTCCTCGAGTCTCTGAGACTCCAGCGTTGTTGAAGAAAGCGAACTTGAATCTCTTGTTGCGGGTTTTGGAACTTCTCTCCTCGATCCAGTTAGTTTGGACCTCCATCTTGACTTGCCTTTCTCTGGTGGAGCAACCAATGGAACAGTGCGACTTTTCATCAATGCTTCGGGCTCAAATGAGACGTTCGAGATGGACTGCAGTCGGGACTGACTTCCCCGAGAAAAATTGGGCGAAATAGGGGTCTCCACGGCGCCAGACGAGGGCCATCGAGGAACCTCACTTGTTTTTAGCGGGTCGGTGCAGCCTAAACCATCGCTAGACGTAAGATCCTCGGATGGAGCATGTTCCGCATAAGGTGTGTCGGACTTGAGACGGGATTTTGGAGAATGCGGTGTCTGTGGAGAAACGAGAGATTGAGGGAGGAGATTTGCCCTGTCAGAAGATATCGAACCAGGGAATACCGACCGGTTGGCAGTGGGTGAGTAGGGATGTTCGGGGTCCTGGATCCGCGAGCCCTCTCCGCTGAGGATATTGCCATATCCGACGTGAAATGGCATGCCTGTATCCATCCGTGGAGGAGAGAGCTGGAATTGCGTTGGCAAATGCCGCTCCACGTTGATAGTATCCGCGTTAGATTCGAGGGGTTTAAGGTGTTCCCATGCATGTCTGGCGAGCGACACTTCACGAGCTATGGTCGCTGCTCCACCGCAATGAATACATTTGGCATGAGGTGGAAGTGGAACTACTTTGGTCCCTTCTCGGTCCGCCTGAGGCAAAAGTATGTTAGCATGTTATTCTCAGGTCCTTCCAATTCGAGTTCCAAAGCCATTTTGAAGCATGCATGATATTCTCACCGGGAAATTCATATTTTCTGCGGCCTTCAATTGTGTTTCTCCTACAATATGCCCTTTCTGACAGTTGAGAACCCATAGTCTAGGACGTGCTGACCGAAATTGACCACTTGGATCATCGAGGAGGGCGATATTTCTTGTGACTTCGGAGATGCTGCGACTCAGTTCGTGATCACTCACACGGTTCAGCACTTGTCGATCACTGAGCTTCGTACACAAAAGATCAATCGCATCAATTTCAAACTCATCGCAGTCGGATGAGCTCCGCCGCCCAAGATTCAATGTGTCTGGAAGAATAATTCGAAAGGTGTCACTGAACGTGGCCACCAGGTCGAATTTGGATAAATGACCCGGCATCCGCAAGTTTTCCAAAGCGTGCAAAACTGCATTCCGCGTTCTGGCCGAGGAAGACTGAAGACGTACATCGCGAGTCTCCCTCTTCATCACATACTGAACAGACGCTCCTACCACAAATTGGGATATGTCTCGTAAGGCAAGGAATTGGACCAGCCAGTTTGCAGGGGGTCCATCTTGTGGTACAAGGGCAGCCACATATTGAGACGAAAGGCATTCGGCCAGAGGATACTAGATTGAAAAATCCTAAAATTAGCATTCGGTCTCATGCAACCGCGTAGTTTTGGGATATATTTACCAGTTCTGATGCCAAGTTTGGGAGTTCCACCCTCAACCTCGGCGGGAGTGCAAGCCCATTCGGCTCCGTCCGCAGAGAGTCGGTGATCTCTCTGCAGACCAGGAGGAGAAAAGATTCCTGACCTGGATAGCTATCAAATATCTGTTCCAATTGCCTGTGGATGCGTGCAAATCGATCTCTGCGTTCTTTTGCGCGTGATGACGGGACTTTAGGGTGAAGCGTGAGGAAACGCAGCGCATTTAGCAGCAACTCCGCTAAATATTTCTCCCTCAGCAGCCGAGTTTCCCACAGGCTCTCTCTTCCTTCAACTACCACTTGAAGCACAAACTCAACCGCTCGCAACGTCACCTCCCAGCTCGCGAGGAACCCCAGATACCATCCCACCTGCAAGTTCTCCGAGGGCAGTGTCAGGCGCTGCACGTTGAGTATCGTGTTCAATTGGGCAAGCAGCGTGATGACCAGGTTCTGGTACGTCTCCTTGTCGCCCTCCGCGTATATCTTTTCAAGCGAGAACTGGCCTAGGAGCTCGAGGATGATGTTGTCGATGTCGCTACGGAGAGATAGGAGCCTGAAGGCAGTAGTGAGTCGTGAAAAGAGTGACGACGATGCTGGAGTCGCCATCGCAAACCAGCGACCCAGGCCCGCTTCTGCGTGCAGCTGTGCCGCATGAGATGGTCGGGGCTGGGTTGTGCCTTGGATTTCGACGTCAAGTTTAGGTTACATCACCCATGGTTGAGATAGTCGGAGGCCTGCGACGATATATTCGTTTCTGACGTTGGTGAGGGTCGAGGGTACGGAAGCGCTGCTCTGGCGAGGACGAGGACGAGGACGAGCTCTCCATCTCGTTCAGCGCATGGGTGGTCTGCCAGGCCGTCGCAAGGATGTATGGCATTGGCAGACTGAGGCCAGCCACGACTCCAGGTCCCACCTGTTTAACCTTAATAGCAACCCTGTGCGTCGGGAGTGCTGGTTGTGCTACAGTACAAGTTCTGCAAGTTCTGGCTTGGGAAGGTTGCCCAGCCTCACGTGCCTACACTCCGTACTTATCGTGCCAGTGCCAGCAAGTTTTGTCGGACTTGAAGACTGCTTGGCGTTCAGCTGGTGGCCCCTTACCAGATCGCTGCTCGATCACTCGTCAATGGGTGAGAGGTGGACCTGGGAGCGCCTGGGTGCCTGGATGGCTGGCCACTTTTGATTCGTGCAACCCCAATGGCGCTCCTTCAGCGGGAGCTAGCCTCTGCCCTGCAGACCGATTGGTGTGGTCCTTCTTCTCAATTTCAACCATCTCTCCGTTCGTATATCGGGTTCGATTGGACACACTGCTTCCCAGGAGGCTTGGCCTGCTCTCTGCTTCGACCGGTACTCAGCGTTGCGTGGAATTTCCTTTGGCTGGTTTGTACCACGCTAATGCACCGGCCATGTATCTGCCAAGGGTAAGACAGGGTGGATGCCCGACTATTTCTGGTGCAGATCGATTTGACAACATACGCGGTAAGGTTACGGGCTTCGATTCTGCCGGCCACCACCCAGACGGCAAGCTGCCGATCCTTCAAATGATACTTTTTGCATGATGGCTGTGTCCCCTTCTTTTAGAGCCGGCGAGATAAGAGAGCAGAGCCCCACCACTTTCTTTCGTACCTGGTCCAAATCGGTGTTGTTAGAAGTTTCGTTCACACCTCTGATGAAAGCTTCGTCGCCGAGATGGATCACGAAAAACCAGAGGTGGTCATGCCACAAATATACGAGTACAGCGAGAATACGCGGTCAACACTGAGTCCGGATTTCGAATTCGCCCTTGAGCCGCCTATTGAACCTCCAAATGTGGAGGAGCGTCGCGAGCGTCGAGGGGAGAGTTTGTGGTGAGCTACCTTTCGATCAACTCTCTGAAGTGTCACTCACAGGTTAATAGGAGAGTGTTAAACGAGAGGCACATTAGTGTATGTTCTGAATCAAGTCTTACGTTGGTAGTACTGAAAGCTGACATGCTTTTCGATTGCAGATGATTGCATTTTCTGGGTATGTTCCTACTGCGCGTTTCTCAGAACAATTGTTGACGGAAAACGACTACAGAACAATCGGCAATGGTAGGCATCATTTCTCCCGTCTTCGGTCTGACCGAAATCTAATTGCAAATTTCAAGGCCTGTTTCTCGGATCTGGTACCTCCCTGGCGGTGGCCGGGCCCGGTGGAGCTGTCCTGTGCTACATAATCATGGGAACTGTAATCTCGTCTGTCATATCGTGCCTTGGCGAAATGACGTCCCTGATGCCAGTCAACGCACCTGTGATGGAATTCCCCAGAAGATTCCTAGACCGAGGTGTTGGATTTGCAGTTGGTTGGATGTATTGGTAAGCTTCAAGACATCTACTAAAGAGGAGTTTTGGTATCCAGGCTGAACGACGAAAGGTTCGCATACGCCATTCTCGCCGCAGATGAACTTGTGGCGGTCTCGAACACGATCAAATTTAGGTACGATGATGGTAAAACGTTCTTGAATTGGAAAATCGGCGAGGACGTGGATACTGGCGTGTGGATATCAGTGTTCCTAATCCTAGCAATAGCCATCAACATGTTTCCAGTCAAGGTAAGTCGGGAGAAAATCCTTCGAGAATTGTTGTTTACTAACATCAATATCAGGTCTTCGGAGAGCTCGAATATATTTTCGGATGCATCAAGATTACATTTATTTCGATGCTCATTGTGTTGATGTTGATTATCGACGTAATGAAGCGTGAGTCTTAAAAGCTAGCCCACATTTCCGCGTTTTTAAAAAGTTGACGAATCCAGCACGACCAAATGCTTATTACACCCAGTCACTTGGCTCTAAATGCAAGTCCTACTCCATTCATGTTTTCCCAATCGGCTCCCTAGCTAACCCTCGGCCGCAGATTGGAACGACCCGTATTCATTCTTCAACCCCGTGTATAGTGTCACGGATGAAAACGGCAATCTCCAACGAACGATTGCGGGCACAGCAGGGATTTTTCTTGGGGTGTGGTACGTTACTGACTGGACTGACAAAGAGAGGACTGCGCTAAGATCACACTGCCAGGACAACCATTATCCATGTCATATTCTCATATGTAGGAATGGATATCATTGCCGCGACTGCCGCAGAAAGTAAAAAGCTAGCCGACGCGGAAAGTATGAAGATGGGAGCTCGAAAAATTAGTCTGCGAATCATCACTCTATACACGTTCGGCATGTTGCTGGGGTCCTTTGTGGTTCCTAGAGACCATCCATTCCTCAACGGCGGCGGGCAATCCGTGGGCTCACACTCAATATACATCATCGCAGCAGTGGAAGCCGGACTCCCCTCAGCAGCGCACTTCTTCAATGCGATTTTTGTGTTCTCGTCTTTCACCTGCGCGATCAATTCGACATACGTTGCCTCACGAGTATTGTATACCTTGGCATTGCAGGATCAGACCGGACCCGAGTTTATCACCAGGAGGTTGCGCCAATGCAGATCAGGTGTCCCCATTAGAGCAGTGGGGGCAACTGGGTTAGTCTTGTTGGTTTCTTTCTTGGGCCGTACTGGAACTCCCGGGCAGGTGAGTGGATTCCCGCCTTTGTCCAATCTTTCGCTAATTCCAAATTCAGAGATTGAGTGAACTCGCATCCAACTGCACAGTATCATGCCTCATCCTGTACGTCGTTATCTGCGCGACATATCTGAAGTTCTTCCAAACGTAAGAGTCCTGTTCACCCCGTCTCAGCCAGGGAATTTGCTGACGTTCTTTATGTACACAGACTGGCAGACGTCAAGCTCTACGGCAACGCCTCTGAAGCCCAAGCTGCGATGTACGATCGCGACAACCCCCGCTACCCCTACAAGTCGCACGGGCAATGGCTCAAAGCGTGCTACGGACTGGTAGCTTGCACACTACTCGTACTCTTCAATGGCGTAGGTCCCTTCCTAGAGCATCCTTTCGACACAAGAAGATTCGTAGCTTCATATATCGGCGTAAGTGTTTCCCGTCTGACTCCATGTCCCTGTCCCCATTCGCTTGCGAAGCATGAGGTATCCTGGTAAGCTGACGCGCAATCCAGGTTCCCGCCTTCATATTCCTCATCCTAGGCTATAAGATCCGCAAGCATGGCTTCAGGGTTCAGGACTGGGGACCAGAGAGATCAAATGATCTCCGCAATACTATCCAAACGAACTCAGATGTCAGAGTTGGACGTCTCGAACTCCCTGATGATGGGTTCTTTACAAAAGAGAATGCGAGGACGTTTGTGAAGTGGGTATGGGTGTGGCTGAAGTGAATGCCTTTCCCAATCTCCTCCTTCGAACATCTTTCTCGAGATAAGGGATGAGTTTTTGGATGGGGCTAGGCGCAATGGAATCGGATTGGTCGGACCGTAGACCAATTTGGAGCGTGAAATCAATTAACGTTTCTGCATCTCCTTCAAACATGCTTCTGATTGAATGGCCAAGATCTTGCACCTGCAAGTCAAACTCGTTTTCAGCCGCCAAGAGCTGCAGCACACCGCTTCCCTCCTCTGCCAGCATACCCCTCCACAAGCAAACATGCCTGCACTGCTGCAGCTTCCCCTGTTTGCCCTGCGCGGAATTTTCCCACCAACCCAATCCATGTACCCTGCCAAAGACTAGACCAGTAGAGGGGAGCAGCGAACGAAATAATAATAGCATATTTATTTACCGCCGTCCACTGAAATAAGGTTTTGGGCCCAACATGGGATGAGGGGAAGGATCAGGCAGCAGATTTTTCTGTAACGTGCAGGGAATAGGACCGACTTCTGGGCTTGGCTGGTGCGAATGAGGAAGATAGGCCTGCGGGGAGTCCCAGGATGAGTTTATCCTGCGAATCAGGAAGCATCGGGAAGATAGGATTCTATTTTAGAGAATAGGAAGCTTTGGGAAGATTGAATTAGAGGTCGAATTTGGGGGTCAGTATTGAGATGGAATGTTGAAGGTGCGAAGTATTTGTGGTTGAGGCTTTGGGTTGAATGCGGTGCCCCGAGTCCATCGAGGTGTCTCGGAATGGCGCCCGGGGGGGTTAAAGGGGGTTTATTCGCTAATTTTCAGAGGTTTGAGGCCCCGTCCCGCACTGGTGAACTTGAAGATATCACATCCCAATCACCAACATAACGTGAACTACAGTATAATGTGTCTTAAGGTATTTACTTCGTGGCATTCAAGTATAGACAAGCTCCTGACGTGTAGTCAGGCACTGAAAATCACACTTCGGCGTTAGCAAACTCCGTAAATGCGGACACATTGGTGTCGGCCTATTCACGCCCGTTCGTCAATACGAGCGGTTTACCAATCGGGCGCTACGATTGGTCAATCGGCCTTCCGATTAATTAATCGTAGCTCCCATTGATCAATAGGAAATGGAATACGATTCGCAAGCCACAGTAGGTCCCGATTGATCAATAAGGGGGCCGATTAATTAATCGGGTAATATTGGGGTTTCGGGGCTAAGGAGGCTGAAACCCTTTAGTTCTCAGTATATAATAGGGATAAAGACACTTCTCCAGAGCTTCTAGATATATATAGGACCTCTGCTCCCTTTTTACTACCTAGATACAGTTTATAGTATATAGTTTATAGTATAAGTACCTACTTTTCAAGTACAATTACTGATTCTATATATCTCTCAATTAATTACCTTATTTCCAAAATATCTCTTTCAATCCTTCATTTATCTCTAGCCCTATATATACCTCGTTAATATATCTATAGCCGAGTAGAGTAATATTTTAATATTACTATACTAGGAGTATATTCCTCTAGTACTCAGTTTTTGCCCTCTCCTATTACTAAAGACCCTACTAATAATTAGTCTATTAAAGACGAAGCTATATAGGATCAAAGGCTTACTAAGGGCAGTAGTAGGAAAATTCTTACTACTAGGAAGCATATAAATATCAGATAGTAGTTATAAAATCCTGATACTTTATTCCCTAGTAAAATAAAAGCAAAGAAGTACTACTAGGCTAATATTAAATACAAATCCCAATTATACGAGCTTTAGGATAATTAGGTATATTATAAGAAATACTATAATACCTATTATAATGAGATTATTCTAGTCCGGTATATTCTTTACTATAATAATACCTTTGAGGTTTTAACTACTATTTATAAGAAATTAATATATATAAGTAAGTATTTCTTGAATTTACTAATTTTTATACTAATAACCTATATAATAGCCTTTAATACTATATTTGAGTATATAAGACGTATTTAGTATAGCCTATCCCGTAATAACTATATTTAGATAAGTGCCTACTATACTTACTATAATAAGAAAAAGGCTTAGAAAAATCCTAAGGGAATTATACTTATCTAATCTTATTATCCTGGTAAGTATATAGTTCTGGATTTAATAGATTTTCGTATAAGTATCCCTTAAATTATATAATTTATTCCTATATTTCTATATTTCCTATATTTCCTATATTTCTTATATTTCCTATATTTCCTATATTTCCTATATTTCCTATATTTCCTATATTTCCTATATTTCCTATATTTCTTATATTTCCTATATTTCCTATATTTCCTATATTTCCTATATTTCCTATATTTTATATATTTTTAAGCTTTTCCTATAATTTTTGCAATTCCTGTAATTTTCGTAAATTCCGAACCTTTTTATTTATATTTTATTAATACTATAGTATTACTATTACTAATACTATTATAGTATAATCGGAACGGAGAATATATATAGATCTAGTAATTAAAATGCCACTTTTCCAAATTCATATAGATCTATAGACTTAAGGCTAAAACTATAAATAAAGCTATAGACGAGCTTATTAAATAGCTAAATAATAATAAATATATTTCTATTTTAGCCTATAATAATAGAAGTGAGTTTAAGGGAAAAGTAATTAAGATTTATAAGAAAAGAAAAATAAAAATTATTTATAAATAAGCTTATTACCCTTAATCTCAGGGCTCTATTAAAGTAGCTAATCAAATCTTCAAAAAACGACTACGGGCCATATAAGCAGATACTAGTATTTAATTATAAATATAGTTACTTCCTTTAATTATATAGGTAATTAATACTATAGCTATACTAGCTCTTCCTAAAGGAAATATACTATATAAGGTCTGGTTTGAACAAAAGCCACCTACTGATTTCCTAGACTATAAGAAGAGTACTCGCTATATATATACGGCCCTAGGGGCCATAGGGTCTATAGAAAGTACTACTGAGAGTAGCGCTTCTAAAGAGAATAAAGAGAATAGAGAGAATAGAGAGAATAGAGAGAATAGAGAGAATAGAGAGAATAGAGAGAATAGAGAGAATAGAGAGGATAGAGAGAATAGAGAGAATAGAGAGGATAGAGAGAATAGAGAGGATAGAGAGAATAGAGAGAATGGAGAGGATAGCTTTTGCATTAATAAGGAAATAAAACAGGAGGAAATAGCTAAGGAAATGATTTTATCTGAGCTAACTAGAAGGGTTACAGAGTATATAAGAAAACAGAAGGAGAATATGGTAAAGAGAGTAAATTCCAAAGCTCTTAAATATAATATTCAAGAGATTATAACCCTCCAGATCCCAAAGCAATACAGATTCGGTATGGAAATGGCTAGAATTCCAGTAAGAGTTCTGGAAAAGACTCCAAAGGTATATAATTTATAAGCCTTACTTTTAATAAAAGCTAATTAAAATAGGGCTACCGCTTAGCTACTAAGTATAGCGAGCTTACTACTCTCTAGCCATATAGTACCCTTAATAAAATCATCTCCCAATTAACTTATCCTGATTTACCTACTACTAGTATAATTCACAAGAGAGATAAAATCACCCTTCCTAAAGCGGTAGCAAAGGAGAATAATCGCGGTTCAATTGCATTAGTTTAGAAGGCTAGAAGAGTATCTGAGAGAGTAAAGAAGAGAATAGCTAAGGAGCAAGCACGTGAGAATAGAGCTAGAGAAGGAGGAGAATCAGGTAATCAAGTGGAGGGGAGGGTACCAAAAAGGGCTAGGGTAGCTATAGGAGCGCCTAGACGTAGTAGGAGGCATATATAGTACAGCTTTTGCTATTCCCGAGACCTCAATATTACCCGATTAATCAATCGGCCATTCGATTAATCAATCGGGACCCACTGTGGCTTGCGAATCGTATTCCATTTCCTATTGATCAATGGGAGCTACGATTGATTAATCGGAAGGCCGATTGACCAATCGTAGCGCCCGATTGGTAAACCGCTCGTATTGACGAACGGGCGTGAACAGGCCAATCCAATTTGGCCAACGCATTTGTAGGCCCGTTTTCCTCCTTCTCTCCCCCCTTTCTTTCGCAGTGACAATATTGTTTCTATCAGACAAGAACAAGCACTAACCAAATTAACCGATCCGCTTAATGACATTCGTTTTGCGTACAGTAAAGCCATCAATACTGTAATTATCCGAAATGGAAATGCCCAATACCTCGACAGCACCGCCACTCGGTGCAGCTCTCTTCTTTTGCCCGCTATGCGACAACCTTTCACTAAAAGTGTGCCACTCTCTATCTCCCTGTTATGTTCAACTTCTCGAAACAGATTAGTTATCTATTCCTCGCTGGTTGATTTGATTTTTTGGTATCCTTCGACTAAAGCCAGTCAAACAGGGCCACAGTACAAATGTCACACGGCCTATTGCAGTAAATCCAAGGACCGCACACGACTTCAGTCTTATCGAGCTTGCAATGCAGCTAAGATCAAATAAAATTATTGTGCCCCATACCAGCAGTGCTTTCGCAAGGGTGTCAGATGCGTGTATGATTTGCAACGGTCACGTCGAGGACAGACCAGACCTGGCGGTTAAGGAGAAGAAGAAACGGCTAATGCTATTCTTGTTCCTGCTACCACTGTTTCACAAATGTCAAAATCGATGCCGTCTGACTTGGTTGCAGAAGGGCTGCGATTTGGCGTAGAGAGTAATTACTGCTCAAAAGAATTTGATCAGGTCCAGGCACTCACTCGGCTCTGTTGCCTTACCAGATTGGCCCCTATTGTAATACTCTATAATTAAAGACGGAGCAGTAGATATGGGCTTTAATTGAATGTACAGTGAAAGCTCACTTTTAACGGCAACGACGACAGCAATGACACCAACGGCAGATGAAGAAGGCTCCATATCACCTTTACAAAGCACTTGGAGCAACAGCATCACTATCGACTTCGACTTTCAATTGGATAACTACAACTATAACAGTGTAAAAGGGCTACAAAAGCGAATATTCTTGCCCGCTCCACCGAACATCACGATGATTCATTCGTCTTCATCCCTCTCAATATCATCACCGTCAATGCCAGCATCAACAAATACACCACAACCATATCAGATACGTTCATTTCAGGTCATTTCACCAAGAACAAAGTCTAAACTTCCAAACGTCAAATCTTCGTCACAACGATAGTTGACATGACCCACGTCTATCGAAGCAGAGGTAACAGGGACTCCGTCAGGCAGGCTGTGCCAGCCACGTTTGTGGAAAAGGTGGTATCGTACAATTTGCGCATAGTCAGGTTGGCACGGCCGAGCAAGACAGCGGCGTTGTTGGTAAGGACGTCGATGTGGCCATATGTCTCACTGAGGTAAGTTGTAGCGGCTGCAATCGAGTCGTCGGATTGGAGGTCCAACTGAACAATGTCTGCTGAAAGTCCATTGGATTTGAGCTGGTCAGCGGCTTTGCTCCCATTTTAGATATTGCGAGACCTTATGGTAACGTGGTAATTATAGTCTCGAGCCAGTATCGCGGCGGTTGCGAGACCGATGCCTTGGTTCGCGCCGTTGATGAAGGCGATAGTTTCGTCGAGGACAGCCATTTTCTAAATATCGGATGTCGAGTTGGAGCTGAAGGCTTTTGAGTGGTGCAAGATTCAAACTGGTGGAAGAAAGAAGATAGAGACGATGATGACCCTATTTGTAAAGTTTGAAGTTGTGTCGAGCTTCATATAGCAGCAGGATACTGATCGAATTTGGCCGATTCGAATCATTTTAGACAGCCAGTTTCGACCGCTCTACTTCTAATTAATTCTAATTTAAACTAATTTGTTCCCTACTGATCAATCGACACCCATCTCAGCAAATGTCGGCTAATAAGTTATGCTTAAAAATTCGGCCGATGTTGTTTCTGTCGCCAATTCCCTAACCGCACATCCTAACCCTGAACGAGGATGCGACACTTTCCAAAATGGCGCCCCTCAAACATGATTAGAACGGAAATTAAAGTCAACCACAAATTGCTGTGTCCTTCATTAGCATTTAGAGCGCGAAAAGTACAGACAAACTGCTTGAAAGTGTGACAGATTTTGCAAAGCAGTTCAAGGTCAGCCTCGACGCCCGAATACTTGCAGAAACTTGTCACTGTTGCACTTCACTAAAATATTATCTTGGTGTGATTGCTTCAGAAATTCGCATAGTAGCGTGGTCTGCAGAAGCTGAGCCTTAAAGGAAGTTTCACTGATGTTTCTGCAGGTACTCGACAATCCTTCGGCGGTGGTCACGAGCTTTCGAAAGGCATCATTGTGCACAGCCTCCGTTTCCCTCTCACAATGTATTTCTTGCCACGAAGGAGAGTTCTCTGCTCGATTTAAATGAGTAGACTAATCGAAGGATGACAGAAATAAGTCTTCAGGGCTCGGAAGTCAATTCATCTACAGGTGACAAAACCCGGGCAGAAAAGGGGTTTTGTAGGCTTTACATTAACCGGACTAGATAACCACCCACTAAGAGCGAGGGATGAATTGAGTTTCATGTGGGTCTTGAATTGTGAGTGCGATAGGTACTGCACTACCATTTCCCTGTGACATCTGTTCGGCATTGGTTGAGAGCAATCACGTGCTAGGAAAGGGGGCAATGGAACTTCACTTAAGCAGTCTTCCCGCACTTAGGAGAAAATTGTCGTCCTACTTTCTAGAAAATAACAAATGTGCTCATTAACTCCTCCTGTGATATTCAAAAAAAATTTAATCTGTTGATCATGCCATAACGGTTGGGGTGTTAAGACTCGGAGACTTCTTCGGAGACTTCCCACTGTAAAGTTGACTAGTAATTGCCTCGCATTACCCCACACCATTCTTCTCTTCACTACCTTTTCAAATCTTCCTAATTGTTTTCCTTCAATTCTCCTTTTCATTCCTCCAGCACAAGCAAAGCAGAGAACCCGTCCTCTCGTTATGGCTGAACTCACCCCCGCCCGCACTCCGAAAACACTCACTGACTTGAATCGTGACTGGTTTGAGTAAGAGCAGCATCTGATGAAAGATGAAAGATAAACCGTCATACTGACAGATTTTTTAGTACTGCAGTAGCAGCTGGCGCATTCGAAATTCCCTGGATCAAGGACTTGACCAAGCTCATCTCCTCCAGCCTTCGAAATAATTTCGAATGGCTCGGTGTTCCTCAGCATGATGGCGGAATCAAGCTATTAGACTATGCTTGCGGGAACGGTGTCGTTTCAATGGTAAAGTTTCCAGCCTTCCGTAGTGTGCTACTACCTCTGGGGATTCCTCGCTTCATTTTCTAAAGCCCCTCTTTCAAATCGACCTCTAGCTTCGAGACATTAACTTATCAATAATCAGGCACTCTCCCCATCCATCACGGAAGCAATTGGAATCGACCTGTCGCCGAACATGGTAACAGCCTACAACACGCTCTCCCAATCCCAACAACTCTCCTCAAAGCTGTCAGCCATCCAGGGAGACCTTCTCTCCCCCTCCACCCCCCAAGACCCAAATTTCTTCAACTTTGACATTATAGTAATGTCAATGGCACTACATCACGTCTTCGACACGCAACTCATGATCAACAAGCTACACAAAAGGTTGAGGGATGGTGGGGTATTGGTTATTATTGATTGGTTGACGATGGAGTTGGGCGGAAGTGGGCATGGATACAGACATCCGAATGATGATAGTGAGGGCAGAAATGGAGAAGGGGAAAAGGTAACACCTGCTGCTCATACAGTTGCGCATTGGGGATTTAGTGAGGAGGAGATGAAGTCGCTGTTTGAGAACGTGGGGATGGTGGATGTGGGTTTCATGGAAGGAATTGAGAAGTCGAAGGTTCCGGCTGAGATGAATTATGAGCAACAGATGTTTATTGCTAAAGCGAGGAAGGTGACGAGCCACTAGATACCTGATGGGCATCTTTGAGGAGCTATGATGCTGGCGAAATGTTCATTGTTTGAAGTGAGTTTAGAACAAACTCGAGTTCAGTTACGCAATTTGAGATATAAGTACGTATTGCCATTTACCACTTGCATCGTAGCAAGGAGAAGACGAACAGTTGGGAGAACTTAGAGACAAGGTTAGCTATATGTTACGTGACTGGATGAAAGAAGCACACTATTGAAGTTAAGATGTTTCTTTGCTCCTTAACCTATATAAACAGGGCTTTCCCCACCATTGACTAGTACTGAATTAAGCTATCTACCACTTAGTTTCAATACACATGAAAAAGGACATGTGAAATTGATATACCATGTTAAAGTTGAAATAGGATTTGCTAATAATCTATCATGCTATAATTTTGCGCGGCAAGGCACCACCACACACTTTCAAAGTATATGCTCACTTATAGACCACGAGATATAGTGAGGACCTCTCGAAAACTCCTCGGATCCTTTATTACGACGTAATTCCTCCGAAGACTTTCAGTTGCCATCCGTTTGAGGGTCGAGAAGATGGAAGTGAATGGTGTCAAGTAAATGCTCATTCCATCCCTTACATGACAGTGAGAATTAGAATGCAAAAGCTTGAAGCATCTAGTGGGAACGTACTCATTTTTGATCCATTCAAGATCAACGGCCGCAATCTCTAATCGTTCCTTCCAAAAGGAAATATCTGAAAGTTTCCTTCTTTATTTTTGTCCCTGAGTTGGTATCCCAGATGGAGAGCGACTGCTCTGATAGTCCCGAACCTATTCCCGTACTCGAGGTCCATTTCTTTTAACGATTTCTGGGCATCTTCTCTTTTTTTTTTTGAACACGCCGATATGGATTTTGGGGTTTGTAAACGATCCGTTGACCAATATTTTCTGTTTGCTTTCTCGGGGAAATCTCTCAGGCCGATGACCAGGTCCGGAATCTCTCTCTCAAAACTTCTCTCGATCTCTTCAATTATTGGAAGGAAGTGCTTCCTTAGGTTGTCGGAGACTTTCAACAACTCCCCTGGTCGAGTAACTTGCCAGTAAACGAACGGAGTTCCATCTGGCCGGTTGGACAGCCCGAGCTTTCGAAGGTCTAAGATGAAAGGCGAGAGAATTGAAGCAGTTTTAGACAACACCTTACAGAACTCAAAATGTTCACTGACATAGTTGCAAACCAGTCTGATCCACGACCGCGATCTAGGTTCCGAGGATCTCGGGCGGTACTTAGCTCGGCACTCATTGACTGCAACAGCACCACCCGTAAAAAAGATCAAAGGTAACTCCTATCGGGAGGGTGGGATAACAATCTCTTATCGGCCATTGGGGCAGGTTGATTCGCTGGTTATGCTTTCGGATAGGCTGGGAAAGAAGAACTCGATTGCAGTTCTAAGAGGGGGGTCTAGGTCTATATATAAGGTCTGATACCCTGGTCAAACAGGGTCAAAATCAGGTGATTTGGCAACTGACAGCATTTTTGAGCGAGAAACTCTTATTATTATAGTGACGGGGAGCCAATAACACCAATCACCATCGGTCAGCTATATTTCTGATATCACAACGCACATGCTCGTTCTGTACATTTGATCACGATTCTATACTTTCAACGGAAAGACAGGACCAGCGCAAGCGAGGAGCCGTAACCGTGTTGCCAGCACTGCTCATGCACCCATTCTTCAACTGTACAGACACAAATCCATCCCAAATATTCAATACTCCTCAAGCCCTTCATTCGAACTTGTTAAGCTTACAGGGCCTAGCAAGCCAGCCGTATGTGAAGGAATTAATGGATAATTCGCGCGGCCGAGGCAATGTGGGAGGAGAGACCAGGGGACTCTCCATACTTATTAAAGAACAGTATTTAGTACTTCAATCGTGTTTAGCGAATACATAATAATATGCCAGTATCATGATTCCCAGTTCAACGTATCATTGTTGCTAAGATTCGCGGAATCGAGTCTTTATGCCCGGCTCAAGAAAGCTGGGGTCCTAGAGAAGCATATGCAGCCTTGATTTCTCCCAAATCTACCTTGACAGTCCTGAACCTGTTCCCATACTCCGACTTTATTTGACGAAACGCAATTTGTGCATCATCCAAGGTAGGAACTGTGCATATTTCGAGACTGGGCGGCGTTCGAGTGGAACATCTATCCAGTGAAGTTCATAAGCGAGTTTTCCCTTAACGTATTTCCGGTCCATTGTTCGGTCATCCCCACTCTCCATCTAGTATTCATCTGCGTGATACAGGAACCAACTGACTTCTCAAGTAACCATCGCATACTACCAATTGCGTAGTGTTGGATAATCGCCATTGAATAGCGGGACGATTGCGTTTGTGAAGAACGTAAAAGCGCCCCTAATTCGTCATGAAGTTCGACTGTTTGATATAGTAGTCCCGCACAAAATCTATGCAATACTCCAGGCACTCCCGCGGAATACTATAGAAAATTCGTTTGCTTGCGCAAGGCCGAAATGGGACCCCAAATTTGGCGGCATACTTTCTCCAGCATTCGTTGATGGCAATAACACCCCCTGAACACCGGTAAAAGGCCAGACCAATACTAAAATAAGGGTGGTAACCCCCCTTCAGCCATTGAGGCGTATGGAGCTCTCGATACCACGAGATTTGAAGACTCAATCGTGAGGCTGAGGAGAATGCCAATAGTCGGGAGCTGGGACATCTGGGGCTCCATAAAATCGGTTGACAATTACGGATCGATAGCATCGTAAAACCTCGTGGTAAAGTATGTCGAAACGTGTTTTTGGAAACACGTCCACGGCGTTGTCTGTTCAAGCTTCAATTAGCTAAGCCCATGCCCGAAAAGGCGGGGTACTCACGGACAGATGCCTCTCCCTGTTCTTTAGTACTTGTGTCCCGTCGCAAAGAGTCAGTCTCTTCGTAACCCGACCCTTGACCACGAACGCAGCTCAAATGGTGAGAGTGGTAAGTCATGCCAATGTTGACGAGGAAGAAGAAGTTGGAGGTTGAAGGTCGTAAAATTGCCCGCAGGAGCTGCTTTACAGTGTCTCAGCCCTGTCAAGTCACAGTTGCCACAGCATGAACCTCACTAAAAGGCGGCCCATTCAGGTGTTATTAAAAATTAATATCGTTAATCGCACGCTCTTCACACCTGCAGGAACTCATTCCAATACCCCCAATCTAGCGGATCAGTTCCAAACTCACTCGGCATCGTGAAATTCGTGAACGCAGAGTTCGGGTCCCACCCCCCTGGCAAATGCCCCTCGCCACCCAGCCCAAGCATTGTTGACCCAGGGAAGCCATCCGAGCCAAGTGCAGGTACCGTGTTGAGGTCAGCCGTCTCTCGTTTCCGTGTTGCCATTAAAGAGTATATGTAAGGAGGGGTGATTTCTTCAATGCGTGCCCCTTGTCGTTGAAGAAGTTCTCGTTGCCTGGTTTCCCATGCTGAGAGAGTTAAATCTCCTAGAGCGACGTAAAATGTGTTTGTCGTATCCTGGGTGAGATCGGGATGGTCTTCGTAGACTGTGCCAACGACCTTCCAGGCTGTGGCGACGAGATCTCCCGTTGCTCGACGGCGAAGCTCACTTAGCACATAGATGACAGCGTCGATCTGCGATTTGGCGGTCATGGAAGAGAGTAGCTGCTGCGAGAACTGTGTTTTCGTACATTCGATATCGAGCTCAAGAAGCCTGACGCCGTTCTCAAAGACAAAGTCGCTCTCTGCTTGCGATATGTGTGCTCCTCCATCCGGCTGATTCCGTGGGTGATGTGAGATGAATTTCATTCTGCAGAGCGCGAGCTGTGAGATAGAGAGTGATATAAAATGGAGTGGGATTCGAGGATCACAGTGTTGAAGGTATTTCTCGACATATATCGTCTCCAGTTCTTTAATAGCCTGGTCTTTGACCTCCAATGGCTGAGTGGAACCAAACAAGCCCCTCTGCTCCTTGTGTTTGAAGAAGAGTTTGGAGGCAAGAGCCGAAGTTCGGAACCATTGCCCCACTTCATGTTTCAACAAGCAGTAGAGCATTTCTGTAGTGCCTGTGTGAACTGTTGGCGCCTCTGCCATGTTTGGATGCAACTCAGAGTCGTTAACGTTCAACGGCAGTCGAACGTCGCTGCTTGATTCAGGAGAGGGAAAGCACATGCTCAACTGATGCCTAGCACGAGCATCAAGCCCTCTGATTTGCCACCATAACCGGATACGCATTTCCGTTTCAAAAAATGAATGTTTTGCTGGCGGTTTTTCCCTATCCAGGCCCATTTTTTGAGCAATGCGTACTGCGAGAGCAGTTAGTGTGGCTGTTGAGTCTGAGTCGGGATCGGATAACTGTGTTGCGGTCAGTCTGCGAACACTCCTTGCCTCCTTCGCGGGATCGATGCCTACCAGAAATAAAACAAACGCTTGCAACACCTCAACATCCCTCGTCGACAACAGCTCCGCCGCAATGAGGGACTGCATTGCGCTTTTTCGATACTGCTCAAATAGCGTATCTCTGTCTTGATCAAAAAGCTTGAGACAATCCGAAGGCGACAACGAGCCAATAGCCAGGGTATAAACAGCAAACATAATAGCCTGGGTGGGTTTCGAAATGCTCGGGATATTCCAACTGACTTCAAAAATCCGCTGTTGAAAGGTCGGCACGTGCAGAATCTTGGCTAGGGGATTCACGTTCTCGACGAAAATTTGCCAGAGGCGGAAGATGTGTCGTGGTTCGGGGTGGCGCTGTTCCTGGGAGACTTGCGTGAGAAGAAATTCTTCGATTCCTAAAGGCACTTTCGGGGCTCCATTGATCAAAGCTTGCCCTTCCTCAAGTTTCGGGAGTCGTTGCATGGGTGGATTTCTCAACTTGGAGCGGTTAGTCATTCCTCCTCGGCATGAAGTTAGAGGCATACCTCATTGCTCAGTGACGCCCAGGGGCTCCTTGATTCAACATCAACCGAATCAGAATGAATTGAGTGATCTGTTCCATATCCAGATTTCCCACTCGAGTGAGGGACTGTGTCTGGTGTTTTGCTGGAATGATGGCTTGGCGACGCTTTTGCGTGGTCTTCCTGAACAGACTTCGGAGTCAAGACAGTGGTACTTGGCTTGAAGTCGATATTATGGCTTCTCAGCAACTCTTCGTACTGTCTAAGCTTGGCTATTAACTCTTCGTCCGCCTGCCTCTTTCTGTGTCGTTGTGGCGGGGGTGGTGCCTGGTAGATACAGTCGGCATGTGACTTGGTGCAATTCGAGCACTTCGGATCCTGCTTGTCGCATTTTATCTTTCGCCTCGCGCACAATAGGCATGAGTGCTTATGGGAAGGCGTAGCTGGAGGTGGGGAAGCCATTATTGATGGGGTGGTTGTGTGGTTGATGATCAGAAATCTTGTGATGTCGGAGCAAACGAAACGAGTTCCGAAGCAGCCGAATGCGATGCACGTGATCATGGACTCCCCCTCAAATGTTGAGCAATTATTCCGGCTCTTTTAGGCCTGTTCTCATCGAAGTATAACATAAAAGAGAAGCAGGTAGAGTTTTATAACCGGTCTACCGAAGAGAAGGGGCAGGAGTAGCCAAGTGCAGCCTCAACCCAAAACAATCTCCCTCCACCTCTTCCTCCCAACCGCATTCTCAAAACTCTGCTTAAACACCTTCCCCAGCGCCACCCTAAACCAAACCCTCTCTTTCATCTCCACAAGCAACACATAATACAACTCCCACTCTGAACTGTCCCTCTCCTTCGGCACATAGTACGTCCAAACATCACACTCCTCTCTCGTGAAAGCTTTGGCATCACTGATCGCTAAAAAGTCCCTTCTTGAACCATCAACCTTGTTTCCCATTTTCTCTTGTTTGGAGACCCAGTCAGAGGAGAGCAGGATCGAGCCGCACCAGTCACCAACTGCGTCGGAGATGTCGAATTTGGTGAGGCCAGGCAGGGGCGGGGAGGAGGAGGGAGAGTTGGGGTTGGAAGGGGATTTCGAAAGCCGGAGCGAAGCCCACCATGTCCAGAATTGAAGGAGCGGTTGGTCGGGGAAATCTTTATCTGGGGTCGAGGTGTAGGGTTCAATGTAAACTCTGAACGGATTATCGGGCAGGCATTGCTGGAAGCCACTTCTAATCCTTCTCGCGATATCAGAGGATATCTTCCTTCCGTATTCATCGAGGAAGGTTGGTGGCTCGTCGATGTCTGCGTTGACGTCGCGGTAGATATCGACATCGCGGCCTCGTGGCCTATCGGAAGAGGCAGAACGAGCTCGACCCCGCCCGACGTCCTCTACAATGCGGTGTCTTTGCTCGCGAATCCGTTCTCGATGCCGCGGATATTCGTCGTAATAATTTCCCCTCGCTTTCCCTTCCCGCTCACCGAGCTTGGCTTCCTTATCCGCGATCTCCTGCTCCTTCGCCCATTTGATAAAGTCATCCTCGTTCGGATTCCCCAGATTCATCAACGCTTGTTCCTGTAATTTCGTGAACTCCGGCTCGGGGATGACGTCTTTGTATCCTTTCCATCGCTCTTCTACAGAGGCACAAGCTTTAATTTCTTGGCTCTCGCCATCCCAGATGGGACGTAAGTTGCCGCGTCCGTCACGGATGTACCAAGCTATCCAGGTGTGTTCGGTGAGCCATTCGTGGACATTTGCGAGCACGCCTTCGAGCTGGTAAGTACGGTAAGACATCGAGCCGCCTTTCCAGCCGCACCAGCTCCAGGTGGGGAAGATGAAGTCGCCGAAGTCTTCGTCCGGTCCCGGGACTCGGCGGGAGACGGCACTGAGAGGCTCCCAGAGGAGGGCGAGATCGAAGTGCGAGCTCGGGAGGCCGAAGATGAAGGGTGCGCCCATGACATCGCTGATGAGGTTGGAGACGCCGTTAAAGGCTGCGAGAATATCTTTTGCTTGAGTGAGTTGCCGCTCGGAGTACCGGGACATACAGTTCATGTATACTCTGATGGGACGCCGTCTCAGCTCATGGAGGATCTGAGGGAGGGCTTTGGCAAGATCTAGGGACCAGCCTGCTCCGTGGGATTCGGAGACGAGATCTTCGGACATGGTTGCTGAGTGACATTGGAAGAAGACTCGACCTTCTGTGAAAATTAGACAGCGTTTGGAGAGCAATCTTTCTTGGAAAGTCCAAGCTCGTGTATTCCAGACAGATGAATTGATGCCAGTCTCAGCGAGTTGAGATACCATGAGTCGTACTCCAGGAGCACACTCTTCGATGTGTTGGATAGTTGAGTGTCCTGAAGAGTCTAGTGCTTTCAACCCAAGCCACGCATCACTTCCATCGGCAGCACAGATCGTCAAGTGGGCATTGCCATAGATGATATTCATTTTCCGAGCGTTGAGGTTCCAGGAACGTTTGCTGTTTTGAACAATACACAAAGAATCAACCCACAGATAGCGTAGACCCAGGCGGCGAACGAGGCTCATCGCGTCTCGAATGACTTTGGGTATTTCATCAAGGAATGTCTCCAGACTTCCTTGCTGTTGATGTATCCGGATGTTCGAAATGTCAGTTGTGTAGTTCTTCTTCAACCCCCAGACATAGCTCAATGCCACGTAAGGTTCATAGAGATCCCGATCGTAATCTGCTGTCAGTAAGCTTTTTCCTTTTTCCTTTTTACACAGGACATACCTTGCTCCTTGCTTTCTTCAATAGAGACCTCGGAGGGGCTGGACCCATACCGGTCACGATTTATTCGTACAATCTCAACATCATCTCGCGTGGTCCGTAAATCTGAGTCTTTCTTCTTTGGAGATTTTCCAGGTTTTAAAGGGAGTGATTTGAGGCACATGTCTAGTGTATCTATTACACCGAAATACGACTGCGTAGCCATCTCAAGAAACTCATCGTTGTTGTAACCGATGCAGGCTGGACCGTGATGGTTGGAACATTGATCCAGCCAGCTCTTCATCAAAACCTGATTGTTGCCATTCGTTCTCAGCTCTCTTCCGAGGAAGAAAGCTTCTCGTTCCCAGGATCCTTGAGAGTCGGAGTTGATGTCGAACAGCCTTTGAGGCGCCACAAAAACGAGGTAAGAATCAGGGACATTCTTGTTATTCCAATGAAGATGAAGCCGTCTCGTCCGGGCTTTTCGGGCGGAAATAGGATCATTGTCGCGGCCATCAATCTCCCAGTTGACGAAACAGATGGACTCCCTTTCCCGTAAGCTTGCAAGGACATCGCCTAGTGGCAGTGCCAGGGCTTCTTGACACTCGGTAGATTTGCATATGGACTTGACTGCCAAGATGCACAATGGACATCCATTGCAACTTCGTTGCTCGATGTCGCTGAAAGTTCCAAGTTGAAAAAGCCTGTTTCCGGTTTTCAGGGAGAAGTCTGCTCGCCGGCCTGGGCCAAAACTCCCTTTGGGGGGCCTGAATGTTCCGTCATATATGACGAACTTGTCCACGCTCAGGTCCAGTTCTTGACATCTTGAGCAAAGTTTCTAGGCAGGTTGATTGGCTTGAGGAAACTTTTGCAAGAGTGGGGGGCATACCTTCTCACGGGCCGTGCCGTCGGTCTCCGCATTGGGTTGTTCCGGATTCGTTCCATCTGGCGGTTTTATGCCGTTGGTCGACATATCCAAAAGCTGCTGGATGAGACGCAATTGAGAGGGGTGATGAAGAGGGTTACGGAATGCGCCCGACGTTATCCTCACCCCTGTAGGCCAGCACACGCCTCCGCTTAGTCGTGATACACACCCGCCAAAGTTGTTAGCGAATTCAGCCTGAAAATCAAACCCCCGATTAATTTCTTCAATAGCCAGCACACTTAGGTTCCCTTAAAAAACAACATTAATTAATGCACAGTCTATAGGAGTACCCTCTATAAAATTGTAAAATTTGAATTGCCATTGTTATGGAAGTTAATATAGAAAACGTTGATTTTCGGTCCAGATCTCGGTGTATCACGACTAACCGGAGGCGCGTGGCCAGCTAGCCAGCTAGCCAGCTTTTGCAGCGCTTACGTCCTAGGCGATCTTAGCCCATTTGGGCCAACGATTGCAGACTGACAGTGAATAAACGGTCGTGAGAGTGGCAGTTTCTGCAACTGTACGGCCTCATATGGGCTCACGTTCCCGTCCTTCAAGAATTGTGTTTTCCCAAGGAGAAGCCCTTAAGGGTTGTCTCAGTAACAGAGCTCACGAACCGCTCGCGGCTTGGGCGAGTGGGTTCCCCTCGCCCACTAAAACCTGGGGTTCCGCGCCCCATAATTCCCGCTGGTCTCACATTTACCCCGCCTGGCCCCGCCTGACCCACCCCTCTCCCCATTCCCCTCTTTCTGCTCACTCTTCTTCCTCTCTCTCTTCTCCATTCTCCCTTCTCTTCTTCTCTTCTTCCATCGACAAACTCCTTTCTGTCAGAACATCTCCACTCCACTCAAACCAAAAACACCAAAAAAATGCCAGGCATAATCCCAACCTACTACCTCGCCCTCTCGGCCGGGAACCTCGCTCTCCTCACCTTCGCATGGGGCAAACTGGCTGCTCCCGCCGCCCCAGCACTCAGAAGACAGAGAGGGCGGTTCGTGAGTTCAGTGCAGAGGATGTCGAGGTTGACGATGGCGAAGGGCCCGTTTCCACAAGGCGGGCATGCTGCTGCGTAGAACTACTGTATGTATGTATCCACCTCGTCATGAACATCCACGGGGGCCGTGCTGACAACATCAGCGAGGGCACCGTGAGCTAGTCGACGGTGACTGAATCTGGGACCGGTACGGCGTTGTTTGAGGGTTGGAATTGAAGGAACTTGGGGCACGTGGATTGTCTTGTGCTAGACACGTAAACGTTAGGCTCATTTGGCGTTCTTGCATTTGCGGCGCCGGGTGGTGGGGTGATTCGTGATGTTTGGGGAGTCTCGTTTGGGGTTTGGGATGCATTGTTTAGATGATAAGACGACACGAAAGAGAGATCAGCATAAGATTGATAGAAAATAAACAGATTTTCTTGTGTAATTTCTATTCATAACTCTTCAGGGTCATTCATCTTCAGAAAGAGCAGGCTGGAGGAGGAGGGGTTGATCACGTGCTACATTTCCCTTTGTTTCATCTCATCTTCCAATCTCGATCCCTCTTCTCTGAACTTCTTAAACTTCCAATCCTACCTGATGTTTCATTCCCCCGAAGCTTTATGGAAGCCAAAAAAAATAATACATATATGAAAGAGTTGCCCCAATGCCGGGGCAATCAAGACGATCGCGCCCCTCACGCAAGTCCGATCCGCACTCACAGATCACCTCAGGTCGCTCCTTATCCAGAAAATGGCCGTCACCATGCAGGCATCCAAATCGCCACTAATAACCCACATCTGGACCCTTGAAGGTCTGCAATTTGGAGATAAATTGAAGGTCTTGACGAATTCACGTCAGGAATCGCGTGCTACAGCAAGCAGTACAGGCTGTCGGCGTCGGGGTGAGTCAGGCCCACAAATGCAGAGTGGATCCATCCAGATCGCCGTTTGCCGTGTCAAATTTTCAACCTCCTCTTCTCTTCTCTTAAGCTTCACACTGTCTGTATCTCATCGCGCCTCATTTTTTTCATTCTGTATCTTGCAAGCTGCATTGATATTTATTTTCAGCTGAAATATCAATATTTATTGGACCGATAGGGAGAGGCTGAGAAGGAATCATGTCCTCCCAAGCAAAATCAGCATCGCCATCAATTGCAAGCGACGAAGACGTCGAGCTCCAAGCATGTTTGACGGAGGATGAATCTGCCCTCTTGCTCTCGGGTCCAGCCGTCGAGGAAGCTTCAATCAAGTCAGGGCCGTCATGGACACCCTCATCTCTCGGGCCAGGATTTATATGGATTCAAGCAGGCTCGTCTCCCACAACCCAGACCACCATCTCCTTCTCATAACTAACGACCCACCAGCAATCTTCTGCAACGTCTTTCTCTCTGGCTTCGATGGGACGATCACAGCTTCTACCTACGCAGTAATCGGTTCAGACTTCAACGCCGCCAACACCGTCTCCTGGATCACGACCTCGTACCTCATCACCACCACCGCGTTCCAGCCCCTCTATGGCCGCTTCTCAGACGTCCTGGGCCGGCGAGTATGTTTCTTCACTGCTACTATCGCGTTCTCCCTTGGATGTCTAGGCTGTGGCCTCGCCCCCAATATTATCTTCCTCAACCTGATGCGGGGCCTCACCGGCCTCGGTGGGGGAGGACTGGTCACAATGGCCACGATCATCAACTCTGATATCATCCCACTACAGAATCGAGGCATGTATCAAGCTTCTCAGAATGGTCTTTTGGGGTTCGGGGCAATTTGTGGTGCGAGTTTGGGAGGAGTCATTGCTGACTCGGTGGGTTGGAGGTGGTGTTTCTTGTGTCAGGTTCCCGTCTCAATGGCGGGTCTCATCGTGGGACATTTTGTTATCAAGAATCCGGCTCCGTCTATGACCGCTGTTAGGACCGGGGAGTCTGGGCAGATGTCGCTTTGGAGACGGATTGATTTCTCTGGGGCCATACTATTGGTGCTGGGTCTGTCTTCTCAGTTGACAGCGCTGAGTCTTGGTGGTAATCAGTACCCGTGGTCTGACACCAGAGTCATTGTCAGCTTTGCCATCAGTGTTGTCATTCTTATCGTCTTCGTCTGGGTGGAGTTGAAAACGGAGGCTTTACCAGTCTTGCCGATGTCGATGCTGAGAGGAAGAGTTGTTATCAGTAACACGGTCAGCAATGTATTGTGTGGAATGTCTGCTTTCGCAGTGAGTTTCCACTTTAAGAACAAGAACCAGACAACACTAACAATGGAACAGTTCCTTTTCACAATTCCACTCTTCTTCCAAGTCGTACTCTCGGAGTCAGCCTCGAAGGCTGGTATCAGACTCATCATTCCCTCGCTCGGAACTCCCGTTGGTGGACTCATAGCAGGCTTCACCATGAGTCGCTGGGGAATGCTCAATCACCTCGTGCGCCTCGGCTGTCTCCTAATGGTAATCGGGAATGGAGTGATGGCAACACTCAACTATCACGACTCGAGCTGGAAATACATCGTCTACCTCTTCCCTGCAAACCTCGGCCAAGGAATTGTCTTCCCAAGCATGCTCTTCACCAACATCGCAGCATTCCAACAATCTCGTAAGTACCAAGCACTCTTGGCATGCTAGAGGGAAAGGTAAAAAGCTTACCAACCATCTTGCAGAACAAGCAGTCTCAACCTCAACGGTCTACCTTTTCCGCTCCATGGGTAGCGTCTGGGGCGTCGCAGCCGCATCAACGATAATTCAGAACGTCCTCTCGTCCAGACTGCCCGGGGCATTGTCCGGAATACCAGATAAATTGAAAGTGATACTCTTCCCTTGCCCCTTCTAGTCTTTCTCTTCCCATTGCCCCATTCTTATCAAATGGAAATTCAGAATTAAGTAAAGAAAGAGATGGCTGACTTAGGAAAATCGCTCAAAAGATCATCACCTCAATCCGCCACTCCATCACCGCGCTCAGCTCCCTCGATCCGGAGGTCCAAGAAATCGCTCATCGCGTGCACTTCGAGGCCTTACAGCTTGTGTTTCTAGCCTCCACTGCATGGGCGCTCATCGCGCTGGTTGCGGCATTTTTCGCAAGAGGGCAGAGGTTGGATCGTCGCTGATTAAAATGGATTTGATTTGGTGATGTGACCTGGTGGTTTTGGTGAGGCCCCTGGGAGATGAGGGGTCGTGGAGGCTGTGCACCTGGGCAGCGGGGCCGGTCAAGGAAGTCTGGCTGGCCCTTTAAGCAACCCCTGGCTTCGGCTTGGAGCGGTTCTGAGCTGGGACTGGGTCTTGTCTAAGGCTGAGGAGACGACTGGATGCAGTTGCTGAGTTCGGCACTGAGGTGATGGCGCGAACTCCCTCGCTGATGAGCCACGAGCACGTTTACCCTAGTGCCTCTTTGCCTCCTTAACCTTATTCATGACCAAACCTTCAATTTGAGCCTAGCAAGTTTCAGCGAATGAGAGCATGAAAAGTCAACACGTTGTACTTGCCCCGCTCCCTCTCATGCGGTACCTATAGCTAAAAGTATACGGGATTATTCCTCCTCCTGATAAGGATAAGCAGTCCTTGTGCCAGTAATCAAGTAATCAAGCAAGAGAGCGCGGCACAGGTGGCGACATCGCCAAGCGTTCGCCACTCCGTCCACAGCTTGTTGTCACATGCACATCCTCCCCCTCACCACTCAGCATCCACCTCTACACTAGCCCCGATCCTCACCCCTCCACCACCAACTAATACTCATTCTATCCCCCCCCCAGTCCAAAGCGCCATCACGAGATTAGTAACGCCACCCCAAAACCTCGTTTATATCCCCAACATAGGAAACCTCAGGTGCTTTAGAGAGTCTCTATTCGCTATCGACCCTTGATGGGGCCCGTGCAGGCGTGGTGTTATCAATATCGTGATCGCGCTTTGGACTGGGGGGGGGATAGTAGCACAGAGGCTTTCTTGAGATAAGGTTTTGGCTGGCCAATAGGCCGCTTGCGCGCGATGCGTTTGCCTTTGCCCGCTATCGTTTCGCCCGCTGACGTTAGCTCAACGTTTGGGAGGGAGTCGTGCACCCATGTACCGATGCATCTGGACGCCTTCATTGGCGGAGAAGGGAGAAAGGGGTGTTTGGCAGAGGAAGGCCCTGGCAGGGTGGGCACGGGCAGTGGCTGGGGGGTCTTTGGTAGTGACGCACCGTGCGTCGGTGGATCCGATCTGCGGGGTCAAAGGCAGGCAGGTCGTGGGTCGTGGTATTGGGAGCTGGGGAACTCTCGTTCTTGGCGGAGAAGACCCAAGTATATAAGCTTGGTCTCTCTGGTCTGGAACTTGGCCCCTTTAGTTTACATACTTTTTAAGATCTCGTTTCCCCCCCTCTTAGAAACCTCAAAGTGTTTTTTTTCTTCCAATTTTCCGAAGAACAAAAGAATAGAGAAGAGGAGAGAAAGGATAGAAAAGATGACATCCAGGACCCCAGCAATCACAATCGTGGAGCCCTCCATTCATGATGGCGACGACTTGAGTACGTTCCGTTCCGCTCCTTGCTTTTGGGACCCTCTGGGAGATCGAGGGAACAATGAATGAATGCAGGAACAGAAAAGCTGACTGGTGACTTTCAGGCCGCATCCCAACGAACGGTTCCGGCTCCCTCTCTGCAATCGACGAGGACCGCGAGCATAAGCAGGACTGGACCGTCACGACCGACGAGAAGGATTCCTGGGCCAACAAGGAGCGACGCAGGAGTTCGGTGTGGGGAAAGTTGGAGTTGGTTCCGTATGTGTCTGAATCTCTCGTTCTCGCTGTTTTTCTCGCTCCATGTATTGATTGCCGCGATGTTGAGTGAGTGGGGCAACGCTGATGCTGGGATGATATGTATAGGTCCGCAACATCCCCGAAAAAGAAGAACTTCATGACCGCTGGTGGTCAACCGAGACGAGGCAGTATCCTGAGTATGTGGGAGGGGGGAAAGGATAAGGATGGACGGGATATCCTGGCGCATGATGATCATAGCGATGAGGAAGAGGAGAGTGTTGGGTACGTTCTGCCTTTTTTACTTTATTGTACTTTCTGACAGTTTTGGGGAAAACGGGGGGAAATATCATAGACAGGGCTAACGACAGAGACAGGTCTCCAATGAGTAATGAAGAGGAACAGGGGAAGGCGAGCCTGGAGAGGGAACGCAGGGGCAGCATCTTGAGCATTTGGAGGAAGGGGAAGGATGAGCATGGCAATCATGCTATTGTTCATGACGATGAGGAATACTCGCAGGCGGATCGTCTTCCGAGTCGGACCAGCTCGGATAGTGCAAGTCGACCTAAACAGCGGGAGGAGTTGCCGACCAGTAGTTTCTTTGTTTGATGGGATGTTTTGTTGTATTGTCGTTTTTGAATTGATGGGATGGGTTATTGCGGGTTCCGGGGTTCTGATACCAATTTGAAAGGAGAAGGAAAGAAGGGCTGTACGATCTAGGTAGCAAAACCAACGTTGATGCCTGCACTTGACTTCTGTTCTTCGCTGCCGATCTGTTAAATTTGAAGAAGCCTGACCATGAATTAATAACTATCCGCATTACTGACTCTAAGACGCTCTGGAAGCCAAGAGCAGAGTTCAACGTCCTCAACGATGATGAACATTGGTATCCTGTGGGATTGTGTCCAATGCTCAATAAAGTGTAGAACCGTCGTTCCGAGTCAGACCTTCTAGCGTTCGCCTACCGACTCGACTCCAGAACCAAGGAACATAATCATCAAGTTTGACGGAACATGGCTCCTAGTAAAAGAGTGCAAGCAGGCCACCAGGGCTTCAAGGCTTCAGAGTCCCAATTCTCGAACGTAGGTGATCACGTGATCAACCCCGCACTTCTATGGGATTTCTCTCCGCTTAGAAGTGGGGGGCGTAGCTATTTAAGGAAAGATATAAAGATTTTGGTGATTGAGAAAGATGGATCTAGATAGTTGAGGGTTCGACAACAATGGGGAAGTGGAGCAACGAGATGGGCACTTGCCGTTCTCCTTAACCTCGGCTAGCAGACTCGAATGATCTGGGCACTGTCATGGTGGGAATCGTGAAAACACAGGAGAAGAATGGAAATCTGAAGTGTAGTCATGCAGAAATTTGTCAGGGGTGTTTGAAAGGAAATTTTGACCCTAAAATTAAAGAAGAAAGTGCGTGAAGTGATGTGAAGTGTGTGCGACCCCAGGCGAAAAGTTGGATTCGCCCCTGAAACTCGAATCAGGCGAGACTCCGCCCAGAAACATCCGATCTCACTGCAATCTCTGCACACAAGCATTGGACCCCATCGCAAATTCCCACAGTTGGCTTTGAAAAGCCACTTAACATATACAATCAACGATGATGTCAACCCACGTATAACGTCTAATCCGGGCAATTTTACTAGCAAGAATGGATCTGAATCATCTGATGTCAGGCGGAATCCCCGTTTCCATGCCAAACATGGAGCAGCACACCCACAACCACGTCGACGTCTTCATCTGCGGCAGCGGCTCCGCCGGACTCTGTGCCGCGACCTGGCTCGCACGCTACGGCCTCACCTGCAAGATCGTGGACTGGCGACCGGGTCCACTGGAAGTTGGGCAAGCCGACGGCGTACAGTGTCGCACAGTGGAAGTCTTCGACAGCTTCGGGATTGCGGAGGAGCTTTTACGAGAAGCGTACCACGTTCTTGAAGTTACCTTCTGGTCGGATGATGGCGAGGGAGGTATTGTGAGGAGTAGTAGGGCGCCAGATAGAGAAGAGGGTGTTTCTCACATGCCGCACGTGATTCTGAATCAGGCGAGGATCAATGGGTTGTTACTTGGGGCGATGAATAAGTTTAATGGGCAGGTTGTGGATTACGATTATGCTGTTAAGAGTGTTGAGGTGGATAGCAAGGCAGCGAGTGATCCGGATGCGTATTGTGTTACTGTCACTACTGCAAAGCATGGGAATGAGGAGGTATTCAAGGCCAAATATGTGTTGGTAAATTACCACACCCGCTTTTCCAAAGTATGTTCTAATAGTTGGCAGGGATGTGATGGTGCCCATAGCGCTGTACGGAAATCACTTGGGTTCAAAATGATCGGAGATAGTACCGATTCAGTCTGGGGAGTTATGGACGTCTACCCAAGAACCAACTTCCCAGACATCAGACGAAAAGCCGCATTACAATCTCAAGCCGGGAGTCTCCTCATAATTCCCCGTGAGGGAGGATCTCTCGTCCGGTTATATATCGAGCTCCCATCCGGAACGACTGCCAAAGACGTCAAGCTCGAAGACCTGCAAGCCTCAGCCCGCAAGATCTTCCATCCCTATGAGACGGAAATCGCAGAAACCTACTGGTGGTCCGCCTACTCGATCGGCCAACGCCTTGCCGACCACTTCTCAAAAGACAATCGCGTCTTCCTCACCGGCGACGCATGCCATACTCACTCCCCGAAAGCAGGACAGGGTATGAACGTGTCTTTACAAGACGGGTACAATATCGGATGGAAGCTGGCATCCATCCTCAAAGGCCAAGCAAAACCAGATCTCTTGAAGACTTACAATCTTGAACGAGAGAAAGTCGCAGCTGATCTCATTGAATTTGATCGCGGCTTTGCGAAAGCTTTTGCGTCGAAGTCTGTCAAAGATGGTGTGAATGAGAAGAAGTTTAGTGAGTTGTTTGTTCAAGCTGGACGGTATACGGCGGGTTTGACGTCTAGATATGGCGATTCGTTGATTACGAGGGCGGAATGGAGTACGCAGAGTCTCGCTTCGAATTTGACTGTCGGGATGAGGTTCCCAAGTACGCAAGTTGTGAGGCATTGTGATGCCAAAGCGATGCAGCTGGTCAAGGCGCTGCCTGCGGATGGTCGGTGGAGAATCGTTGTTTTTGCGGGAGATATTCGGGATGGTCTTGCTGCTGAGAGACTAAACAAGGTACGTCCAATTATTACCTGCGTTTGCGTGACTGACAATATTCCCAGCTTGCGATTTACCTCTCATCCGTGAAAAGTCCCGTCAGCAAATACACCCCGGCAGGAGCCGATGTCGACAGCTTCATCGAAGCCATTTTAGTTATATCCGGCAAACGAATACAGATAGAGCAAGACCAAATACCTAATTATTTCTGGCCAGTGACTGGCAAATATCGGATGAGAGATATCCACAAAACGTTTATTGATGATGAGAGCTACAACAATGGTCACGGGAAAGCGTATGAATTTTATGGAGTAGACCCGAAAGCCGGCGCACTTGCCATTGTGCGCCCGGATCAATGTGAGTCAATGTCCTCAAACGAATGATTGAATACGGAACTGATAATTGTGAAGATGTTTCACTTGTTACAGGAATCGATGAACTTGAGTTGATCGGACAGTTCTTCGACTGGTTTGCGGTGGGGAGGCCAAGGTCGGATCAGTTTGATCTGGAGGATATCGTGAAAATGGGATGAAAAATTTAGATGGTCTGATGAAGGAGAGTTTTTGAGACAAGCTCAAAACAGCCGTGAAGTGTGAGCTGGTGTATGTGGAAGGCATTTTCAACCCATCTTGTTGGTGGAAACGTAAATATTTCTTAAAAAGTGCCAGCTATCCGCCCATTGCTAAAGTTTTGAATTTAGTGAATTCACTAAACATAAACCACATCTTCGACCCCCGTCCTTTGACTTGAGACTTGCCTTAAGAATTTGGTCCGCCAGAAGGCTCTTCCGAGCTCTCGGGACGGACGTACGACCAGAGGCACGTTGCTATCACGGCTCGGGCAAACAATTCGCACTATTCGTGGCCAGACGCTTTTGAACTCTCAAGAGGCCTCAAGCAATTGATTTTTACTCTTCAGATAATGCATTCTGAGCCTTTGTTTGTGAAGAAATACTTCTCCCATCATCCCAGCCTACCTTGAGTCTAAGATACTTCCCAAAGAAACCATCCACCGACTTATATCCCATCAGATACCCATCCTTGACATGCTCACCCTCCAAATCAGCTCTAGCAGCCATAAACCCATGCCTCCGACCCCACTCCCACTCCCTTCGCATCCCACTTCCAAGTTAAAGAGAAACGACCTTCCCGCCCCAGCACAGCGTGAAAAATTCCTCATTCATCGACTCCGTAATTCTCACTGACCTCAGCAACAAACCCAGAGATTTCCGCAACCGCCACTAGAGGAGAAGCCGTAGCCTCGAAGACACTGCTTGATTTTTCGCTGGCCCGTCAATTGGGTCAGGCTGGCAGAGTGTGTGATTCATAATCCACATGACCCGCAGGTTGGTGATATGGCAGTATTGGAGAGTCTGAATCCAGAGGTGAGGACTTTGGCTTTGCTGCAGACAACGAGGGAGTCCACGTACCTCAGGTGGGGGAAGGCGAATCTGGAGCGGGAGATAAAAGAGATCACTATTTACACCCAAATTCCATCCAGCCCGGAAAGTTCACACATTTCTCGTTACGAGGTAGTTAAAATTTTTTGCAGTGACGTTAGTTCATTGCAATCTACTCGTTAGCGAACGCCCCCTGAATTTGCCGAGTTTTCAGGGGTCGTTCTCGCTAATCGCGAGGCATAGCGGGTGCAGGATAGACTCATCACTACTTGCTCCCTACTTTATCGTTCTTGCAATTAAACTGATGCTCCTAGAAGACATCACTTATATGTGATAAAAGCCCCTTAAATATCTCCTTGGCTGTGTATCAAAGTAAAGAGGGTGGAAGCATCGACTTGGACGCCTGTACGCAGATCATATGTCGCCGTGCTGTTGCCATAGAGGCTTTTACACTTAAAAGTTTAAGAGCAAGGTTTGCACGTGTATTCGCTATAGCAACACCCGTCTCCGACATATAGTTGCACGTACAGGCGTCCAAGCCGATGCTTCCACCCTCTTTACTACCAAACTTTGTACAATTTCCACCGTGTAAACTGCCCACACATGTCTTGAACTATTTAAGGCAACTAACGAAGCATGGTACTGCTCACGTATCACGAGCACAAATCAATTTAAAATTTCTCTCAAATTCCTTTCCTTTGTGTTCGATTTCGTGTAACGTGTTACGTGTATGTTAGAAACTGCAAAGCAAGCGAGATCTAAGTCAAACTCATTTCCTCCCCACATCTTATCAGACGCCACATTTCCCCAATGAGTCGCCAGAATGTCCGTTTTGTGCGGAGAACGTCACGGTAAGAAAATAGGGCATTTTAATCTGGGATAAAAGTTGTCGAGTCGAAAATCTTCTGGTCAACTAATAATAAGATTCTTGAGCGGTTTGAACTGGGGATATTTTGATCAATTGCTGCATATGGCCTCGGGGTTTATTAGGAATTTAGGCTCATAATCAAGTTTTCAAACAATTGGAAATCAACTGAGTGGCATTTTAAGGATAAGAAGGTGTCGATCAACACCGTTACGCCAGATGTCGGCGACTATTGTATTCGTGTCTCTCATTCTGCGACACAACGAAGGGGCTCACTCCGGAAGTCCAGATCTGAATCTCCCATCGATACACTTTTATCTATTTTCCGTGAGTTGTCTTAGAAAAGGAACACGCGGGGTTCTTCCTTTTATATTCAATGAATAAAAAGATGGTCCCGCCAAGCCGACGCTTGAAAGGCTCCCTCTCTTCTCGACAACGTTCATTTTGCAGAATCATTGAGCCGTACTACAGCTTTCTCACCCACATTCAATAAGTTGTACTCAACCCGGCCCCTGTCAGTATGTTGTAGTCGAAATTTCTCGATGCGCTATTTCTGCGTCTCTGCAAGTACTTGATGCAGACGCCGCAAGTACAAATTCTCTTCAAGACGTTGTGTGTACCCTCCAAATCGTTCTCTCAAGGCTCCAAAGGTAGAATTAACACCCCAATAGGACCCTCCTCAATCCGGGTACTTAACCACAATATCAACCCGCCACCAAGTCAAACTCTATTTCGTGGAAGAACACTTACAACAATGCGAAGGTGTTCTACGCCAAACCTCTGGTTTACACCCCACCTGGATCTGCACACGAGTCGGTGATCACTGCCTCCAACCAGAACAATATTCGAGTCCTTGGCGGCGTGACTGGTACTCTCGCTAAATCTCGAACATTGGCTCCGCCCTTCCAAGCAGTTGACAGCAGCGGTGGAGATATTCCAAATGCCATCGAGATCGCCGGGACCCCAATCATCGTAAGTGCTCCGATGGCCAACTTTGGAGTTAATCCAACAAGCGGAGTCATCTATGTCATGAATGTCGATAATCTTGGTAGATTTAAGAACGGTCCATTCATAAAGATACCCCAAGGTTTATATCGTTGCTAATTTGATGCAAGACCTGGTAACACGGATGCTGGTAAGTGGCTTCCAAGCAGGGGCTTTCAGCCTTGCTAACTTTCGGATAGTAATCCAGACGATCAGCCAGACCAACTCTTTGTCCAGCGGGATCTGAAGTTATCCCTTGGAAGGCGGATACATATAGTGAGGACTCATACAATTTCTCTATGCACACTCACCAATCAATACTTCTCAAGTATCAATCCCAGCGGCGATTCCTTATACGCATACAAATTCACCGGAGGGAAATTCACCTTGGCTGGCAAGTCGGAATTTACCTTGGCCGGAAAGAGCGTCCCAACCATTAGGAGTGCCAATGGCCAAGTACCGGAGTTGTCTGGCTTGCTGATGTTGATCATGGGTTGGTTGCGTACAAGGCTGTGCCAGTTGGGGGTACTTTGCAGCCCATGACCGTTCCTGTCGCTGGAGGGTTGACAAAAGATCGCCGCCCAGCATTTGGCAATGGGAGAGTTTATGCCACGGGAGGAGCAACTTTGTTTGCTCTTGCGTAAAAAGGTGATTTCAAGAGACAACTGGTGGTAGGCAGAGCTTGATCACCTTCCAAGCTTTCTACCTTATTCACAGATAGTAGTTTTAATACCCCAGTAATTTCGGTAATTGAGAGAGGTTTTGGATAGGAATATGGTAAGACTTCTTTCCGAGAACTCGCTCGTCGCTGCCTTGATTTTGTGTCATTTGCGAGTGTTTCTGACTGCTCATATCTTTCTCCTTCGATTGGACATTTTCGAATGAGGGGACGAGTTTTCCTCCTTTGTCGTGATTGAGAACAATTGAGCAAGAGTTGAACTTCGCAACTGCTCCATGGGAGAAGAAGTGTAGAATCTACTCCCATAATAAATTGAAAGTTCTTGGAACAAGGCTCTTTTTTGGGACGTATTGGCGAAGAATCTGATATCCCCTCCGATTTATCGTGAGTACGAGCCCCGGAGGATGTTTCCTGAAAAAGTATATTCCTTAGAGCTAGTAATACACGCCGCCAGCCTCGCAATAGAACTTGAACACTGTCAGTGTGCTTCTGAGAGCTGAACCTGCGATTCTGGGACAGAGGTCGATCCCTCTGCGTGCATTGCTTCCCCAGTTTTCCGCCTGCCAAATGCATGATCGCTCCTATTGGCGCTCCCCATAGAGAATTCCGTCGTCCTGACTCTCGGTTGTTGATCACTCTTGTCTGTATAATCCACCGATCCCCTGTTTGTAGCAGAACCCATAGTGTTAGTAAGAAAACTAAGTGGGTACGACGAGTTGCTGTTCTGACTCCGACTGCCGTGAGCGAGCTCCTTGTTCTTGACGAAATCAATCAAGCGATTCAATACTGAGAATTCGATCTTCAGCTTGATACTGTATATGGCAGGTTTGTACGTCGTCTGGATCTCAAAATGACCAGAGTACTCAGTGCCGAGGAGTGTAGCATCGAGGATCAGAACCAAAATATTGACCAAGATGAGATGGGAAAGAAGCTTGCGAAGTGGATTCCGGTTGCGCCCTCCAATTGGGCCTAGCAATCGCACGGTTTCGTAGATATAAAGGCCCGAGATGATAGACTCTTGGACGAAGAACATCCCAACCTGAATCTTGTCGAATATCGAGAAAGCGTTGACGACCGAAATGGGTGCATTTGGACGGTTTGTAAGGAACGCCAGGATCATGTCGGGAATTTGAAGAACAATGGCGTTGAATATGATCATGTTGCGAACCCCGCGAATCCTGCTCTCGCTCCGAGCTACCAGGTGGAGACGGGAGTACAAGACCAATGACTGGCCCGTCACCATAGCGACCCAACCGATGGAAATGAGAACGAGAGGGGCCCACCAAACGGAGGTGACATCAAAGAATTTGAGAATAAATCCGACTGTGTGCGGCGCAATACCCCAAGTCGCCGCGATGAAGCTCCAGAAGTATAGACCCCGTCGCCGTTTGAAGGTTGCAAAGATAATGGCGTTGAGTTCGATGACGTTGTAAAGTGCTATGGTCGAGAATGCCACCATGGTCATCAAGATTGGGAGGCCGGCGCTCACAGCGCCAATGATGCCATTATTCTGTACTTGGGACATGGTGGAGGAATGGGTCTAGTGACTTGTGTGAAGACTCCGAAAGCGAGAACTTGGTCCTTTGTACATTCTTAGCATGGAGTCCAGCGGCCTCGAATTAACATACACAAGATGTACGGACTTTGCCACAGCGCTTGCCGCCACAAGAATGGGAAAATATAGGGGACGCTGGCTCCACGAAACCCGAGGGAGCGGAATGACATGACTGTCAGGGAAGACCGGAAAGGGGAACCGATGCGTGATTCCATAGAAATCGACGTCGTCCCGACGGTGGCTTGGAGAAAACCACAGACCAGCAATTGAGGCCCTTGGGCGGGGTACGGGTAGGCTTCCGCTGCCGATGAGGAGATGGGGTGCAGACTGCAGGAAAACGGTCAATCAATCAAACAGTTCGCCTGCCCCTCGTCTTCGCATGTCTTGTTATCACGGCCGATTTGTGGTTGCACAGTGCCAGGGGCTGCAGGAGGCGCCAGCCGTTAAACACCGTGCACCGAACCCAATCTACCAATGAACTCAATCTGCCAAACGAACTTGAACAAGGGCAGGCCCTCAGGAAAAGCCCCAGGGGACTACTCAGCAGACCATCCAGGCATGTGCCAAAATAATTGGTTTGATCACGTTTGGCAATGAGTAGGGAAATTGACTTACGTCAGGAACAGCCTTGAAAGGGTTGCGTAAACAGGTATGCCGTTGGTTTCAACCTGGGGTTACTCCGTGCAACCTCCACACTGCTGCAGGCATTCGACGGGCGCCAATCTCATTTTGCACGGTTTGCACCGGCTTGCTTGGCTCCGCGCTGACCCCAGTAACCCAAACTCGACCGCTTTATCCCCGTCCTTTGAGGAACGGACTTGCCCTCATCCATAAGTCGCCCTTCTCCTCTTCGGGGTCAACGTTTCTCGTCAGAATACCTTCACGACGCTGGGCCACACTTCACTGCACATTGTATTCTGTCAAGTGATTGATCGGGATTCAGGTGTCAGAGGAGTCCCACTGAACCCCAAGTTAGTGGCAATTTCCGGGAGTGGGGCAGCTGATGGCTCGCGATGCAGGGGTGCAGGTACGGTTGTGTCACGGCTCAACGTAATAATGATCTGGTACAATACTAGTTGGGGGAAGTAATAGTCGGGTTAGCCTCAGGGCCAAAGAGGCCCTTCCCTTTACTCCGTAGTCGGACAAAGCGACTTCAGTTCAGTTGACTTATTAAGTCGACTTGCGCAACACTCACTCACAACACTAATATATGTGCACGCCGTTGAAAAAGAGTGGAGAGTTTTGGATGGCCAGCGCAGCGGACTAGAGAGCGCAGGTGGCATGGATTTCTTCAGGAGTTTGTGAGCTGTGCGAACATAACGTAAGGGCAGGGTGGCCCCCGGAGTGAACGCTCACGCCCGACTTTTGATGTTTCTGAAGGCAGACGAGATTCCAGAGGGGGCACCTGAGTGGTGTGTTGCCCTATTCGGTTAACGCAAGTCGACTTAACAAGTCTACTGAACTGAGTTGTCTCATTTGGGCAATTTTCTATTTTAGAAACCTCTATTAAGAAGTAGCTTATAAGACTTCTAACAATACATTTTATTCGCAATACGTTGGTTAGTAATTCCGTGACTTAAACCTAGAAATTCAAGCGCGTGGTTATCAAGTTATAATTATTACAAAACAGAGGAGCGGGTACGTCGCGATCCAAGCTTGGGTGTTTCTCGCTAAAAAATTCGCCATTGAATCCTACGGTTACACAAAGTTGCGGGACAACCCACTTTCCCGACTAAAAGGGAAGGTCCCTTGGTGCAACGTCAGGTTCGACTGTTACAGTACGCAGCGTAGATCTTTCCCTCGAAACGCGCAGAAATATGCGTGATCTAGGTGCAAAACGCAGCTACCTTTTGCTCCTCCCGACCTTTCGCAACGTCGATTTGATTTGCTTATGTTTTAATTGATATCAAACCGGAATGATTGGGGGAGGCGCTCATATGGCCACAGTCACGTGCCTAAAGTCATGTGATCGCGCAGGCAAAAGAAAAGAAAGGATGCCAGCGATTTCTAACTAAGCTGGCGTAACTGGAAATATTTTATATTGATCACTCTGCCAACTATGCCCTCTGCTTCCTTACTTAGAAGTACCTCGGCGTGAACTGCTTCTTTTTGATTCTCGCTCACTACATTCCCTTCAGCTCAATCCACCAACTAATTCCTGACAAGAATTGCGTCCCAGAACGTTGCATCCACCGAAGCTGCTGCTATTTAATTGACTATCTCCTTAGACAAACATCATTGCCCCTGTTCCCCAGTTTTTCGTCGGCATATCCTGCTCCATTCAGCGCAAGCAAGTCACCTACCACAACATAGAGTTCCGTGTACGTGGTCGGCCAGGGAAAAGTATTGGGTCGTGGGCCCGAAACGCTTTGTGATGGTGATGTCTCCCGTGGCTGTGAGTTCTAGTTTGATGACGCATCTTAGGTGGCCCGTAGAATACGTGGAACCAGCGCTCATGACGATGCATATGGGTGAAGCGGTACGCTCTCTTCGAGTATAGACGACTTTCTCAGCACACGACTCGGCCCGGGACTTGACATGTTGTTGCTGTGGATTTTCCGCATCGCTATTATCCTCCTCTAGATCCGGGGTATGTCTCCCTGAAGAAAGGCTGAAGCAAGAATCATGTTCTGAGTCATCGTGGTGGCCATGTCCCGCTTTCGTCTTCTCCTTCGGTAACTCATCCAATCTCTCTTTGAAACTTCTCTTCTCTACCATCCGAAGCGCGGTATATTCTGCTTCTTCGACATACCCCGGGTACTCGTCGCTATCACTTTGTGATACGTATATATACACGCTCGATCCTGAGCTGGGGCTTCGTTTTTGACACCCACAACGACATCGGTGGTGATGGTCCATATATCGCCTTTGGTGACAGTCTGAGGAATTATGGCCATGGTCTCTACTCCTTCGCTTCGTCCTTCCACATCTGTGTGTGCTCCACGCCCTCCTGCAACATTCTCCCACAACTGGAGGTCATGTACTGTACATTAGACTTTGTATGATTGTATTGATTATCTCCCTTCTGGTTAGTCGCGTCCTTCGTGGTATTGTCTTTTCCCTCTTCGGAAGGTGGCGACATCTCGTTTGAATGGAAGTATCCTTTCTTCGCAGCTCAAATTGAAGATGAATGGCAAAATTGGTGCATCTACCGCGGGATTTGAGCATCTTCTCGGAGTAGATGAGAGCCAAGATTGGTGGAGTGATAGGGCAGAAATATCTTGACACCATCTCTTGATTTGAGGGTTCTTAAGGAGCTCGCTCCGGTTCTCGATCACAGTTGGTGATCTGATAAAAGCCACCGATTTGTCAAGTTCTGCTGTGTAACCTGCACGAGTTCAGAGCTTCATGTCAAAATGAGTTGGTCAAGCAAGCCAAAATGCATGTTTCGGGATATCGAAAAGGAAGGCTTTCAGCCACACGAAGGTGGCGAAACGACTTTACCAAAGTCAGACCACTCCAAGCTGATTGACAGCAGTCGTTGCGACGGCTTGTGCGGTACTGTGGGGAAGTTAGTCGTGACTGAGACTTGGAATCATGATATCGCATCGACAGCTGAGAGCCGATGAAAGGGGCGAGGAATGATGAGAGGCTAAGGAAGTTTATGGACACGGTCCGGGGAATGTGAATTAAATTAAAGAATAGAATGAAAGGCATCATTTGAAGGATTTAATTTCCTTGAATGTGGGAGAAGAAAGGAAACCACGAGTTTGGGAAGAGAGGAACGACAAGGAGAATATCGTGTGCATGAGGAAGGTGTGCTTCCCTCGATCAGTACTCAAATATCCACCGGCGAGAGTGGTAACCGCGGAGTGATCGGCAATACAAGTGCCATTCTCAAGAGCGCTAAACGCCGACATGTATTGTCAAGAACGTTAAGAAGTGATCATCAATTCCAGACCGGGAATTATGGTGTAAGGAGTTGATAGGAAAGGATAGGAAATGTTTCCTGAAGGTAGGCACAATCAGGCGCCGATGCTAATTTGAGGGATACACTTGAATTGATTCAAACTGCATGCTGGACCTCAACGGTATAAAATGGAACAACACGTATATTCAATTTTTGTATGCAGAGACAGGAAAGAAATACCCAGAAGAAAGAAACGAGACCTTTAATTCGAAGAACAGAATGAAACTCACAAAAAATGCCCTACCCAACCCTCATCTCGAGACCAGCTCTTTCCCCTCTGCAAAGACCTAAACACTCAATCCAACCCAACAGATCCCTTTTCGCGCCCTGAAAATTAAGAAATCCCACCCACCCCATCAAATGCGATGTCTCACTCTAAAAACTGGCAATCCCACAGTCTCGATCCTCTCCGCCGTCATCTGACACCACCTCAACTCCAAACTCATATTCGCGCCCCTCATCTCATGCAACTCGATAAAAGTGCCCCAAGCAGAATCGAGCGGAAACAAACAAGACACTTTCCCCATGACCCTCCTCTCTCTCGTGAAAAAGTACTCTAAGCATTGACAAGCAATCCGGCTCCACTTGAAGCCCTCCCGGATCGCGCCTTTCAGGATAAGGAGAGCGGACTCGTCATGCGGATTCAAGTCAGCGGCGAGTTGTCGGACAAGGGAGAAGAGCTCGATGCGTACCCCGGCGTAGAGCGTGAATGCGGCTGCCACGGTATCGTCACGGAACTTGATGTACTCGGAATGAAGACCCTCCCAGGCTGCGGCTTCGGTGGTGTATATCGAGTCCGAGTATTTCTCAAAGAGGTCAGTTTTCCACTCATTCAGCTGTGCGACGATTCTGTTGAGCCTTCGTAGTTGGCGCCGATTCCAGTTTGGTGTTCTGTTTGGCGTTTTGTCGTAGAGCTCCATTTGGCCGGGGATCTGGACCGCGATATCGAGGAGGGTGTCTCGAGGGCGGTTGAAGGGGTCGGAGTCTCGCCAGGGGAAATTGATCCATTCTGGCCGGCTGAGGAATGACCCCCGTCTTTCGAGAAAGCTAAAGGGCACCTGGGCCGTTCGATAGCCGAAGAAGTTGACTCGAGAATCACGTGATGCGAGAGCGTTTGGTCCCGCATCTTCGATCAATGCCCCAACACCGTTCAAATGCAGAGCATAGCCAGACCATGACTTGTTGACTAGTAATTCTGACATTGAGCACGCCAATACAGTAGCTGATAACAGTGCGTTCTTCTTGACATCCCTATTAGCAATGTAATCGTCGAATCCCTCCCTCAGCTTACGCAACGCCATGGTTTGCGTTTGCATTGCGGCAATTGATAATCTCATATCGCTTTTCTCCATGCTGATGAGATTCAGAGATGAAGCTAGAAGTGCATCCTTCAGCATCTCGGCCCCCGGACACATGGCCTGAAATGATACTGTTGTAGACCATTCATAACAACATAACTCAACACGCGTGTACTCATCTCCAGAACGATCACGAGGAACTTTGGAGGTTGTGGTGCTGCGGGACAAGGGCGAACCTGCCCTTGAGGATACCGAAGGGTCACCGCTGGAGGACAGAGATGCGGACTCCGTGCCAGGTGCTGGGGTTGGTGAAGTTCGATAATGGTATGCGGCGATAAAAGCTCCGGTATATGCAGGCCCCAACTCGATCCTGAAAGGCAGGGCTAATGACCATCTTGAATCACTATTTTCTCTCTCGTGTCGTATCGAAATTTGGCGGCCTGGTCTCTCATAAGAGATTGACTGAGGGGTTGGAGAAGCGGGGTGTGACTTGTCTGTTGAGCTTCCTGAAAAGCTCTCCTCCTTGACGGATTGTGACTTGTCTGCTGAGCTTCCTGAAGAACCCTCATCCTTGACGGGTTGTGACTTGTCTGCTGAGCTGCCTGAAGAACTCCACTCCTTCACGGTATCCGTGCTTTCCGCTTGATTATCGGACAACTCGCGCTCCCTTTGCCGTCGACGGAAAGCTCGAACATTCTCTCTGATTTGCAGCCGTCGAGCAGCAGCGCGCTGTGCCTCGGTTCCAGGTAGTCGTGGGCGGCCTTGTGGCATTTTCAGGGGGCACACAACGGGGCAGAAAACACAGTAATGACATCGCGTGGCGCTGATAATATAAAGAAAAGGGAATGAATAATATTCGGAATGGAAAAGGAAAAAAAAGACAATACTTAGCCTTCTGGACCATGGAATCGACGAGACGTGCATGCTTGATCGTGGCTGAGATATCGTAGCAGTAGTGGTCCTCGGTGAAGTTGTGAGAATAATGACGGTGCTGTGGTGTTCGTCTGTGATGAGTGATCACGTCGGTCTCGGTCAATAATCTGCAGGCACTTTGACTGGACGAGAGCATGCCGAGCCGCCCCGGTCGCCGCAAGAGCTGTCCCGAAACATCCCACAGGGCTGGCTGGGACATTACCACGCAGGCTGGGGCTTGCAGCACGTCGCCGGAAGCGACGGTATCTGGTTAGACATGATTGGAACAGATATTGAGTCAGCCGTTGAGCCGAGGCACCTTCAAAGACTACTTTGGGATATCGGGCGTAAAAATAAGGTGACGTGCGCCTCTCAGAAATCCTGTGGTGGCAAAGCAGCTGCCATTGCATCCTTTGCTAGCTGCAGATGCGGCCGCAGCCGTTGCAGCATGATGCAAGTTTCAGACTCCCGCACTCCGGCAGTGATGCTGTATCGAAATACAGCCATTCCCCCCAAATTCTCGATGGCAACTTTAGTTCGTGTTAGGAACTCGGCATGGGGATTTCGAGTTGGGCACTAACGAGGTATGCGCACTCTGAATCGGGCTGATCTGCGGATCCACGAGAGCGGCCCTTGAGATCTCACACTATGAGTTTAATTAGTTCCCGGCCCATGTTGTCGTCAGATATCTTGCATAGATATACTGCGAGAATACACTTTACGATTCAGGGCCGGTGCAAACATTGCTATCGTCCTTCAATCAGTCTCGAGATTCTAGTCCTCCACCACGTCCCGGGAATTGCCGTGTCAAGCCTTCAATTCTTCCAGTCGTTGCTTGATGGAGTCATTCATCGGACAAAAGGCCAGAGCCTCAAATGTCACAGTCGCCTTGTCGAATCGACCAGAATTAGCCAGCGCAGAGCCTAAGCCGGCTTTAGTTGCTGCCTTGTCGTTCTCACACTATGTGTAGTGGAAAGTGCTGCGTATTACTCAAAGTGGTTCCAACAGTCCCCGGCTATTTCAATTGCGCACTTGGGCCACCCAACCTTCTAATCAGCAAGTGAATCTTTCCAGACCAATTTCGCCTGTGCTTTCTCGATCATCCTTTCCCCAAGATTGTCCTCCTGTGTTTGGATTGTTGGTATGTAAAACCCAAGCGTAAAGGCGAGTAGATCTCCACCACGCGCAGTGATACAATCTCCTAAGTACAATAACTCATCTGCTTGATCTATTGTTGCCGTTACTTGTTCGAGTATGTATCGTACATCCAGCGTGGAACGGCTCGCGGTAATAATTCCGTTTCCTGCTCGGGCGTTGCATTTCCATCGATACGAAGCTAAAGGATAGCACTCCACTAACGCAGCGATTGTTCTGTGTAATCGGAATCATTTTGCTGGGTATAGGTAATCTTAAGGACACATTTCTCAATATCCCGTCCCTTATCATATAAAATCGACGGGACATTGTGCTGGGAGTGAGAGAGAAAGTGAGGAACATCTGACTCGATTGTTATCAACGCGTTTTGTGTATGAAATATTGCAGGCTTTCTCCAGAGAGACTTTTGTTGACCGTGAATAGGCTCGTTGCGTATACAGGACGAAGCTCTAGCCAGTCTTCCTCACGCTCGTGGACCGTGACGAGGTTCAAGTCGAAGAGTAGATATTCGTAGATCCTGTGACGGATCTCGGGAGGGATACTATTGAAGGATGGCGCCATGCTCGTGGGAAATATTTGGTACAGTCAGAGACCAATGGAGACTGTGCGAGTAATAGACGTTATTGGGTGGTGATAGCTTGTAAAGGACGCTGGCCACACCTTGTAAAGAACGATCAAAGCTATGCAGTGGTGGGTGGTGGGCAAAGCAACATACGCAGATGCACTGCAAAACAGTCGAGGTGGATGCTTTAGGACCGTGAAAGCAGCGAAGGACGGTATGGAACGGTGGCATTGAAGAACGGCAGAGACTGTCGAGAGCAGCGCAGACGAGAAAGAGACTAATGGACAATCATTGTAGAAGCGCTGAGATACCGGACCCGAAGAACCGATGACCTTCCTCAAGAACACCAAAATCCGGGCTGTGCGATAGACGCTGCTCGCGGGGCGGGTCTTCAAGAAAGTGATGTGGTTGTCGTGAAGAGATGGAAGAGGTTGAAGAAACGCGACAGGGAAGGAAGACGCGCCCTGCGAGGCGAATTTCCGACTGTGCACGTGACCGTGTCTTTTCCTCCCTTTCACGACCTTTAAAACGAATTGCAAAACGCGACCCACAACTCCAAAAGATGAAGACACAAAAACAGACGATTCAAGATACTAAAGAAATCCTTTCGGACAAAGAAGCTCAGCCTTCGTTTGGTTTACTTGTGGCAGAGCATATCTCCTCACACGCTACCCAAGTTACTACCTCGGTAGAAGTTAGGGCCGGTCACGTATCACCTACTTTTGAATCAAGCGTATGCTCAGAAACTTACTTGCGTAAGCTTACGACTAATGATCTCTGATTGAAGGGAAATAGCTTGTTTGGATATGTAAGACCCACAGGAACGCAAGGCAGTGGACGCGATGTGCACGAGCCCCACAACCAGTCCCGCTCAACAACCTCTTGCTGCTCAGCTGGCCGAAGATCCAAGGTTGCAAGAATATTGGTTTAGAACGGAAGTATGTGATGCCATGGAAAAGGAAAAGGCAAAAGTTAACAATAGGAGCTATGTTACAATGGAGCTAAAGTAGCGGATTAATTGGCCAATGAACGTTCAAAATTTCCTTTCTGAGGAGGCGCGACATGTGACCCTCACCAAGGCAGGACTCAAATTCACATTCACTTACGGCTTTCACAAATAAGGAGGTTGGTTTTTTGCTGATCAATCACAGTGCTCATTGATCAAGGAGGTGGTTGGATTGTTCGAAAACGGAAGCCAAATATTCGAAGTTTTAAGGTACGCTAAATTGTCTCTATCGCTGCTTCTTACTCCCCTTGCCACTCCCACCCTTCCCCTTATTCTGTGCTGCCTTCCCAGCTGCAGTCCCCGCCGACCCACCGGCCATCATAACCCTCACTTTGCTAACCGGCACCGTATTCGTGACCTCCTCTGCCTTCCACCCTCTCAGCAACTCCACTTCCCTAGGCCACATCCTCTCCGAATCCGTTGACGTCTCATCCACCTTTCCCTTTGCCCCGGTATCAGTAACCCACCTCCCCAAAATTTCTTTAACCGCCTTCCCTTTCTTCTGTGCTCCTGGTTGTAGTTTCGCCTTATATTTAAACTTCGCCATCGCAGCCCAAGGTGCGCAAACAGGAATCGCCTCAAGAATCTCGTCTCCCTTCAACGGCATGCCGACCAAGGCCTCAAAACTAGTCATCTTCTCCTCCTCTCCCTCCTCTAAAATATCTTGTCCCTCCTCTAACATCAATCTACGGATCTCCTCAAGCTCAGCAGTCTCCTCCTGCGTTCGTTGATGTTGGGCGCGCCGACGCTCTTTCTGAAATGCAAGTTCTGCTTCTCGTGCAGCTTTTGCTTCGGCTTCGGCTCTGGCTTTTTCGAGCCCGGCGGCAGCGCCAATTAGTTGTTGGGCTGCAAGACGGTCTTCTTCATCTTGGTCTTTGTATTTAGTGGCAATTTTCTTGGCTTTGCCTTTCCTGCCTCGTTTGGCTGGCGCGGGACCTTTTCTAGGCACGCCTTGCTCGCTGGGTGTTTGGATGCCCGATGATCTTGGTATCTCATCATCGGATTCAGGTTCGCTCTCGTTTTCTTGGGCTTTTGGTTCTGGTTGCAGCACGGGAGCGCCTTCTACTTGGAGCTGGATAATCTGCTCCGTCGAGAGCTCTTCTTCGCGGTCCGAATTAACTGATTCCACCTGCGGCTCCGTTTGAAGTGGGTTTGCAGAGGCTTCCTCCTCCTCGGCATCAGACTCGTCGTTGTCATCAGGCATGCTGCGTTGATCCTCATCCAGCTCAGGAGCCTCCCGCTCCTCACTTGCGACTGATTGAGGGGTAGATTGTCCAACGGAGGGGCCAACTGCTGAGCCGTCATCCTGAATTCTATGCTTGACATGTCTAACCTTGCTTTCCTCGCTGATCTGGAACACAACACCAAATCCTAGCAGCAAAACAGCAGGTGGCAAGAAATTTTTCTTTCCTCGAACCATGAAGCTACCAGTCGGCAAAAATTCTCCTGTCGGTGCAGATTTTGATACTTGGTCAGCGTTTACCCACCAAGCAGACATTCCAGCTTTCGAGTCCCAGGCGCTTGAACAAGTTACAGCGAGAGACCCTGCCTGTGATAATGTCGAAGGAGGAATCGGGGAATCTGGCGACTTTGGCTTATTTCGGATGATTACGCTGGCAGCCCCGTGTATATCGGCGTGAACATAAACGTCTCCTTTCTTCAAATATTTTTTGTAGAGCATCTCATTCTGCTGGGCATCTTTGCCAGCCAAGACCAGGTAGCCGTCAGACGAAATGAACCAAGAAAATTTCTCGAACCACATCTGTTTGCGGACGGGTCGTAGAACTGCCTTCTCTTGCTTTAGTCCTTTCTTGAGATCATGAGCAATTTTGGCTTCTTGGCTCTTCAAGGCTTTTGTTGATGACTGTAGAGTCTTGTGTTCCTTGTCTGCAGCAGAACGTTTTTGGTTATAGTACTCGCCTGCGTTGGCCCAAGGAGATATGCCAAGATTGATGTCTATCGTCAATCTCTTGTCCGGTGTCTTTTGCTTTGATTCTTTCTTGGACCCTTCGTCTTCACTATCCCCAACATCACTGTCGGTCTCGTAGTCCGAGTCATCGTCGTCCCCAAATTCTTCTTCGTCCAGTAAAAGGGTTATTGTGTTCTCCTCAAGCTTGAGAGGTAATTTAATAATGGAGGCAACCGGGTTATTTCGTCTCTGCTCCATCTCGACGAGCTTTCCAATCTCAACCCAATCCATAGCCTGCGCGATTAGCCCATTCACAGCATCCATGGCTTCCTGGACTCTTTCTACATTGGCCTCTAAAGCTGCAGCCTTTCGTTCATTCATTGTTTGGACTTCCTGCAATCCACCAAGCCGTTTGGCTTGATCTTGTCGCGCAGCTTCGATTTTCCGCTTTGCTGTGAGCTCCCGTTCCTGGAGACGTGACTCCAACTTTTGGCCTTCAATCGAAGAGAAGAATTCATCAACTGTCTTGTTGAATCCATTGAATTCCAAAAACACTGAGTCGGGATCGCTCTCGAACTGGCGGGGTTGGAAAGGGTGAAAATCATCGTAAACCAGGAATTTTCGAGAGTCCCCAGTCTTCAAAACCTCGTCGTAGCCATCTCTTTTCTTCGCAACAATGTATCCTTTCGCCACCTCGGAGCTTGTAATTTCCTGGATAACCCTTTGAGCCTCTTGTAACGATCGCATTAGGTGGTCTAACAGAGCGTCATTCTGTAAGACGTCGGCCGGTTTCAGTGAAGAATCGAAATTTATAACCTGCATCGAGTGGTCGACCAACATTGGTGGAAACTCCGTGATGGAAACCGCCAGGGCTTTCCTCAATGCATCGGCAGCCTTCTTCTTGGGTTTTTTCCCAGCAACCAGGCCATCCTCGCCTCTATCCACCGCCTTCTGCAGCGCATTCTGTAAACGCTCCTTCGTCAAAGGTGGTATGCCTCCATAGTTTTGTCTGTTCTCCAACGAGTATATCAGGCCAACCCGTTGCTCCTCTTCCCCCTTTTCTTCCGTGACAATCCGCAGCAACGCTAAAATCTTCAAACCTTTATCTGTCAAGATTATATTCCCGGCCGCATAGAACTCCAAAAATAGTCTGTATTGCCCATCACTAAATTGAAATTCGATGATCCGGTCTGTGCCAACCTGCGAGACTGAGGTGACTCGTCGTGTCTTGAGACATTTCCGCAGCCTTGCGACGAAGACTGACGGTGCAGCGGCGGTCGCTCGAGAGAATTGTGTGAGGTGACATCGAAATCCAGAGTCAATGACTATCTGCTGTTTGTTTTCAGGCCTCGCGAACTTGATGAGGAAGATTTTCGATGAAAGGTCGTAGATGTTCGAGACTCGAAGAGTCACGAGCGCATTCGACAGCTCGTGGGCGATGACCTGGCGCCTGTTAATTGCCAACTAAAGATTTATAGGGAAGAGGAAGCTTACCCTAACGTCGAGAGAGGAGAATCTTTGCTTCATGTTGTGTTGTTGAAGCACAAAGTTCTTTCAAGGTGGGATGTAGTGGGGCAAGCAGGGATGATGTCTTCGCAACATTTTCGGGTGCATGATTTTCTGAGTCAACCTCTCTTCTCCTCATCAACCTCACTCTAAAACACAGTGCATCGTTATCCTACAGCACGGAACCGATTTACTCGCAACTGACGTCTGGATGCAGCTGGCATTGTATTGGAGATAATTCTTTCCACCACTCAGGACTTTTGGGCGTGATCGAACTCCCCGCAGCAGACCTACACATCCTTTCTCCCAGCATCCACCCTCGAAAGCCATGTACCAAGTGTCAAAGATCCTGGTGATCTAGAAGCCATTTCTTCCGTATCTTTCAGCAGGCTGTAGAGAAGCCAAGAAACGCGGGGAGGACGTGCTCTTCCCGTCCCCATTACTGCCCCACTTGATCTTGAAGGGGCTCTCCTTTCAGCTTGCCATCAACGCTGCCGCTCTTCATCACGTTTCCAATCAGCCTATTATGTTCTGATCAGCGCATCTCCGTGGCTTGCTCTGAGGCTAACGACCCCGCAACATCCTGGCAGTGGCTCTCAAGCCTCTGGTTTCATTGGACCACTCCTCAGGGCTGAGGTGCCGAGCTATCCAACTTCTCCAAGTGGCATTTGTGGGAAAGCTCAGCTAGAGTTGAAGCAGTTTGCTCTAGTTGCCAGAAGTGCTGCTGATTGATGCTGTTCCGCGCGTTCCTCCTTCCTAGTGGAACCACCGAAGTACTTCAGCTCAGCTGACAGGGAAAACTAGGTGGGTTCCAATTTCCAAGAAGCTATATATATGCAAGCTCTCTTCCCTCCCTCTCTTCGCTCACATACCTGCTTCCATCAAACTCAAGTAGCATCTCAATCTCAGATTACCTGCTCTACAATCAACATGTCTTCTCCCAAGCACTTCAACACCGAGGCAGGCTCTCCACCTTACAGGAACCTCTTCCACAACGTAACCGTCGTCCCTCCCAACACATCGCTCGCCTATATTTCTACCCAATGGGCAGCGGACCCCACCACTGGTGAGCTCGCTGCAGGCTGTGAGGGAGACATCGGCAAGCAATCTAAGATCATCTGGACCAACATCGTGGCCATTCTCCAAGAACTCGGCGTCACAATGAAGGACGTTGTTCACAGGACTGTCAATTTCATGTGAGTTGGGAAATGGGAAGCATGCGTATCATACTAACACTCTATATAGAGAGTTCGATGATGAGAAAGGGAAGGCAGTGGTGGAGGCCTCTATGGAGGCGATGCCTGATGCGTGGAAGGCGGACGCTCTTTCCAGTTCGTTGAGGTTCAATGGTGTTAGCCATTTCCATCGCCCTGGGATTGTGTATGCAGTGGACCTTGTGGTTGCTGTGCCCAATTCCAAGTGAAGTTGCGCGCTGGATTCATGTCACGCCATTAGTGCTTTTGAGGAATCGAGAGTATTGTCCGATATTTTCGTGGGCTAAATTGTCCGTGAACACAAACATTATACGGTCCTACATATATGATTCAATATCCCATTATTTCCCAGTTCAACGATTTATTTTTCTTGCCTCGGAGTGATCTCAATGCGGACCGCAAAGTTGTTGGCGCGTGGATCGAGTTGCCAAAACTGGTCATTGATTTTTCCACTCTAATCGACCATTTGATTGTGGTTAGCAACGTCAAGGGCCGTCAACCCCTTCAAAATCCACAGTTTCCCAAGAAATCAAAATGCAACTCCGCAACCTCCACCACCGAATCCGGTCTCCCCGTCTCAAAATCCCCACCCTTCACCTCCTCAACCCTCGCCTCCGGTTTCTGGCCCAAAAGTCAGCTCTCATCCTTCTCCTCACTCCCTATCTATTAACTTACAATCTCCCTCACATTTTCCACATAGGGCCAAAGCACATCATCCCTCGCACACATCGCCATCGTCTCACACCGCACCCTCCCAAAGAATCCCCACATATCCTGCTCAAACACACAGCTATAAATCTGAGTCCTCCCTTTCCACGCCCGGGTATGATCAATGACCTCACCCTGCTTGAATTCCAGATCATCTCAGACGCCATGGCTCGCTAAATAGTCCCATGTTTTCTGGAGGTGGGCGCCGGAAGCGATGGGCTCGTTCAATGGGATGTTGATTAGTGTGTTGAGGGCGATTTGCTCGGAACGGGTCATGATGGCGGTTCCGACTAGGCAGAGAGTTAGGACGGTGGTGGGGTAGAGGGCTGCAAGCTCGGTGGCCAGGCTGGCGCCGGAATGGTGGCCTAGGAGGTGGAACTTGGTGAGGTTGAGGGAGTTGAAGAGCTGCATGAAGACATCTACGTAGTAGGCTGTATTTGGGGGTTGAGTTTCTGGGTCGTATGAGCTGCCGAATCTAGATTGAGGTTAGGAGCAATGGGAAAAGGTGACGGAAGGAAGGACCCAGGCATATCTGGTGCAAAACAATCGTGACCTCGAGCAGCGTGGAGCTTCATTATGGTTTCAAAGTGTCTAGAACTATTGGCGGACATGTGGAGGAAAACGCATGGTGCCTTTTTTGGTGACTGGGTTGTGAGGAGGAACCGGTAGTGCAGTTGGCCGTCTGGCGCATTGAAGTAGGCTTTCTTTATGGAAGACATGACTGGGTAAAAAATGTTGAGGTGAGTGAGCTTATTTTGCCCTTTATATTTCCTGGCTTTACATTTCATGTTCTTTGGTTTGGAATGCGGTCCTTATCTTGTGCTCAACTTGTGTGGGGCAACAATAGTTCTGTCCAACCTCCTCGCCATATATTATCACCATAACTTCCTTCCCGGATCTAAATCAACCTCTCCTGCTCATCCAAACCGCTAGTGAGCAGACCCATTTATAATAAGATCTTCAAAAGAAGAAGTCGATCCAAACTTTTCTCATGATCTGCATACAAACGCCGGCAAATTCAAGTCAGGGGCGGAAGGGCAACTAGTTGCCGAAAACACCATCACCCCACTCCTGTACCTTTTCACTATCTTATCTCAGATGAGGGGCACAATTGCAGTCCAGTCTCAACAAGATGTAGGGAATTAGTTTGAATGATGGCTTTGCCCATCATATGCGTGTGATGATTGGTCCGCGCTCTGGGTACAATCCGCCAAAATTGGACATGCGGATAGACATCCGAAGTGGATGACTTGCAGTCTTTTCCCTTTTCTTAAGCAAACAATCTATGAGATATACAACATCAAATCCTTTCTCAAAGTGAAATAAGATTGTTATGTACACAGTTATGGAATCGATAGTAGATAACCTCGATGTTGGGCACGTCCTTGTATCGAAGGGCTTTCTATCGCCGTCCGCTGCCATCGCATTAGTTGCTGGCATTCTTATTTACATACTCTATGTAAGGTCTCAAATTCCCATCTTGAAGCAAAACTCACAAGACATAAGAAACAAGCAACCCAAACCGACCACCCCTCTGTCCCCCACCTCCCCAGCGCCCCCAACCCCATCCCCTTCATCGGTAACCTCCTCCCCCTCGGCGGCCGCACCCACCGTAACGACAGCACCGTCTATTCCTCCTGGTCCCGCGACCTCAACACCGACCTCTTTCAACTGCGTCTCGGAAACCAACGAACCATCGTCGCCTCCAGCTTCTCCACAATCAAAGACCTCTGGATCGGGCACTCAAACTCCCTCATCGACCGCCCCTTTCAACATGGCTTCGCCGACAAACTCCAGCTTGATATCTCTGGTGCCGCGATGACGGAAGAGATTAGGAGGTGTAGGAAGGCGGCGATGAGAGCGTTGGGGAAGCCGAGCTGGGCGGGGTATTATCCATTGCTTGAGCCGAGCAGTGTGGATTTGGTCGGGAATGTGTTTAGGAAGGGTGAGAATGGGGGAAGGGAGTTGGAGATCTACCCGTATTTGAGGCAGGTGATATTTGATTTAGCGTTGTCGTTAACATATGGAGCAAGGCAGAAGGATGCGGATGATCAGTTTGTGTTGACGTTGATTAAGAATATCAATATTATTTCGTGAGTATCCTCCATGTTCAGTTTGTATGTGGGAAAAAATTGCTGATAGGTAACAGGAAAGTCCGGTCCTCGACGCAGAGGTTCAGGGATTACGTCCCGATTTTGAGATTCCTCATCCCTGATGTAGTCAGTGGGAACGTGGTTGTGACAGCTGAGAAAATTCGGCAACAACACTTGGATGTCCTCTACGCTTCACTGAAGAAGAGAATAGCAGAAGGAGAAGAAGTGAACTGCGTCATCACCGGACTGGTGAAGGACAAGCTTTCAGAAGAGGAACAACACGGTACATGCAAAGCACTTCTCCAAGCAGCCCCTGACTCGACAGCTTCTTCCGTATACATTGGGGTCGCATGGCTTTGCAGTCCTGCTGGAAAGGAGTACCAAGAAGATCTATACCATGCTATTCTCGAGGCATATGACGGAAATAGAGGCAAAGCATGGGAGATGGCGTTCAGGGAAGAAAAAGTCCCTCTTATTGTCTCATTCTACAAGGAAACGCTTAGATTCTGGACTGCAACACCATTCGCAACACCACGTACCACTGTCAACGATATCCAATACAGAGGCACCACTATCCCGAAAGGAATAACAATGATAATGAATGCCCAAGAAGCAAATCACGACAAGAGCTGGTACGGAGATGATGCGGAGACTTTCAACCCGAAACGATTCATTGGCAATGACACATCACTGCCACATCTTACTTTTGGCGCTGGGAGTCGTATCTGTCCAGCAGCTGCATTGAGCAATCGAATTATCTAGTAAGTTCTGCCCAACTGAAAGCGTGAAATGGAGAATGGTTGACGTTTATAAGTGCACTCATCTTGAGGCTTATCCTTGCGTTCGAAATGGAAGAGGCCACTGAACCTGGTGCTAGGAAACCGAATGTTGATATGTTGGGCTTCTCCGATGTCCATAATAGCCTTGTGGCTCGACCGAGAAAGTTTGACTGCCATTACACAGCACGCGACGCCGAATGGCTTGAGAGTATCATGAGCAAGTGAAAGATAGAGATTGGTCGAGAGTATCGAAAATAGGGCAGTGGTAAATGTAAACTCAGTTTTGTTATGAATGCAGATGATGAAGCAAGAAGGATTGGCAGGAGTAACGTTTTGGCTCGGAGAAGAAAGGAGCGAACAAACAGTTGAAAGAGCGAAAAGAGAATTTAGAAGATGAGCTAGCAATGTAAAACAACTGCAACAAATCCCAAGTTCAAGATTCGATTTCAATTTCATGGCCAACCTCAATATACCAGAACTTTTGGAACAACGGTTAATGTACAGCAACAACCTTACCAACTTCAGATCAGTTTTTGCTAATCTAATGATGTTGAGCATAGAAGTTTTGTGCTGGTATCGTTATTTAACCATCGATTTTGTTCTGGTTCGGAGGTCGACGAAGAGAACATGGGTGAATGAACGAGGTGGAGGTGAGATGGTTTTGCCGGCACGCACAACTTCGCGCCTTGAGAAATCTCTCCAAGACAACATCAACATCACAATGACGACTCTTGTCCGCATCCTCCACCACAATCAAAGCCCATGATATGTGTTGTAATGTAATTAAAATGATGACCTATATCCTGTCGGCGATAGCCGTGCGTGCCCAAGGCTGTTTAATGGGTTCTACGACTCCCAAGCGGCAGAGACGCGGACGACTGAACGCGACTTGGACAAGCCCACTGTACCAATCGCAATAGCTGTACAGGTCTGAATACACATCAAACGTGCAGAAGAATCTCCGCATGCAAGGTCGGCATAAAATACGTTGGACGAAAGCAAAGGTCCGTTCTGTTGCTTTTTGATATTTCTGTACGGACCAGATACTGACGCTTTTGTTTCTTCCAGTAGAAGATATCAACTTCCATAGCCGCAGAGAGATCAACATCAACTGCAAGTTGTCGTGGCCATAATACAAAAAAATTTCCGGCATTAGCAACCCCGCGTCGTTTCCAGCGAGTCCAAGTATGTCCAAGTTGATTGCGAGTGAGGGCAGGCAGAGGTATTCGGAGGCAGTTCACCAAACATATTTGTGAGCTGATAGTGTATCACTCCGCTCCTCAAGGGTGAGGACGGGGGAACCGTGGGCAGCCGGACTTACGTTTGGATATACATCCATTTCGAGTTGTTCATGGTTTCTCGCTTGCCGTTTCAAGAAGTCACACCTCTTGTTTGCCGAACATACAATTTTCGTACTGCCGCATACTACGGGGATGGCATAATCATATACTTACCTTTGTCGAGATCTTTCTTGCGAGGCTGGCTGCATCTCAGCAAGCTTCGGAGTGCTTATTCAAACGTCGGAGTTGAATCAAGATTTGCCGGAAGGACATCCGATTCCTGGCCTTGGCATCGATTTTGATCTAGATATCCCACCCTTTCCACCATCGCTCCACGGTTCCGCCGCAATGGTCAAAGTTATCCGACCCTGCCGATCTCTGCATGGAGATCCGTCCCGTCTGGAGCTAGACCCCACTTCTGCGATTACGTGCTATTCTCGCGTTATCAACAAAGTCATTTTTATTTCTATGTATAGATTTTTTGTCTCTTTGAACATTTCCCTTTTCATTCTTTGCCTTCTTCACTCTCTCTTATTCTGATATTCGTGTAATTGTTATCCTTTCCACCTGCAGCCATGAGTTCATTAACTCCCGCTCCTCGCGGAGGCTCCTCCGCCCTCTTCACCCCTCTCACCATAGCAAACGGCAAAACAACACTCAACCACCGCATAATAATGGCCCCCATGACACGCAACCGCGGCATCCCCCTCCCCCCATCAGACCCCTCAACACCGACGCGAATCTGGATCCCCGACTCCCTAATAGCAACTTACTACTCCCAACGCACCACCCCCGGCGGTCTCCAAATAACCGAAAGCGCCCTCGTCTCTCCCTCCGCGGGTGCCATGCCCGGCGTCCCCGGTCTCTGGCTCCCAGAACAAATTGAAGGCTGGAAATTGGTGACTTCCGCCGTTCACAAAAAAGGAGGAACAATCTACGCACAGCTCTGCCACCACGGCCGTGTCGCCCTGCCGCAATTCACGGGCCTGCCTGCCGTCTCTGCTTCCGCTACCCCTTGGTCCACCGATGAGAAATATCCGTATCCGCCACCGGGCGAGAGTTCGCGTGTTATGTTGAAAGAGATCCCGCCGCTTGAACTTTCCGAAGAGGGACTAAAGAACACGATTGCGGATTTCCTTACGGCGGCGAAGAATGCAATGGAAGCGGGCTTCGATGGCGTGGAACTGCATGCGGGAAATGGATACCTCCTCGAACAATTCTTAGCTTCCGGTGTGAATAAAAGGACGGATAAGTACGGCGGAAGTGCAGAAAATAGATGTAGATTTGTGGTTGAAGTTGTAGAGGAGGTGGGGAAGGCGATTGGGATTGAGAATGTGGCTGTTAGGATGAGTCCGTGGGGTGTGTATAATGATATCCAAGACGATGATCGGTTTGAGACGTGGGGTACGTTGTGTAGGGCGCTTGGGAAGCTGGGGGGGTTGAGTTATGTGCATTTTGTGGAGGCGAGAGAAGACGAAAAGCCGCTTTGGGAGAAGAGTTGGGGAGAAGGGAGGGAACTTGGGTTTGAGTGGGCGAGGGAAGGGCTGGGGAGTGTTCCGGTTTTTAGTGCTGGGGTTTGGGACGCGGACAGTGTGTGGGGAGCGGTGGAGACTGGGAAAGTGGATGCGTGTGTGTTCGCTAGGTGGTTTGTTAGCAATCTGGATTTGGTTGAGAGGTAAGTCATTCTTTGGATTTGTTGGAAGGAGACTGACATGACACTTTAGATTGAAACTTGGAAAGGAACTTACAATGTATAATCGAGCGAAATTTTATGGTCCTACAAGTAAGAGGGAGGTGGGATACACGGATTACCTTACGTGGGGAGAGAGTGCGGGGAAGTAGAATAAGTTACTTAGCTTCCCAAAAGACTCAATCTGATAGCGAACTCGAGAACCAACTTTGCCATACATTCAACAATCTTTTGTAGACTTTCAATAATCGAATCAATGCTCAGGACTGCCTGCCATGCCATATGCCCCAGCTAGCCTCCTTGTGCCGTCCTCGCCCGTTACCCTTGCTCGGGAAGACTGAGGAGGCGGCTGAGCTTGAGTGGACGTATAGGCGCGTGTGAAAGCAAGATGCTATTCTGGCACAGAATATCTGAATGGAAGGAATACCGGGGAAGCGCGACGGATGCGTATGGTGGCTCGGTGGCGCCTAAGTTCGGACGGGTACCAAACTAGCAATTGTGTTCGGAATCGGATCATAGGAGGGGGAGTTTGAACTATCATATGGTTGTTGTGTGGTGGACAGAGCGGAGCCAATCCAGGAGCGCAATGTATATGCAGAGAGGGACTGTGTATTCACCACTCCGGGATGCGCACTGCTGTTGCATATCCGAGGGTCCACTGGCTTATGGGATTCTGGGTTGATCTATCGAGGAGATCGCATGGTCGATATCGGATGAAATTCGAGAGAGTAGATTTTCGACAGGTTGTCCTGATCCAAGCTGCTAGACGGCAATTGCAGAAGTCAGGACATCCGTGAGCTTACTCGTCACTGTGAGGCTTCAAGTCGATTGCGGCCCTCTCACTCGCTGCGTGACGTGGCTTTGTTGCAGATCGAGAGAGTTGTCTGGATGGTTCTCGTCTGGACTAGGCCTTTGATGACACGAAAACTCGTGATGTCGAATGGAGACTCGCCGCTAGCGGCCGAATCGCCCTGGTCGCGGAAGCTATCCGCTGCTGGGAGAGCTGTTGCCATGGGAGACGGCCAATCTTTGCAGCTGACGCTGGACCTCGGTGATGTCTCCGTCGGTGGAACATGAAATTGAACATCTGATATCACCTTCAAGACAGTTGAATCTCCCAAGGACGTCAACTCTGAGACTGGGATTTATCTTCGTTATGGTTGTCTGTAGACTTCGAGCCCGGCATAAATGCATGTGAAGAGGCGGCACACAGTTGCGCATTGCCCAATGACTTTATTCCACGACAAGATTTATGCAGGACTTACATGGCACATCACCTGCCGGGATGAGACCAGCTGAGCCCAGCCCCGTCGCAATCAATTCGATGCTGAGACTCTGAGAGCTCCCCTCACACCTGTTGCTATGATGATCTCGGGTTGCATTGCAGGATTGCGAGCTGCAGCTGGAGCTCTGCCCGCCTGAATCGGGAGCTCTCGATTCGACGCGCCCCCCCGCAGAACACCAATTGCCAGCCCCTTCGTCGGGCAAATTTGTGATTGAACACACAATGAACAAGCATCATGCAATAGTGATCCCTGATTCGTCCTGAGTGAGGGGGTTTGCTTTGGGCTGCACAGGCCGGCGCTCATCTCGAAGTGAGACATCCTCGCCAACGACGCTAAGCCCACTAGCGCTGTAAACAAACGAGTCAACAAGGCTTGGGCGAATATATTGGGCCCTGCTTCGAAAGCCTTCTCCCTTCTTTTCCATTCCTCCACACAATTTCAAAACTTCTTCAACCACATACCTCCACCCCCAGTCCAGCCTTGCATCTGCATCGCAACACACCTCTCACCACCCTCTCTCTTCCTTCTTCTCCCCCAGGAAAGACGAGTCAAGAAGCGTTCGCGCTCTCTTCCTCACCTTCTTTCACCCCAAAGAAGCAAGAGACCCCTTCTTGTCTTCCTTTCGGCACGTCGAAAGGCATTCGAGAAGAAGGCCTCCTGCACTGAGAAGTCGTCAACCTGGACTTTGACGCGCGAGTTCCGATCCCGTTCAGCATCTTCCCGTCGTCGTACCGGAGCGACGCCGCCGAAACAACCACCCAGACTCACGTCGAGGGAGAGATCAACCTACCACAAGCACAGCAGCGCGTCGGACGGGAGGATAAATACTCCTCTTTCTCTGCCACTCTTCCTTCTCAACGCGACCAATTCCGCCAGGAAGAAGTTCATATCCAACGCGAAGAGGATCGTCACCACCGTCCGAGCCGCACAGAAGACGTCTACATCCGTGAAGAGCGCAGGTCAGTACAGCATTCGCAGCATAGCAATTCCTTCCTCAGGTTTCAAATTAAACTATTGGCACGGTTACATGACGCGTCCAAGCGCCAATCGTTCTGATCCGACTTTGCAACGCTTTCCTTCTTTCGTTTGTTGACACAGTAACGCACACCGACTATTATTTTCTTCCATCATCTAACTTCTCTTCTCTATAGGCCCGACTACAAGCACACCTCAGCACACATCGACGTCGAGCTCCCACACCACCGAAGACACTACGACTCTGACATCCGTATCGAAGTTCCTCATCACCGTCGTCGCCACTACGAGACTGAGATTGACGTGACCGAGCGTGAATACCGATCTCGCTTCCAGCCAACCTATCGTGAGGAGACTCGAGTCGAAACTACTGTCGACCCTCGCTCCGAATACCCAAGCCGTTCTCAATACTCCTCTCAGGAAGAGACTAGAGTCGAGACTACCGTCGACCCTCCTCGCTTTGAACTCCCAAGACACTCCCAATACTCTTCTCAGGAAGAGACTCGCGTAGAAACAACAGTCGACGCTCCTCGCTTCAAGCAAGACAAGATGGGTTACTACGATGAAGATGGTAAGTCAATCTCGTGAATTAATCCGCAGCACACTCCTAAACCTACTTCAGGTCACTACCACTCATTCCGCCATGGTCTCCACCAAGCGGCTGATCGTGTCTTTGGACGCCCTCATCATCATCACCACCATCATGATAGGGAAGAGATTGACATTACCATAGGTGGACGGCCTGAGTCTGCTACTAAGCACACTTTTGTCGAATCACCCGCTCCCCCCAATACTGTCACTATCCCATGCCACCACATCCGCGTCGGCGATCTCTTGATCCTCCAAGGTCGTCCTTGCCAAGTCATTCGCATCACAACCTCAGCTGCTACCGGCCAACACCGATACTTGGGAGTTGATCTCTTCACCAAGCAATTGCACGAAGAGTCTTCGTTCATCTCCAACCCAAGCCCAAGTGTTGTCGTCCAGACCATGCTGGGTCCTGTCTTCAAGCAATATCGTGTCCTCGACCTCCAGGATGGCACTGGTAAGTCAACCTGACCTCGTCCCAATCAATCCCCTGCTTACCATTTCCTTAGTTGTTGCTATGACCGAGACTGGTGATGTCAAGCAAGCCATTCCCGTCATCGATCAGTCTAAGCTCTGGTCCCGTCTCTCCGAAGCCTTCGAGAGTGGTCGTGGTAGTGTTCGTGTCCTCGTCCTCAGTGACCATGGACGTGAGCTCGCCGTCGAGATGAAAGTCCTCCATGGCTCTCGCCTGTAAATTTTCCTCCGTCCTTGTCTTTACATAGCGTGGAGTCTCATCTACTACCAAGTGGTGATTTGGCAAGGGAACATACTTCAGATGGATCGCAACGGAATGGAAATCAAATTGTTTATGGGTGGAAATGGAGTTGCATAATGAGTGCTTGGATGCTGGATCTTTGGGGGTGCATTTGATGAATCGAGATCTACTTCTTGGCTGGCGGATCCTGCTTTCCTTGGGAGGCGGTCGATTAGCTGGCTTTGAGGAGGAGAGAAAGGTTCTTCCGATGTTTCTCAGATATGAAGGCTTTTTGTATGTGTAGATAAGAACGATAGATTCAGAATGGAAATGAATGAATACCAAGGCCAATACCATTTGCTTCCAAGTTGTTTGACTTGTATTATTAATGTGCTGTGTTGTGTTTTACGGCTGCTTCGTCGTCCACCTCAGATGGCGAGCTTGTGCCGAATGGGAAGGTCTCACCCCTGACCAGATCCCCCACTTTACGATAAGATCCCCCAAGGTCCCCCCCAAGGCCCTTCACCCCCTCATCTTCCGCGCTTCTCCATCTTGATCTTCTACACGAACACCATCTTCCATCTCCTCATCAATCAACTAAATCTGCTAGCATGGGAGGAACACAATCCAAAGAACCTATCGCTGGCGAGAAGCTGTTGATTGAGCGTCTTCGAGCTCTCGAGGTCAAAGACGATAACGAATACGTCCACGTTGATGAAAAGGCGGTTGTTGGAACAACGAAGAAATTCAAAGCACCATGGGCTGCAGTGTCTGTCAGTGATATCGAGCATTGGGAACATGAGCTCTTCCAAGATCCAAAGAACAGGTACCCATCCCTCCTTCCTACTTCTCCGCATCCCTCTAATCTCAACAGACTTGCACTCTCTGCATTGAGCTCCGCGGACCCCAAGACAGTCCTCACCTCTCGCTCTACGCAAATCGATGATCAGCAAGTATTCAACGTCAAGATTCCCTTCGAAGGAGCTCCCATAACGAACCAACGATCATCAGGACGATGCTGGCTTTTTGCATCAACCAACGTCTTCCGCGTTGCGTTGATGAAGCGACACTCTCTCGATAAATTCGAACTATCACAGGCATACCTCTTCTTCTACGATAAATTAGAGAAGGCCAACTTCTTCCTTGAGCAGATCCTCGATACCGTGAATGAGCCCCTCGATACTCGACTTGTGCAGACGCTGTTGGGATCACCTGTATCGGATGGCGGACAATGGGATATGGTTTATAATTTGGTCAACAAATACGGTCTTGTGCCGCAGGTCCTGTACCCTGATAGCTTTAACGCTCAGAACTCCGGTGCTATCAATTCGATAATCACAACCAAGCTCCGAGAAGATGCTCTTCAACTCCGAGCCATGGCTACATCTGGCACCAAGGCAGGAATGGAGATCGCAGCAGCAAAGGAGAAGATGATGCGAGAGATCCACCTTATTTTGACCCTCACCTTGGGTCCACCACCAGCACCTTCCACCGAATTTACCTGGAACTACATCGATAAGAATGGTTTCACCAAAATACTGAAGACCACACCTCTCGATTTCGCCGCAGAACTCTCAACCCCGAAATCAATACGCATCACCAACTCCACCGTCCACGACATGTTCTCCCTCGTCAACGATCCCCGCAATGAATACAACACTCTCCTCACCGTCTCTCGCCTCGGGAACATCGTCGGTGGTCGCGGAATCACCTACGTCAACGTAACAATGGACGTTCTGAAAGAAGCCTGCATCAAAATGCTCAAAGAAGGCCTCCCAATCTTCTTCGGGTCAGATGTTGGAAAGTATTCGAACAGCCAATCTGGAATCATGGACCCATCTCTCATCGATTACGAGCTGGGCTTTAACGTCAGACTCGGGATGTCCAAATCACAGAGACTCATGACTGGAGAGAGCGCCATGACGCATGCGATGGTGTTGACGGCTGTGCATGTCGTTGATGGGCAGCCTGTGAGATGGAGAGTGCAGAACTCTTGGGGCACGACGGCGGGGACGGAGGGATGGTTCGTCATGAGTGATAAGTGGATGGACGAGTTTGTCTACCAGGCTGTGGTGGAGCCAAGATTCGTTAGCAAGGAGATCAGAGATATCCTAGATATGAAGCCGAAGGTGCTACCGCTTTGGGATCCAATGGGTGCGCTGGCTTAGGTATTTCTCCTTTTCTGGTGAATTTATGATTACGAGGGCGGTCATAATGATTGTGCTTTTCCTTTCTTTTGCTTGCAGCGTTGCATTGAGTTTATACCTAGAATCCTCCTCTATCAGCCTACCAGTTCGGCTTCCACTACTTTCCTGTTGCTAGAAGAGGGTGAATGTGCTGGGCATGAACATTTCACCTCTTTCTCAGGATATGAAGGTTCAATGCTGAATGGGTAGCCTTCGCTGAAAGCAACCGACTGGGGGAGGTAAAGGCTGCCATACAGCGTCGCGTACTCGACCATGCCGACTTACTTTCCACAACTCCTCCATGACTTCTCATTCTTTTCTTCTTGCTTTCCCGGGCCACTGGTCTCTAGGAGATATTGGAACATGGTTTCCCGTGTCGCGTGTATTGCCAGAGAGTTGTTGCTGTCAAATTCGCCTTATTTCATCCCGTTCTTCTGGGAAGAGGCGAAGTTTCGTCGAGAGTGCAAAACAGATCGACGGATGGGAGAAGTGTCTTTTCTATCCCACGGCGGCATTCGCATGGTTCGATCCAGTTGTCTTCTGGAATGGAGCTCTCAACTAGACGGACGGCAACAATCTCCCGTACGCGACTAACGCCCTTTACTTATCTTTCACCTTCATGTATTACATCAAGTGGAACTACTTGCATAGATGGGAGAAGTTTAATTACCTGCTTGAAACGGGCTTTGATGTTGGTGTGGCGATTAGTTGCATATTATTCAGACTTTTGCGTTTGCGTTTGCGTTTGGGGCGACGAGTGTCAATTTGAATTGGTGGGGCAATAGTGTTAGTATGGCGGATGTGGATTATGTGAGCTATAACCAAAATGTGAGTTTGCTGGCTATCCCGGCAAGTGGATATTTTGGACTTGCACTGGAAGACTTTCCAATGAAATTTTAGTTTGACATTTCGTGGAAAGTCTGGGAAATGGGACGGGAAGGGGGGTTGAAACGCCAGGTTAGGAAGCCTTTCTCAGGCGGACAAATTATTTGCATTTACTCCGGTGTTTCTGTTTTAATTATGAAGTTACGAAGTCAAGTCATCAACAGCATTAGTTCATACTTTGGTTGGAGAAAAGGAGGGGACCTCGCTTATTCACAGCCGACACTTCAAAACTTCAACCACTCCCTACGGAGGACGCGGCCAAAAGTCTTGCAACTGGCAGGGGTGGGCGCCAAGCCTAAGGACGCTGGTATAGCAACGGTGCTTAGGGCCTCAGTAGCCTTAAGGAACATCGCTGTTAGTAATGTTTACAGGGCTTGAGTGCTATTGTTCAAGCATGACAAGCCTGTAAGACCCTGTAATTATAGCGGCCCCTGGTTGCTGTGCAACGCCCTTGCCATTTAAGCGAGTGTGGCGTCAAACCCTAGCAGTTGCAAGACTTTTGGCCGCGTCCTCCGTATAGATCAACTCTATTCTAGCAAAGTAGAAATAAATTTCCAATAGGAAAGCATTAATATCCAAGAACTGGGTAACGTACGTATAAGATTAATATTCAATTTTCTTGAAGTTTTGTAAACAAGAAACTTGGGTGCAGGGTTTCCAAACTTCTGCGGGTTTCGGGTGCTTCGATTACATTTCAGACACCCTCAAACAAGATATTATTATACTCTAACAGTCATAGAAAAGTCGGCACAATACGATGCATATAAGAAATACCCGGAAGTAGCTATGTTGAGAAACCCGCCTCGCTTAAAAAGGAGGTAAATGTTGTTTTCTTTAAAGGCTCAAGAGAACATAATTATCATAGTAAATTTTCGAACTTGTAAAAGATAAATATTATTAGAGCTACAAAATGATTGCATGCTGAACAGTACATGTCTATACCATGGTATAGAGTTTCGGGGGTGTTACACATTCTGGATTCTTGAGTGATCTCTAACGGCGCCTGCGTTCATGCCCATCGCGATCGCGATCGCGATGGCGCTCTGGCTCCCTATCACGCCTGGAGGAACTGAGCCCGGCGTTGACAACGGAGGAACTGAACCCGGCGTTTACAACGGAGGGGGTAACGTCTTTTAGTGGTCCATCATCATAGGCAGGGCTGTCTGCGTACACTGGACGATCATAATAAGGGTCTCGGGTTTCGTATGGTCCGGCTGTACAGACACAGAAAACGTTAGGAAATTATCTTATGCAAAAGAGACAGAATAGGTGGATAGCGATTGTACTTACCACGCCCGTAGTAAGGATTCATTGGCTGTGTTGAGTATTGATCTGAATACTGAGCGTTGCTTCTTGGAGCTGAGGATTGGGTCATAGGCACGCGCGCTGGGCTTCTTGGCTCCATGAGCATATCTGCTGCCCGGACGTAATACCCGCTCTCAGTTATAGCGTATCCTTGGGCCTGGCCTCCCAACGCTGGCAGTAAAGAGCTCTGATGTACGCTATCATTATCCTCATGTGCTGCATATATACCAAAGGTGTTTGCCGATGTCGGGCCGTAGTATTGCCGAGACTGGTATGTTGTAGAAGCTCGATACTCCACTGTTGGGTTATTAGACATTTGGACGGTATCATCGGAGTTCCACGGAGGCTCACGGTTGCTAGGTTGCCCTCTTGAGGCAGCCGCACGACGCTCAGCTTCCCATCTTTCAGTATCTGCTCTGAGATCTGCGATCATTGACTGTTACAAGGCATTATTAGCATATTGCTAACAACTTGAGGACATTTCCTTACCGTAGTCAAGTTCCGGTAAGCTGTGATGAAGTATCCCTGCTGACTCTCTCCCGTTTGTGGATTCTGAAACGTAATATTAGCAGGATTACGAAGTTCGCGAGTTGTTGCAGATATACTTCATAGATTCCGGGTCGTGCTAGTGCATCATTTCCAAGGTAGCGGCATATATCCGCAGTGATAATTTCGCGGTCAATGCGGTCTCCGGGAACAAAGTACTCATTAGTCCTTGCTGACGCCATTGGGGAGCGGCTATCTCTATCTCTTTCTCTATCTCGTGGGTTTCCTGTGGAAATGTTCTCTCGATCTCGTCCACTCTCTATTGTCGTGTTGGAGAACATCGACGTTGGGCGATGAGTGTCAGTCGACGGCTCGCTGCTTCGAGAAGCCCTCTCGTCGTCCGTGGCAGGTCTTGTTTCTGGGATATCAGTACTTCCCCTCCTTTGCTCAGTGGCAGCTGTCCCAGAAATAGGAAAAAGAACCTCCGAATGTTGCAGCGATGTGGTATCTTTAGCTTTTCCTTTCCCCGTAGGCTCGTCGATAATGCCAGCCGGGGAATCTAGTTGAAGCGTTCGATCCTTCGAACGTTCTGATTGAATATTGCCCGATTCTGAAAGCTCTATACGATAACCAAGCTGGCGCTCAATTTGTTCAAATACAGGTTTTGCCGGGATGACATATGCAAGTCCCGTGGAAACATCCCCAGCAACTATGTGGCCACAAAGTCTGCCGGAGTCCTTTTCAGCAATCCAGGACCCCGAATCTCCATAAGCTGCATTTAAGCCCAATCAGTTCCAGTACTCTTTTGAAAAATAAAATTCACCTACATAGATATCCACTCAAAGCCACGGTCTTAACCTCCTCGAAGGTATCGCTATGCACCATTTTTAAGAACGTCGAAGAACCGCTCATGACCCCAACGGTCGCATGTTTCGAACCAATACAGGTAGCTACCGCAATATCTGTCTCTATCGTTGAGAATTGCCGGGTTGGAATGATGGACTGCATAGATCTTTTTTGTTTAAGGTTTATAGCATTCGAAATGGTCAATTCTTTTGCGGTTATCTCTATCAGGGCCCAATCGAGATCCGGTCGAGTTTCTAGTGACGATTTAAGTAAAATCCCGAGCTTGGTAAGTTCTGAGCCCTTTTCCAGAACAAATTGGGTTTCATTGAAGGGTCGAAGAGAGGAAGTCGATTCGGTTGGGTTGATAGTCTGTCCCACTTCTACAATGCGTTTGCGAGCGGAGGGAAACGAGAAAGGAAACCGACTACGAGTCGCTGCAAATTGTTGTCTCAGCTGCTAACATTTCACATACGCTTGAAGTGACTTCCCCCCCCCCCCCCAAAAAAGGTAGACACTTACAAGACTTGGACGAATAGTCAGCGCTGCTACCTTTACCGAAAATATTGTCCGGAGTTGGGCCATCAAATTCGAATTCAAAGTCGTCATCATCCTCTGACACCTCCGACTGATTAGGCATACTACCTCGGTCCTGTTCTTGAAAGGCATGCGCAACCGTCATACCAACCGTGGTCCTTACATCATCTTCTGTGATCAAGTCCAAGAATCCACCGATGGTTGCCCTTCGGAATTGAGACACGTCCATTGTGGTCGTGCCTATAGGAATGTAAATCCAGGTTCCACTAGTTATTTTGGTAATTGACTTTTGGATGTAAACAGCAACGCCGGAAGGAAACGAGCGTGACGCATCAATCTCTAGACCAAAAGCGATAAACTCGGCCGGCGCGGACCTTGGATATCGAGGATGTTTCGAGGAGCCGGCCAGGAGAACGCCTTCATATTTATCAAGAATTCCGTTGCTCCGAATAACTTCTATCACTTTTTGACGGGCCGATTTGTTGCTGCTGATAATAACAAGAGTAGGGCAGCAGGCTGTTTCCTCTCGGCCAACCATAAATATAGCAAAGTACACATTGCAAGCTTCCCTTTCTTTCAAATGCTCATTGTGGGTGTTGAGAAGCAGGCGCACCTCTAGTTTCAATGTAACCAGCTTCTCCCGTCCCGGATCCTTGACTTCCCAAAAATTTTGCTCTCCAACTTTGCAGCAATGTTTTCCGACAGAATCTTGGGAATCGGGCCACCTCGGAACAGGAGCAGGCGCTTTGATAGGCTTCAGCCTTGCCAGGAATGAGGATTCTTTTGTCGGGGCCTCAGAGAAGGACCCGGAATCTCTAGTTCGCTGGAGCATGGTGGAATGACGAATCATGGAGGACGAAGATATACAGGCCCATCTTGTGGACCTGGAGCGAAGAGAGATGAAAGAGTCAGCCCGGATGTCCTTTATTTAGGTCGCGGAAACGATGCAGGTCGTGCGTGAACTCAAGGGTGCCTTCGGTTGTTGGGCAAGTAAAGCGGCCTGGACAATGCCCCTTGATGCCCAACGCGGCTTACCATAGCCTCAACACAGCCTGCCTCTCTTGCGACCACGACACGTGCGGGGCGACGAGGCTTCAACTTAAGTAATCTTGCTCTCTGATCAATCTATTAACTCCCGACTTGTATCTGCTTAGAAATTCTCCGGCCTCAAAATGTCTACCACAAAACCCGATGTTCTACAAAACGAGCTAAGGCTACCAATACAAATCCCAACAAGCCGTTTAGAATTTGCACGGAGTTTATGGGAGCTTCAAGATGGTCGCAGTCTTACAACAGAGAACTTCCAACCGCCCAAATTTGAAGGATACTTTGGGTTTTACCAAGACCAATGTATAAACTGGCTATGTGACGATTTTTCCCAAGACAAAACACACAGACAACTCGTCGAAAAGGCACGCGAGGTCGCAAGGCTGGATGCTCAACAAGCTCTCCTTCCTTTACTTTCCCAGGATGATATGGAACGCTCTTGGATGTTTTTGGCAGTCCGAGTCCTAACAATGATTGATGTTGGTGGTCTTCGTAATAGTGTCAAACTAGGCCAAGTGTCTCGAAGTTGGACCAATGGAGCTTTGAGAGACTTTGTCAAGTCAACGTTTCCACGTACCAAAGAGCTCTCCGATCATGTGAAGCTTGAGAGGTTGTTTACCGCCAGAAATATTGAGCGAGTAGCGGATATTCAAGTGATTTGGACCAGCAACCTTGCAGACCATCTGCAACTGGAAGACGACGATACCAAAGTCAGGTTATTTTCTCATACCTCTTTCTTAGAACTGCACCGAGAGTGGTAAGTGCAATATCCCAAGCTTCCAGACACACAAACTTCAAGAACGCCGGACCTCGAAACTGCCCCACTTCCCAACCCCCAAACTTTTATTACAAGATGCAATGAGATAACTCTCACTAACCTTGGAGGCAGTGATTTATTCCCATCAGGATTCGTCGATGAGACACTTCGAACGCTTTCCCTCCTCCTCCCATCGAACGACAAGAAAACCGTTATTTGGTTTCGGAGAGAGCAAAGGAGAAATCTGAACGATGAATTCGTCGACGGAACAGCAATCGGTTGTCGGCCCTTGTCGATGAAAGAACGGCAGATTGACAACTTTGAGTTCTGGCACGATAGACTCGTCATGCTCAAGCAAGCCTTCGACGAAGCGGACCCAAAGACTGTGCGCCAGTAAGTAAATAATCAACTGATAAAGTACTGCTACAAACATGGAAAGAGCTAACTTCGAGCTCTTTAAGATGGTGGTCAGTGTTGAACTAGCTAGCTTGGCTAGCATCCTTTCCTTCCACTCCAGGTTCAACCACTAATTCAGTTCGTCCGATTATTGGGTATTACTTACGTACGAACACACCAATCGTTTATTAGTATCGCCATTCGATTACGTTCCTTAAACGTGCGTTCAGGAATCAGATTGGTAAATCGTTCCCACCACCAAGTAAGTGCGGGGTAAATCACATGGTGGGGTGGAAATCAGGAATATAGCTAGGGAACCCATTCCCTCTGTTTTTTATGGAATCACTCTCCTGTATCTAGTCAAAACTAGTCATTCTACAGATTGTCAATCTCCAATATATCGATTTTCCACCGATAAATCGATCCCAGTTCAATAGTCAGATCGCAGGAAGCCGGTTCAATGGTTCAATTTTTGGATTGCTATCGCACTGGTCATCGGCTTGACGATTTTCTTCGGACTGGTTCAAAGTATCGAGGGAGGAATACAAGTGTACAAAGCGTACCATCCTTCGCCAAGTTGATACTTATTCGGCTGACTGGTTTGAACGTATCGATTTATCACTTCACGGCCTGGGTTATGCTGCTGGGGCCCATTACTTGTCGCAATGAACGTGCCAAAATTGAAACGCGTTTAAAATAAGTAAGTGAAGGACTCCAAGCTTCTCGTCACTTGACTGAGACTTTGGATTGGCGATTGGTCCTTCTCAGGCTGCCTATCAATGAAACTCTCTACATACCGTACTCTCGCAACCAACTTCTTTCAACTCGACGGGGCTTCCAGAACCACGTCGATTCTGTTCTCTGTACCACACTCTTCCCACCCCCACCGCCTTCACCACAAAACTCCACTCACCTGCAACTCGACCCTTCCCCCAGAAACATCCAAGCTCCTTCAAAACCGAGTAACTTCTCCCCATACCGTCCCCAACTATCTGTTTCCTAGCACCTTAAAGCCATATCTCGGTCCTTCCCTATCCTTACTTCCAATTTTAACCTCTTCCTCTCCCATAGTGCTTAAAATTGATAAATTAAGATCAAAACATTCTTTGTTATTTTGAATTCCAGTTGATGGACGGAGTACGCTGGACAAGCTCTTCTCAGTACACCTCACTTGAGCATAACAACCTTCTATCCAGCTACCCAAAGTGGCCGACACTTGTGAACCCAAGGCAAGAAATACAAACCTCGGCGAGGGAACTCTCACACGAGACTCACGTCCTCCCTTCACAAAAGGTAACAACATGTGTTGGCCATGAAACGTCTAAACCTCCTTTACTTCTGTACAAGTATTCTATTACCGTTCTACTTCGGTCCCCTGTAGTTCGAATCCTCTACCCTGCCGCCCATCACCATGTAATTCCCCCACATATCTTCCCTGGCTGTCCAGCTCCTCAGATCTCAATCCATACCTCCCATCCCCTCCCCCTTGTGCCTGCACACCCCTCCCATCAATCTCTACCCCCTTTTCTCCCGCATTCATGTCCAAATTTTCCCTACCCACAACACCTCCCTTCCCATCCCCTCCAAGTTCAGCCCTCCCACCACCTTTCCCCACCCCCACTCCCGTAGGAGGAGGAACAAAGGTAGCTTGTGGATCGACTCTCAGTTTCGAAGACAGATTCCCTCCTCTATGCCTCGTCCTCTCCATCCTCCCTATGCACACCACACAAATCGCGCCCAAAGCGCCCAAAAAGAGCAATCCTCCCAACACACCACCAACAATCGCACCGGTCTTGACTTTCTTCTTTCCCCCTCCTGCCTCTGCCCCACTACCACCACCCGAAGGCGAGGAAGCTTGGGGCGGCGAAGAGGTCAAAGTTTGCACGCCCACCCCGGGCTCTGTAAAAAGGTATGTCGAAGAACCAACGGTGACGGTATAGACGACATTATTCGTGACGACTGTTATTCCGGGTACATTTGCAGTCGTTTGTGTGGCTTTAACATTCGCATTCGTATTCGACGGGTAGCCAGCAGATGTGCAGTAATCTTTGTATATCGATATCGCGTCTGGGATCTACTAGTATCCGCTCATCAGTAAATGTGTTTTATGATTTTTCTATTGTGATTGTGTTTATGATTGAGATTGAGGTTGAGACTGACGTTGATAAGGAAGAGGGATGGGATGGGATGGGAAGAGCTTACTTGGGCGGTACCTGCACATAGTTCGGATACGTAGACGCTGATCGCTGAGCTCGCTTTTGAGGCTACGGCGGAGGTGCAGTAGCAGCCGTTGTAGACTGTTGGTTGTTGGTATTCTATTCCTTGATCAGCCTTCTATCTCCTTCCTCCACCGCGAAACGAAAGAAAGGGAAAGTGGGCCTTACGGTAACAACCCAACGCAGCAGGCAACCCCAAACCCCCAGCAATCCCATCCTGGTCCCAGAACAGACTTTCCTGGATGCAGGCGCCGGCTACTTGGTACCCTGCCGCGGCCGTGATGCTCACTGTCGCCAGATCGCCCGGTGAGGCGGTCGTTGCTGCTGCTGCGGGGGCTCTGGGCGTGATGATATTTGCTTGGACGCCATTGAGTCCAATTAAGCTTGAAAGTAACAGTCTTGGAAGTAAAAGCTCGAGGGACTTGGAAGGGGGCATGATGTCGCTTGATTGATCATGGATTCATAGATGATCTTTTGGGATGGGAGAAGGAAGAAGAGGGAAACAAAAACTGCGGACGCTCTGACGACGATGTCTCAACATCGGACAGAGGGCTTTCGAAGGTCTCGAGAGCCTCGTGCCCAAGTGCAAGCCATTTCTCTAGCCCGAGTTTGGAAACCCATCCCACCATCTCGAAAAGTCTGACGTATCACAGAGCAGAGATGAAGCGAGCGGGCGTTGTTGTCAATAAAAGAGTTGGACCCCTGTTGATTTTAGGGAGTTGATTGGTGGGTTTGGGGATGGGTGTCGTGAGGCTGAATGTTGCACGACTGATTTGGGGATGTGGGGCTCCCTTTTATCGGATTCGGGCCAATTAGAAGGGGTGAGACATTTTGAAGCAATGAAGAAATAAAAATAGATTTTGAAATGAGTGCGTAATTTGAGGGCAAATAAATTGAGAATTAGGAGGGTAAACAAACCAAAAGGTCCAACTGTTGTAAGTCAGGAGCTGTAGGTTCCATCCCTAGGTTGGGCCCAAGAGAAATAATAGAAAGCCACGTCATCAAAGTTCTCTTATATAGACGCTTCTACTTTGTGGTAGGGGAGAGAAAGAAGCTCAGTTGATATTGACCAAAGGCCTACTTGATAGAGTGCAAAGGAGGTGTGGGGAGTCTTCAGGCCATAAGAGAACCACTTGTTTGAGAGCTGTAAGTGGAATGGCTAAAGCTTCAGATTTGCCCGAAAACTTGCCAGCCTTCCGAGTTTTTTTGCTCAATTTTACCCAGTCTTTAGACTAAAAGGAGAGGGTGCGGCAGTTGTGGAACTCTCATCGCCAAGCAAAATTAAGAAAGGCTGAGGACCTTGACTTCGTTCGATGTCAAGCCGCGCTTGGCGAAAGAAGGAAGGAGGACACAGAGACGCAAAGAAGATTCCCGAGAGAGTGAATTCAGCTTGAAGTGCCGGCATCGTAAGACTGCCTTTCGAGATGTCTCCTTAGTCCTGAAGATCTCTAGTGCAACCTGATGCATCATTCCACTCCAGAGTGACCACTCGTTAGCCATGGCAGCACACCCTCATTGTTGACTCGGTGATATCCAAAAGCTAGATAAACAAACACGGTGATAATCAAAATTCGTCGATTTGATATCTTCGGTCTAGATTTGTCCTCCCCACTTGGGCCGCCGTCTCTTCGAAAGGGGTGATCCTTGCACACACTGTGGGGATTGGGAGAAAACGCATCACGGTCGCTGCCCGAATATGAATAACGCCCAGGTTCCGCGGCACAAGTTCGAAAGGGGATGCCCGTCGGTGAAGGAAGCCTCAAACTCATGGAGCCTGGGTCCCGCTGTCACACTCCCCAGGCAAGTCCTTGAAGCGCCTGTTAGGAACGAGATTATATGCAACACGTTGCCTAGAAAACAAGCAAGAAAGGCTAAAGTGATGTCATTGAGTCTTTTGATGAATACTTAACGATGATCTTGTAAGGGACTTATCACCTCGACCAGCTTTTGAACATTTGATGCTGTTGGTAGATTGTGAGGTCACGAGACTCGCATGTGACTCCGTGACCGAGTACTCTTTCACTGCCCTTTCCCGCAGGATCTCACCGAGTATTCAGAGAGGCTGCCAAGCGTTGCCAAACGGCAGATGGCTTCTGCTGCAATGCACCGAACTTCTCTGGTGGGGCGTTACAAAGAAAATTCCCGTGGGCAATGCCGCTCCCTCCCTCGGACTCAAGTAGCGCCAATGTGAGAGCGCCGATTGCCCCTCCTTATTGTTCAGGCTGGCCTGCAGTATCGTTAGCGGAATGCGGCTTTCTGCAACGGGTGCCCAGGCCTGGTGGAGCTAGTGGATCTTGCAGGCTTGCATCGCATACCCGCATGAGGAAGGTTTGGAGCCATTGGGCAATGGATGGGCAGCCTGATATTGATATTCGAGAAGGGAAGAGTAGGGAAGAGGAGAGAACAGAAGAGGGCACCGGCGACAGAACAATGGTAAGAGGAAACATCAGACATCGGCAGACATGACGGGTGTCTGCAGCGGCAGTGGGGATATACCAGTCATTGCAAGGGGTGGAATGGAGAGCAAAAAGGAGGGATGACGCATGAGGCGAGAGAGTGAAGGATCTCCCAGCAAATCGAAGCAGCACTCACGAGAAGCTGCCGTCACCGAACAGGACCCTGATAATTCACTTTCGCTGTGGAGCCGCATTCTATTCTGGCACTTCACTACGTAAGGACTTGCTTGCCCTTGCCCTGAAATCCTCCTTCAACTTGCGCTGGCCGCGGTTCTCCTGATACTGTGGTAACCACTTTGGCTTGGGTATCACGGACCTCACTCCTCCCTCCGGACCCCCTTTTTGCATCCCACGACCTCGCCGCACTGCCCTCTCCCTCACCCCCTCCCCCTCTCCCTTTCCTCCTCGCACCGGCCCGCTCAAACACCCAGCCCACAGACTCGGGGACCAAAACCTCCACCAGTCTCGTCGCTGTGTCTGCACACCCTCTGCTTCACATCATCCGCAGCCGCAGACTGCAGCAGCAGCAGCGGGGTCGTACCTCCAGGCAGAAACGCCACGAGAACTTCCAAGGTCCAACACCCAACATACAACATCCAACATCCGCAGAATTCCCCGCTGCAGCTATCTGCACGTTTCCGCCATTGGCAGCCCTACGATCCACACACCCGCATTGCATTCGGCGAGACAGTGCGTACATTTCAATCCCTCCTCCCTCTTCTAGCGGCTTCGTCGCCATCGAGATTGTTTGCTGAGCAACGGCGGCCTACTCGTACAGAGCTCGCTAGCAAATTCAGTGACATCGCGTTGCACTACACCCTCGCGTGCGACAGCTTACAGTACTCGTACTCGATCGCCCTCGCCGACTACTCCAAGGTCGAGTCACTGCCTCATTTGTTTCCTGCAAATTTTCTCGAGCTGAAGGGGACTTTCTGCGAACACAGCTACTGGCACGATGGCCGATAGATACGGAAACAGATACGCTCCTCGAACTCGATCCCCTCCTCCATCCTTCTCTGCGAGAGCCTCTCTTCCTATCGACATCAGTGGCTACCACATGTCGTCACCACACCACCATGTCGTCCCCACCGGCCATCGCGAAGTGATTCCCACTCGCAGCTCGAGCGTTGCCAACAACGGGGCATTGGTGACGACATACAAGGTCACAGCAGATGGTATTCCCACGCGGGGCAGCAGTGTGCGGGAAGGAAGCAGATCGCGAAGATTTACTGTCGACAACCATAACAGACCACCCATCATCATCACTGAGAGTTCACCGAGGGAGAGAGCGGTGATTCACAGCGGCGGAGGCATGAGACCTGGCAGCCCTTTGTCGAACCCCTATCGCTCGAGCGAGGAAGATTACGTTGCTACACCGGCGTCTTCAAGACATGGCCGCCAGCACACGAAGCGGCATAGTACGTCGATGGATAATGGCGATATTAGAGGCTCTGGATTACGGGTTGCGCCAGTTCGAGAACCAAACTATGCCAACATAAGATCGCGACCAATATACCCCAACCAACTGGTCAGACATGCGGACAATGTGGCCGAGGATTTTGGTGAGAATGGATATGGATACACGAATCCACAAGAAGTGGTGCGCTATGATTTGCAAAGGACTGCTCCTCCACCTGTTGTGCAGACACGGCCGCGCAGAGATAGTTATGAAGGGAGGACAAGCAGACCAACCAGTATTACGGGTTACAACGACATTGTCCCTCGGTCCTACGATGGCAGAGAACGAGGCCCTCCTCCTTCGACTAGGGGCTTTGATAGGATCCCTGGATCTGGAAGAGGATGGGAGCCGCCTCAGATTAGGATGCCAGTTCCTCCTTCTCCATCTTCAATGTCCCCTATGGACCCGATCCCCAGACCTGCTCCTTTCGAACCTGTTGAGCCAGCGAGACGGATCAGCTCGCGGAATAGCTCGCGCGCTAGGCCAACATCGCTTTATCACGATCGCGAGCCAAGACGGGGACCAAGAGAAGACTATTATGAGGCCAGAGACGATGACCGAGATTGGAGGGAGAGAACACATCATAATGGTCGGCATGAGGATGGTGTTGAGCAGAGGGGGTATGGTCTTCGAGCTGAACGGCCGGAAAGAGTTGAGCGATCTGACCGGCATGACAGACGCGAGAGAGGCTCTGATGAGGATCGTTCAGATTACAAGGAGCACAAGGAGCACAAGGATCACAAGGGTAGGAGTGAGAGACGTGAGAGAGGCTCTGATGAAGAACGATCAGATTACAGGGAGCATAAAGAACATAAAGGCAGACGTGAGAGAGGCTCTGATGAGGATCGATCGGATTACAAGGAGCATAAAGAACACAAGGGCAGACGTGAGAGAGGCTCTGATGAGGATCGGTCAGATTACAAGGATCACAAAGACCACAAGGGTCGAGATTTAGCAGCTACTGGTCTCAGTCTTGCTGCTACTGCCGCAGGGCTCAAGGCCGTCAAGAACGCAACTCGGGACGGCCGAGATGATCGCGATGATCGAGACGAACGACGAAGCGATTATGATGATGAGCCTCGAAGACGTCGCGACCGGGATGATAGGGACTCTGTTGATTTAAGTGGCAGAGATCCTAAGGAGAGGCGGCGCAGGGACGATGACCATCCACCAAGGGTTTCACCCCCGCCAAGAGACAGACCAGACCCGAGAGACATCCCTCCTCCACCCAGCCCTCCGCCCTCCGACAAAGATGTCAAAGTTGGCAGCCCAACACAAGCTGCATTCCTTGATCTTAGCGGCCGGGACCCAAGAGAACGCAAGTCATCCAAAGATGATGATGAGCGTCGAGAACGTCGCAGGCGGCGGTCTGAAGCCCCAGAAACTGGCTCTGTAGATTCTGATTCCGACAGTTCAGTATCACCGAATGATACCACACATCCTGCTCGAGCCGAATCTCGACTGAAACGAAAGTCTGGTGTAGCAGCAGGAGCTTTCAACCCCAAGGACACAATGGGTCTCATGGCTCTGAAAGAGGCACTCAACAAGAAAGATTCTGCGCCCAAGGATGCGCCTCAAGAGCCTGTCAAAGCCCCTCGCGAGTCGCTGACAAAGGATCCTCGAGATGTTGTAGACATCCGAAGAGAACTCGATGAGCGACGACCACGTGATCCACTTCAGCCGAATGACAATCGCCAACTTCGCGTCGTCTCCCCGCCGAGAGAGAAGGCTGAAGAGAAGCCGGTAAAGGGTATCCTGCGGCAACCTCGTGAAAAGTTCCCCGAAGACCCAGCACCGATCCGCGAAGGTGTGGCCCCTCTCAAGGATGCCAAGAAAGATGGCATTCCTCCTGACGCTCGATGGACAAAGATCAGTCGAAAGCTCGTGAACCCGGAAGCATTGGAGGCAGGCAAAGAGAGATTTGAGGCACGAGAGGACTTCGTGATTGTGCTGAGAGTCTTATCCAGAGACGAGGTTCAGGGCTACGCGGAAGTCACACAGCGGATTAGAGGTTTGTTTTACCTACTGTGTTAAAGTATCAATTGCTAACCAGTGTAGCTGCCCGTGAAGCAATAGAAGAACAGGAAGCCAATGAACGCCGTCGACTCCGCCGCGAAAAACACGAACGCCACAAACGCGAACGCAACGGTGACGTCGAGCGCGAACCCCGCGAACGCGGTGAACGCAGTGAACGTGACAGAGCCGAGAGATCTGAGCGCCGTCGTCACCACCGCAGCGAGCGCGACAGAGGCTCACACTCCGAGTCTGACTCGAGCGATGAGCAGGACTATGTTGAAGATAAACCGAAAATGCTGGAGGCGCCGAAGAAGAAGGGGGGCTTTGAGGAGCCGGTTATGAGTGGCGGACTTGGAGATGTAAGGGGATTTGGAGAGGAAGAGAAGAGGGATCCGCTGGGTCTCACGAATATGAGTAATTTGAGGGAAAATCCCAATGTACCGGGACAGTATATCGGGTATGTGAGGAATCCTCCGACGCCTGCGGCGTTGGTGGGTGGGAAGAAGTAATGGAAATGGATTGGCAATGAAGCGAGGGGCCATGATGGAATGGTTGATGAAAAGATGAGATGAGAGATATGAGAGATGAGATTAAGATGAAAAGTAGATTCTGACTTGAAGGGCATTTTCCTTGGTGTTGGGATATTGTATTTCTGGGTGTCGAGGGATAGGCATGGATACAGGTGATTTCGGCGAGCTTCAAGTTCCTTACTAAGTGTACGATGGGTGGCATATTGCATTTTGATTCTGGTTCTATTTGAAAGGTGCTGGTCTGAGGCGGACGGATCTAGGAAAAGAAAAGAAATAATATATCTCTTGATTTACTTTGCTTTTGGTCGTGTTCTCGAGCAATAAGTGGATGTTGAGTGACCGTAGTTCGATCCTTGTTTTACCTGCCAACTTGTCTTCTGTCCCAATCTCCCCAAATGGTTCTGAACATCGCCATTACTTGTTCGCTTCCTTTTGAGAAAGATTCCCATGATCGAACACTCAGACGGAATGAAACAATGACTAGTCCTTCGCTCCTTCGTTCCTCGCGAGTCCGTGCCTTCCTTCTTCTTCTTCTTCTTCTTCTTCTTCTTCTTAATTTCATGCTTTACCCTTTCTCAAAGCGTCGTGGCCGAAGATGGCGAGTTGAGGCTGTGGGGAGATGTCTCTTCTTGAAGGTGGCCCGCACTCGATGCATCCTTTTGTTGAGGAAGCCAGTAGAAATGCTCTTGATGTGTCAGCAGGTCGACAAGGTCAAATACAGTGGCTGGGTGAAGTACTCACCTATTCGCAACAGTTGGAGACACTTTCGTCCTAATGCGACAGTGACTGAAGGTTGGGGGATGCTCTTGAATCTATGGGTCATTGAGAAGGAAGTTGTAATGCGTTTCCGGCTTGATGTTGCTGGGCTTCCAGAAAAGGAAGGAAGAGGTGTGTTAGCGCTCCTCGATCGACTTGCAGAGCATTCTTTTGCGTTTCCGTTCTACTCTTTCCCTGCTTTCATGCAATGGCTAGTGATGCCATTGAAGCCTTAGTAACATTCAGTATCTGCAAACAAGGAGCATTTTCCTCCCCAAGGCATTGTCTCTGATGAAAGACGTTGAGCATGCCGGGGCTTCCTAGGACATCCATCTTGGTATGTCCCCTTCGTTGCCGCTGCTCCATCTCGGAAATGATGCCTCTCAGACCAGGAGTCATCATCTCATGACCATAGACATCATCTCGTATGATGCAATGCACGGAATCTCGCCAGTCGTCTGGCTCCATCAGAGCATTCTCGGGCCTGGTAATCTTACTTTCACCACACAACTCACTTAGGCCGGAAACGCTAATCTCTGGAGACAGAATGGGTATCATCTTGTACCCGGCAGTTTTCGCCATACTGGCTTCGTGGTCCACTATTTCCAGCAATCGCTTATAGCTGTTGACGATGATGGGCAGCAATGTGCCCAATAACATTGTGTTCTGAAATGCTTCAATTGCGGGCTTCACTGAGGTTGCTGAACAGTGGCCACACTTCTCACATCTAAGGACGACCTGAGCTGTGCTTGCAGCAGCTCGAACGGCTATCAACGCAGCACCAACTTCGGGTGGGAGTTCCTGCAGAGACGACATGGCCAAGTACATTGTGGCAAGGCAGCTGCAGGATGTCGCAGTGGCGGGAAGCGGAGCACTATTCCCTTCGATACCATTGCGCGGCCTGATGGATCCTGGCATGCCAGGCGGTTGTAAATAGAACTCTGCTCCAAAGGCAAGTGGACTGTGGAGATCTCCAGCACCAGGATTCCACAGACCAAGATCGTTCTCGGTCGTCCGGCCCAATGAGCTATTGCCTCCATCGTTTGAGGCTGTAGACCGTTGCCCAGCCTCAAACAATAGGCTCGCATCTTCAATATAAGGATCGATTGGAAAATTCTCGTTAATATGTTGCAAAGGCTGACCATCTTGCGGAGCTGAATGGAGGAGTTCCGCGCCACCGTTCAGCGTCGTCTTGTCGCATCGCCTTTTCCTCGGACGACCCATACGCTTCTGCTCGGAGTAATGACATCCGATGTCCTCGTAATTACATCGAGAACATCCTTCTGGCTCCTTCGAACAAGACTTTTTCAGTGCTCCTAGCTTGAAGTCAGCATTTTGCGCGTGGTGCTTCGACGCGGGGTCGTACTGCACCCATCGCAGGCCCGGTGTTTTGAAACAGCCTTATTCGGTGGATCAGTGGGAGGCATTGTAACTTATAAATCAGTTGGCGCGTGTTGCCTTCTTTCTAGGTCTATAACGGTAGTCCCATGGATGCTACTGAAGTGAGGCTACTGAAGAAGGGAAAGAGAAGTTGGAGCCTGGCGAAATATTCCTTGCAGGGACCCTTCCCGACATGGACCAGTAGAATTCAGGGAGAGCAACGCCAACTTTCAGATACCTGCTCTTCAGTGCCAGGGCATATCCGCTAAATTGTAGGGCATCAGTCGCTAATTTCTAGTACAATGACTTCAATTTAATTCCAGACGATCAGTTACATGATTATATGAGATCGAGCAACTCTTATTTAAAGCAGCACTCTCTCTTTCTTTCCTAAAGGCATGAAACATTGTCCCACAGCTGTTACAATCCGTAAATCCTTGTCCCACGCGCCATGAAGACATCTGCAGTCATACTATGCCCCGCAGTCTCGAACACAGCACCCTTCGCAATGACTTCGAAGCCGAAGTCCTTTCCCACACCCGCATTCTCAAATATCTCTTTTATTTCCAGTTCTCCAAACCCTCTCTTCTTCCTTCTCTTGGTAGCAGCACCGCCGCCACTGCCATGTCCATACTTCTTCCAAAACCCGAGATCATGTTGATGACCGTCTCCATCTCCACCAGTCGTCTCATCCACAACAAAGTCAAGGATCAACAGCACACCACCCGTCCTCAAGCGCTCAGCAAGCCTGGTTGCACCCGACACTGTTTCGTTGATTTGATGGAACCCGAGCCCGACAACAGCAAGGTCGAAGCCCCAGAATTCCTCCGCCTTGAAGGCTGTTGGAGACGGATCGGCTGGGTCGAGAAGATTTCCCACGAACGCGGACATCTGTGGTATGATTGAGCCTGACCAGGTGTTGTATTCGTGCACCATGTGAGGGGAGACGTCCATGCCCACCGCTTGGGTGATGTAGGGTGCTAGTGCCTGATGCCTCTCAGTCAGTTCTATAGATACGGGCTGAAGAAACCGAGTACATACACGAGATATCATCCCTCCCCCACACCCATAATCCAACAACCTCACCCTCTTCTCCTTGACTTCCCCTTCCTCGGTCCCATCTTTCGCTTTATCATCGCGGAAGTCAACGCCGATCCAGTCAAGGCGAGCGCGGATCTCCTCTACGAGCAGCTCCGTGGTCTTCTCATTCTTGTTGGAATGGGCTGAAGCCATGGTACTATGGTAGACATTCAGTGAGCGGGGAATAAAGAGAGTGTGCAGATATAAGGAGTAACGCGACTTACTCGGCATGCGCCTCGTCCCCAATTTTACCACCGCATTGTCCACACATTTTTATTTTTCAAAACAGAGTTCGCTTTGAGTTTCTGTTGCGTTTTTAGTGAAGTTGGTTGTCTTGTACTCTAAGTATGTGCTGTTCGGAAAGTCCATTATCCTGGAACTCACGTCGCTTCTATACCTCTTCGGATTTTCCAAATCCAGCACACCTTTACATACATTGCGGCGACTTTTTGACACTCAAAGCCCCGGTTCCATGTTATACTTACGGCAAGGAATCATAGGTCCAACAGTCGTTGTGCCAAGCCTCCGCCCTTCTCCCGCGAATGGTTCCGCGAAACTCTCCGCAAATGTCTCCGCACCTGTGTCGGCTGAAGTTTCCACCAATATTCGCCGGCCATGGCTTTTGTAATAACCACAACATTCGGAACTTTTAATGTTCTGTCCAATAAATTAATGTGAGGTGATTAATCTAAGACGAAGTGTAGCTAGTTTTAGCCTTCGCTATGTAATGGCAAGCTGGGTGACGTAATGAGCACAAATTTTAACAGTGTGGGAAAAAAACCTGAAAATCTGAGTACGGTTTTGAGGGCTTTTTCTATATCACTTGTCGGTATGGAATAAGGAGGGTCGTCGTTGCTTCCCTGAAGCTTTGGGATGAACTGATTGAAGGAGAGTGGGAGGTTGTTCTTGAGTAGATGGGCTTCTACAAACTATATAAGGGAATTCAGATTTAAAGAGGAAAGCTATGCGCGGCTAGAGCAAGACCTCTCCTTGGAACTTGCTATCATGTAACTAAAATTGAGGTATTAATCGCTCGGTTCTGAAGTAGTCTACTGACATGCTAATATAGGATTTCTATACTGATCGCCGAGCAGCTTAAAAATGTATTGTGATGGCGCTGTTTTCATGAATAAGTAAAGAATACGAAAAGAGTTAATGTTTACACTTAGCAATACCTGGTTGATCTAAAAACATTATGTCTCTTTACAGGGTGAGACCACCCAATTCTATTCTTTGCGGCAGGGTGCGTGAATAACCCTAACTCAACCAGTTCAACCTAAAAGAAGCCACTGAACCCGCTGGATCTAATAGCCGGTTAACTAGGACATTTTTATTAAGGTGTGCCTGATGCTCCAGGAGGTACGAGGTTGTGACCAGATGAGAGGCGTGCAAATACAACAGGACTAGTTAGTTGACTCCCAAAGCATGACTAACCCCGTTGAGTTCTGAAGCTTGCTAACTATTTCACTGTTAAATAGAGTAAACAAACCGAGGTTTCCTGGCAATATCACGGCTGGATCTCTTACTACCTGCGCGTGGGCCCTATTGCTATAGTACGTGACCGGAGAGAGCGACGTTGTGTTTGGACAGTTCGCCATCCCCGGAATCGACACGATGGTGGACCCATGCTTGAATATTGTTCCCGTGTGAATAAAGGTCTCCGGCAGACGGCAAGATGGTTGATGGAATCCGCTCAAAAGCAGTTTATCGATATGGGCGAAGGAGATTCACTGGGTCTCCAAGATATCGTCCAGAGCTGCACGAATTGGCAGCCTGGGACCAGGCTGGTGAATAAGCCAGCCGGCTTATCAGCTAGCTTATAAGCTAGTTTATTAAGCTATTCAGTTGGGCTTTAATTTTTATATCAGTCAGTCAGCTAAAAATCTACTAGCTTAAAAGCGGCTGATCAGCTAAGTCATACTAATTTTGCGATTTTGGAGTCATTTAAATATATAATAATTGGAGTTTTTGGGAGGGTTAGTAGGGTAATTAGGTAATTATAGCCTTAATTACTAGGCCTTCTAGCCTTGAAAATCTCCTTAGCTTACATACTTGGTATTTAATTCCTTAATCAATATTAAAATAGATACCGTATCCACTCCTACTAGTCGAGCCTCTCGTAATCTCTCAATTAGACCTTCTGAATCGTTATTAAATCTTCCGAATACCTTTAGCCAGATAATAGGCAGTATATCTAGGGAGTAAAAGAAGGATATATAAGATGAGTATAATTAGCTAGTACTAACTTATAATTAAAACTATAACCCTTACAAGCCTCTCCCCAAAGATTAATGCCCTAATTACTTTTCATATATTCTAGAAGAGCCTTTATATAATAATTATATAGTTATAATTATACGGCTTCTAAAAAAATATATTATTACAGGTATTATCAAGCGGAAGAGAATAGTATAAGTTTAGTAGCTTGGTTATACTCTTACTAATATAAGCAAAAAAGATAAGTCTATTATATAGGTATATAAGCTTTATATATCTTTTTATTATTATATAGTAATTATATACTTATTAGTTTTTTAGGCTACTATAATCCCGAATTTTCTAGAAGCCGAGAATAGTATTATAATAGTAATTCCCTTAAAAATACCGAAAATTATTTCCCTATCTACTACTTTCTCGATTACTAAGGAAATATATAGAGGATATAATATAGAAATAATAGCCTATAAGCTTCAGGGCCGGTTAATAGAGGCTATAAATATATAATTCCGTTCCGTTAGTAGGAATTTATAAATATATTTATTAAATAGATTATAATAGATAATATTAAGTCTTATAAAATAGCTTCTTTCTAACTAAAATATATCTTTAAAATTACTAATATATAAGCTATAAATATACTACTATTCTCCTATAATATAATAGAGTTCTGAATTAATAAGATATTTTATTATTTTAAGCCAGAAATTAAAAAAAAAGATTAAGATAGTAAAATTATAAATATATTATACTTTTAATAGCTAGGGCTTAAAATATAAGAAAATTAGTATTTTAGGTATTATTATATATATAGTAAACTATAAAGAAGAGAATATAACATACCTAATTAGGTTACTAGAGCTCTCTAATTATAGGAAATATAGTATTAGTAAATCTAGATTTTTATATAGTAGTATTAATAATTTATAAAAGTAGTATAGTATAATTCGGGTATTCCCGAGTATTTCTAGCTAATAAAAGAACTTTAGCCAGATTTTAATTTCCTTCTGAGATTATATAACTAACCTGTTCTATTAGATTAAGATATAGTAATCTTATTATTATTTTAATATTTTAGTATTAATAAAAATAATTTAGGCTTATTTTATACTTAATAATACCTAAAATAATAATATAATATTATAGGAGCTTAGCTAATAAATAGATTTTAATTCAATTTAGAAAAGACTATACTATATAAAATATATCTTTAATCTTATTATAAAAGTCTATTTATTTGAGTAAGATGAGTTAAGCTAGAAAGAAAACTTTAAGAAAGCAGATATAGAAGAGTATTAAAAGCTTTAGAAATAGTAGAAAGAGCTTAGAAAGCTATATAACTTGGTAGTATATATTATAAATTCAGGAAAGCGGATAGATATAATATATATAGAGTCATATATAACTTAAGGGCATATAATAAACCTCGGATATTGCGGGTATTAATTAGGGAAATTAGTAGCCATTTAATATCCCAACTAACTACTATTTATATTATATATATTAGGTTTATAAATTACTAATTATATATATATTATTAGGGCCTCCTATTTAGAGGGAACTTCCCTGAACCTTATAGAAGAAATAGAGATTAGTTCTATACTGAATTTAATATAGTAGTTTTATAACTTATTAATTTATTCTATTATCTTATTACCTACTAATAAATACCTTATAAGCTAATCTCTCTATTCTCAAAGGAGGTAGTTTAATAAATAATTATATCTCGAAATTTACAAAATATATAATTCCTTACTAAAGCTATTTTTATAGAGGAAGTTAATTAGATTAATCCCAATACGGGTAATAGTAAAGGCTCGTCTAATACTTTTAATAGGGTTCCTTAGGAGCTTTCGAGAACTAGTAATAATAACGGAAATAATTCCGGTAATAATTAAAATACCGAGATTAATATCTAAGTTACTACTACTTAAGCTATAGAATAGGGCTTATATACTAAAGTCGAAATACTCTAATAAAAGCAAGAATTAGTAAATATAATTAACTAGTATATCCTATAGTTAAAGTAATATAAGAGTACCTTTAGGGATACCTTATGGTTTATTATATCTTATAGAAACTTTATTTATAAGTCTATTTCCTTTTTCTTAGTAATTCTTACTAGAGAACTTCCTAAAATAGGATTAGAACTTACTTCCTTTCCTAATATAATAAGCTTTAAAAGTAATCTCGATACTATCTATTAGAAGCTATTATATAATATCCTAAAGATATATTTAGACTAAGAAAAGCTTTTTAAGGTCCAGATACCTGACTTATATTATAGAAAGTCTCTTAAGAAATAGAGAATATTTATATCTTTCTAGGAGGCAGTTTTTAGGACCTAACCTTAGACTTATAATAGATACTTTTCTAGAATTAATTCTATTATAAGTACCTTTAGGAACGAATCTTATAATATTTAGAAAACTATAATAAAATAAAGCCTATTATTATATAAGGTTTATTAGAAGTAATTTAAGGCTTACTTAGCTAATATATTCCAAGTATCTTAAATCCGTTAATAAGATACCTTTAAGAAACTCCGAAATCTTTATTAGAAGAATAATAAAATAGTTATCAAGTTATATACTCGAATAATTAGTCTTAAAGTTAACTAGAACTCATATCCTAAATAGAACCGGATCCGGACTCTTAATACTACTTTATTTAATTATAAAACTCATTAGATACTTATATTTTTTTTTTTTAGAAAATAAAGTAATATTTATTTCTAAATAGCTTAAAAAAGCCCAGAAAGTAGAATATACTACTTATTCTAAATTAAGAAAAATAAAGATAAATAAGTCTAGTAAGAGTAACTCTATTTCTAAGAATTCTAACTTAGTAAATTCTGATTTATAAGGCTATTAAAAAAGGAAAAATAAGTTCCGAAAATTATATAAGAAATCCTTAGGTAGTATTTTGGCCCCTTT